AAACCATCAACCACAATCGGCAGTTTCCACACCAACCAAGTATTCAGTATCAAAGGACGATTGGACTGTGATACCAAAAATGTTGTGTACATAGTTAATGATAATATTTGTAAGTTAAGTTATATAGGATGTACTTCAGACTCTTTAAAGGTTAGATTTAGGAACCATAAATCCCACATTAAAACTCAAAGAAGGACTTGTGAACTTTCCTGCCATTTTATAGATAATGAGATTTTGCACAATCTTGACCGTACCACCACTAAGTTGTTTACCAGTACTTTAAGTAAGGACATTAATGTTTCTATTATTATATAGAGCAAGTTGACGTTGGGAATTTTGAGCAATGTGCCCAGGAAAGATTAAGTATTTGTAAACAAAGGGAGAACTTTTGGCAAAACCAGCTTAAAACTTTAAAGCACTTTGGAGGGATGAACGTTAGAGAAGAAAGATGATTTTCTTCTTGCATATTTTATTTTCTCACCTCTACCACTCTTTTGGGATTTCAACCCACCATAACTTGAATTGCTGAGTTACATAAATTTCTAAATTTTAAATTTCTTTTATTTGATTGATTGATGGATTGATATTTTGAATAAATTTACTAACATGTCTTTATATCAGGATGACTGTAAAGGTACACTTTACCGACATTTGAAGTCAAGGCGTTGTTTTACTGATAGTTGTGGCTAACTAATAATATATATATATATATATCGTCTCGCTTTATATATAGTAAGATTAACATAAATAAAGATTTAACATAAATAAAGATTTGGCGGAATGACAGGCTGAGCGCGGCCCAGTAAGAAATTAAGCAGAATTTGAATTAAAATATTGCCAAATTGTTATTATTCTAGAGGGTAAAAAGAAAATTTTGATTACAGATCACGTAATGAACGACCAAAACAAAACAATTATATTATCTTCAATTGGTGTGTCTATACAATTAACACAATACAAAGCCTTGATCGCTTGGATCCCTTTGTAAAATTCAAAATAGTGAAAGGAAGTTTACCTGAGGACCCCAGGCTATTATGTTCATTAACATACACACCGAATAAAGATTTGGCGGAATGACAGGCTGAGCGCGCCGCGCGGCCCAGTAAAAGGAAGTTTGCTCTAACCAGAGCCCTCTCGCTTGCAGTATAAGTAGCATGCAGTATAAGTAGCGCGTCACGCAGTACGCGTATACACATGGCTATGTGAAAAAGGAAGTATATCTGAAAATTCAAAGAAAACAAATATATAAGGGATTTAACACAACTGGTTGATTGTGTAGCGCTCGATTGTACAGTGCGCTATATAAATCACTTAAATGTTAAAATACGAAATAACCGCGTGGCGCGTCAATTAAGATATAAATGTGCGCGGCGCACCAATTTTTGATTTGAACAGTAATCATGATCACGCAAAATGAAGAATGTATTACTGTATTTTTTCCCTGAGCATTTTTCATCACTATTTGTTGTACATTAAATTTTCAAATAAAAAGCGTGGTTTACTTTACTGGGCTGCGCTCAGCCTGTCATTCCGCCTAATCTCTATTCTATGAACATTATGAACATAATAGCCTGAAGTCCCCAGGTAAGGTTTACTGGGCGGCTTGATTCACGATGTTAATCCTTCGCAGCTCGGTGAGGCACAGTGGTGCATCTCGCCGATCTACCGAAGTGTGGTTGCGAGAAGCATTATTTGATGCGCGCGCGACCCAGTAGAGCATCGCGCTACAACTGGGCGGTGTTCAGCACGCCAAATTTAATGCCAACCCTATTAACAATTTTTTCACATAGCCATGTGCCTTGTATCACGTGGTGACCCCCACGGTCGTTTCACTGTAGCGTCTTCGACGCTACAGGGGGAGCCACGCACTTCGTGCGCGGCGGGTCATACAACGTATGACAACATGTGCCTACGCGTATTGCGTGACGCGCTTGTTTCACAAGCGAGAGGGCTCTGGTTAGAGCAAAAAAATTTTCAATCGTGTTTATATGAAGCTGCTAAGCATTACCACAAAAGCTTAGCTGAGATCCCAGCTCAGCTGTAGGGCCCAGCACTGCCGCAAGCTGCTGCCAAGTTGAAACCAAATAAAATTGTTTTCAAATATTTAACCTGACACCGATTTAATTTCCAAATCACCTCACATAATACATATGTATATGGGATGACCATGTCATGTTACGTGGTTTAATACGGTTATAAGGTACAAGTTATCAGCAAAACTGTCCGTTATTGGCTACGTGACATATCATTACCGTACTAACCAGATAATCGCAAATTTAACTGCATTTAGGCTGACTTTTTATGTTTAGAGACTAGTCTAAATTAGGGTGTTACGTTTACTAGGTACAACTTGCAACTGTTTGTACTTTATTTGTAGTTTAAACTTTAGAATATATTATATTTAAATGTTAATTTAATCATCTTTAGATAACTTAAACTTATTATGATCGAATTTATAGCTTTAATTAAACAACACTGTTCAATAGTCAGACTTAATTAAGATTATTGGAGATTGCACTCACATTATCCTGTTTTATTCACTGGTAGTTTTCATCTAATTGATCAGTCAGTGGTGTTATTAACAGTATTACTTATGACCCTGGATTCTTTTCGACGTATTTTTGTTAAAGGCATATACCTTCCAGTCACTCTCTTGCTATTCCAAGTCGCCTAAGATATTTGATCTAAAGTTCGTGCTATTTATTAGTGGGCAAAAGGTTGACACGGATGATGACTCAAACTGCGTAGGACTCCACCTCCATATAGAGCATGGACTGACTCAGAAGGAAAATTTTAACAATAGTGTTTCAGTGTGTATCCTAGAAAATTCAAGTCCTAGTAGTTTAGATGTTAAGGAGCACCGATATATACATGCCTTAAATTCCCTCCACCCCTCAGGAATGAATAGTACAAACCCTTTTAAGATTCCTTTATTGCATATTTGATTTTTATTTTGTCTGAGGGGCTTTCCATAAATTATTTTTTAAAATACTTGGTCCTTTTATCGATGTTTCATATTTCACGGCAGTTTCCTTTTCAGAGTTTGAGTTTATATTTAGAAACTAACCATACTATCTTTTAGATTTATGTCACTTATGATGGCTCCGGCTGAAAGTACTATGACTCATTTTATCTAGAAGATTGTAGTTTCATTGCTTCTGAAGTAGCTATCAGTTCGCCGGTCAATGTTGGGTATAATACTCTTATCAGTTATATATATTATAATATTATATATCTTGTCTGCTTTAATTGATACTAAATAAAATTGTTGTTTTCTTGAAATTGTTGTTTCCGGAATATCGCGCAAAATAACTTTGCACAGTCTAATTATGAACGCAGGCAACATATTGGCGCGCGGGCATGTATGTACGTACACAGCACGACGGTCGCAAACTACCATATACGGGGAAAAAACCTTGTTCGCTAACCCTTGTCCTTGACTCTTTTGTGCCTTCGGCACTTGAGTCATGGATCAGGTAAAAATGGTACCCCATGGCTGCAGATCAAATCAAATCAACACCAAATTGTATATCCCGTCATCATTGCTTGAGTAATGGATAGTTTTTAATGGATAGTTTTTAAATTGTGTTTAAAAACACAATTTTTGTTATGTTTGTTACCAAATTCTTGTATAAACAGAGGGGGAGCCAAGGTCGTTATATATAGTTTATAGATAATTTATATGATTGGGTCAAGTCAAAATGTAATTTATGGTGTTTGGCCTATAAAAATGGGATTTAGCTACTCACATGACCCATAACAAAGGAGCAAGGGCCAGTGGCGTAACGAAGGGCCCTGCCGACCCCGCTGTGCGGGAAGGGGGGGTGCCAAATTGTCGAATGTGGGACAATTTGGAAAAACTTAACTAGTACAGTACTAGCAAAACTGCGCGTTTTGCTCTAGAAACACACTTTTTTAAAGATTTTACTGGCTTATCCTCTAAAATCATAAAATTTTTCCAATTTTAGGGAGGTCGCCAACAGGGGGAGAGGGGCGCTAAACAGGGGGGCCTTTTTGAGCGGGGGGGGGGGGGGGGGGGGGGAGGGGTAACAGGCAACGTTACGCCACTGGCAAGGGCCCCACTGACCCTGCTGGGTGGTACCAACATGTGTTGTCATGTGATTGAGTTGAAACTAAATCTGAAAGTTATGGTATTTGTGCTGAAAGTCCAAATTGTTGTTTTCTTGAATAACGGTGTCGTCCGCTATCATATGATTACCCAATCAATTTTACCAACAAGATAAGCAAATTGCTCCGTTTCCAGTGTCATCTTGACCTACTGCAATAATATGTTAAAATGGAGTTTCTAAAATGTTTGCAAACAGGAGTACCAACAAGCAATTCAATGTTTAATGGGGATGGTCTCTAATAATTGAATTTTCAAATTTTAGCTACGGAATCCTCTAATGAGTAATTATAGTATCCATAATATCTGCAAAGTAACAGGTCTAAAATATGAAACATGACCCAACATATTATATATGTGTATTGACTTTTCGGGATAAAATTAAATTTCTTGAATAACACAGCTCAGTGATAAAGTCAGTGATAGTCATGGGCCAAATTCTGAATTCTGGCGGCAGAGCTAGCCAAATGATCAAATCAACATTAGAGCAGCGATCTACATGTTTCTATATTAACTTAGTGTAAATAGCAAGTTTGACAAAGGGATTACGTTTATTTTACCCGGAGTTCGTTTAAGTTTAGTATTGTAAATAGTTAATTTGACGAAGGGAATACGTCTATTTTACCCTGAGTTATGTTTTAGTTCAATCTTGACACAATTTTAAAATTATAATTTAATTATTTTATATATTATATGTATTGTCCATAACTAGGGTGGCCTGCTAACAGAACCATGATCTGCCTTGATTCATCCTTCAGCACAGAGAAAAGCTCCATTTTTTATACATTATGATTACAGAGGATCTGATATTTAGATATATATTGCTGTGCTGTAAAAATTGACTTTATTTATTTATTTATTTATTTTATAGCTATATTCTTAACCTTTACTAGAAGTCACAGGATGTCAGCATTTCACACAAAGACTATCGCCAGTGTTTTGGAGCCTGTTGCTCAGCAGGTGAGAATATTCATATCAATTTGGCATATGTTCATTATATGCAAGCCTCTTGATTTATAATACAATATTCTGTCAACAGTATAAGATCCATCAAAACAGAACCTGGGATATTCCATGGGAAAATATTAATTAGATTTGACTTCTTCCCTAAATAACTGACTATTTTTAATTGACTATTTTCAGGTTTCGCACTTGGTGGTGCTCTATGAAGCTGGACAGCAAGGGCAGGCCATGCCTGACCTTGTCGATAACATTCAGCTTGTTCTTACCTGTGTCAGCAATCTGGCTACTGTTGCTGAAAGCACTGCCAAGCAGAGTAACGATGCTACATTTATTGTGAGTTATTTTATATACAGTATAAACTTGATACTTTTGGAATTTTGCTGTCTTGAATATGTTGTTTAATTATGGTATTTATCACGTAATTGGCCATCACTCATCAACTACCTGTCATTGCATTGATTAGCTAAACTTAATTTCAGAGAGATTTTCCTTCTGCTATGGATGCAGTAAATAACAGCAGTACCGCTCTTAACGAAGCAGTTCTGGAACTGAGAACTGATCCGTACAGCAGTAAGGGGCGGCGCAAGCTCATTACAGGCGCTAAAGGAATTCTAACAGGTTAGTAATTAACTACACTTTGAAACATCAACCCTTAGATCTTTTAATATTTACCATACAACAGCTGTCATGAAAACTATTCGATAGTGTTTATTATGATCAATATACAAATTAATTATTTATACATGACTAAACTATTGGGGAGGCCGACATTTGAGACCCCTGATATCAGGGGTCTCACGGTGATCAGATCATATCACCAATTATCGACGATTAATTAGTGATGTGATCCATTAGTAGAATTTAATTAATTTTAATTGACCTAGAAATGGGCTAGATATAGGGTAGAGTTCACGTGACAACTCTGTACATCATTGCTGTACATGAAGAAGTAAACATGATAGCTAAGACTTTTCTGACTTTTCTAAGACTCGTAGATCACATAAGGGACAGGAGCACTTGCTAATGGGGGTAGTTCTCGTATCAAGGGACGTGAGACTTGTGTGTTAAAGGCATGTAAAGGGAGTACCTGAACTGATCAGGTGTAAATACGTGGATCTTAGGTATATAAACCGGAAGATGAACGACAAAACTACTCGAACATGGTTGATTGGTTGAGGGCTTTCATAGAGGATTCAAATCCCGAGTGCATCGTCCAAAGCCCTCTGTTCAAGATTATGTGCGAGCAATTAAAGAGCAGTAGGTCATTACTAAATTTCACGTAGACAGGCTGAGTGTTGGTAAGACACCCGCTTAGAGGAAAAGGACTTGCCACACTCAACTTCATGATATCTGCTCATTTAACTCCACATACTCTAGCCAGATGGTGTATCTGTTTGCTGTACAGTTTTAATGTATTCAGTATTCAGTATTCAGTATTCAGTATTCAGTATTCAGTATTCAGTATTCAGTATTCAGTATTCAGTATTCAGTATTCAGTATTCAGTATTCAGTATTCAGTATTCAATATTCAATATTCAGTATTCAGTATTCAGTATTCAGTATTCAGTATTCAGTATTTAGTATTCAGTATTCAGTATTCAATATTTAGTATTCAGTATTTAGTATTAAGTATACAGTATTCATTATTCATTATTCAGTATTCAGTATTCAGTTTAAAGTATTCAGTAATCAGTATTCAGTATTCAGTAAATTTGATTTATTAAAATTGTCTATTGACTTGTTAATTTCAATCAAAAGTTAAACTGTAGAGTATGTATCAGATCTGCTAACCGAGAATATTGTTTGGCTACATTACAACTCCTGCTGTGCAGCTTGTACTGTGTTTTTATACAAGTACACGATGGAGGAAAAGGATACTGTTTTTACTGTGATAAGATTTTCAGATTACTCTTCCTTCATTAATGACGAGCATGAGCACTATAACGGTTGGATCACTGAACTCACCGAAGCTACGAACTGTGACAATAAATCAGATTTTTCAGTTGAAACGTTCAAAAAGCCAGTGAAGGAAGTATTAGCTAAACTTTTGTATACTGCGTATCAGACTACCAGTGGTCATATAAGTGCGTTTCTGGATATCAAAAAAAATATGGAGGAGTTGAAAAGCCATCTTATCCGATCACAAAGTACTGCTATCAAGCTGCAGGCTGAACTTCTGGAAATCAAATCGAAGCAGTTGGAATCCACCGTGAAAACCGCTGTTCAGAACAATGTCCAAGCTGAGATAAAGACATACAGTCAAGATATGTCTAAAACTGCACCTGTGCTCACAGAAGAGAGTTTGAAAAAGGTTGAACAGAATGCTGTATTGGAAGAGGATCGCAGTAGTAATGTGCTCATCTTTGGTTTGAAGGAGACTGATGAAGAGAAACTGTACGATAAAGTGTACGTGATTTGGGTTGGAAAGAAATCTGCCGACAAGACTAGACCATTCAAAGTTTCGCTAGGTAATTCTAGTACAGTTCATCAGATATTAGTATATTGCAAAAGATGTGAGTCTGAGTGAAGATCGTAAAACTGTTTTCATTTCTCCAGATCGATCACCTGAAGATCGAGCTATCCATCAGCGGTTGGTCTTGGAGATGAAACAGATTATAGCCAAAGAGGACACAAAAATCATTATTATTATACAATCAGAGTGGTAATATTTGTCGCGAGGGAAAGATATCAGAGAGAGTGATACATAATAAGGAGTGATATACATGTCCATAAGTTTTTACCGTGTGTGATACATTTAAAAAATGTCAAATAAAGTACTATGGTTCTTAAATTTTTTACTAGTAATAGTATATTCATAAATTAAGTACCTAGTTTTTGGAGTGTATTGTAAGGCCAGCTGCCTTGACATCAACAATCTTTATTCTAATTTTTATTGTTGATATAAGCGGGATGATAATGCTTAATATCATTTTTAAAATTTCATTGCAGGAACGTGTGATCTGCTGCTTATGTATGACGAAAGCGAGGTGAGGAAAATAGTGAAAAACTGTGAGGCTGTGAGAAGCTATTTCCCCGTCTGCTTGGAGGTGAGCTGAATTCTATCACAATAATATGAACAATATGGCCTAACCAACTTGTGTTTCAAAAGAGACTCCAATAAGAACTAATTTAAATCGTTTATTCTTAATCAGCGATCAGATTTTATAAACAAAATTGTTTATATTCATTATGATATTTCCGTCGATTTATCAAGATTGGTATGTCATGAAATAACTATAATTATCCTGAATAGGTCGGGACTCTGGAGGACTTGAGTTTTTACATAAAGAATTTAACTCCTGGTTTGACTCAAGTGTGCAAGGCTGTTAAGAACAGAGCCGACGAGCTGCTTCACAAGCCATATGCTGTAAGATTATTTAATTTAGTTTTGATCTGCTTTAATAATTTGTTTTGCTGCATTTTAGGAGCAGATCAATAATAAGCATAAATTAGTCGTTAATAGTAAAAACTTAACTTTATCTTGCTTGAAGGATATCCTGAGAAGGGAAACGGAACAACTTAAGAAATTTGCTCCAATGTTGATCGGAGCCAGCAAGAGTTTGATAAATGCACAGGGAAATGAGGAGTTGACCAATGCTGCCCATCAGAACTTGTGAGTCGTTCTTGAGGGCGAACTAGGGTTGATATTGCAGTCTAAAACGGAGTTTGAGTACTAGGGCGGTTCGTAGTTACCCTATTGTTAGATTAAGTTCTCATAGCCCTGTTATTTGAAAACTAGGAATACCGCATAATTAAACTGTAAATATTGATTCACATTATTTATCAGAGACACGACTATTGAGAAGATGAATGCTTCAATGAAGGAGATAATCAGAGTTTTGCTCATGAAAGATCCAGATTATGGGAAGAAGATCATAGCAGATTTCCATCCTCTTGCATTGTAAGTTAAAATAATGACTGAAAACATAACTTGTACGTGACTTGTTTGGTTTCCGAGTAAAATTGTGGCATGTAGATTGTAATTTACATCGGAAAAGGTAACTTTAATTATTGTGTAGCGCCGGAATTTGCACATCGCACACTCTGTACTGTACTATTATTTGTAATGAGAACTAAACAGCTTTCAACACCCCTCCCAACTCCTTTACGACATGTCACTCTGCATTAACAAAAATTATTGTTACCGTAAATTGCATTCCAATGGATTCCACATACCTAAATATATAATATATGTACATAATACGAGTGAAAAGTGACTAATATTTGTGATACATGACAATATAATATCTTGATACACGCTGCGCGGGTCGCATGAGTTATCATGTATGAAGTGTGACTGTTATCAGTAAAATACAAATCACAAGCCTGTCACTACACTATGTAACACACGCCACTTCAGGGCAAAGGATGCCGTTATGGCAGATTGTAACAGAGTGAGAGATTGGTTAAAGCACGGCAAGTTGACTGATGCTGAGGGACTGAAGTGCGCCACTGAACTCATATCTGCTGGTAGGTCCTGTTAATTAGATTAATTAGATACGTGGATAATTAGATGTGCTAATTGTTCAGAACACAATCATAGTTTGTATCAAGAAGTCAAATACTTCTAATTATTTTGGTATGAATGGGTCAAATTGTTCTTAATCGGTGGTAAAAATTTCATACATCTGTCAAGAGCATACAAGGTCAAATGATGATTGCTGGAAAATTTGATGACCATGTACATGTGCTTTAATTTTCATTTATACCGACCTAATTTTACATAAAATATTAATTACCTGTTGTATTGATAATTTAGATATAATATTAATTATTCAAAATGGCGATGCTGACGAATGTGTATTTAGGAAAGGAGCTGGCTGCAGGAGTATCTGGGCCTAAAGGAGAGGAGATTGGCGAGGTTGTCAAGGCTATTGACGGAATCGTTAACGATCTAAAGAATCTTGGAGATGCTGTAAGTTAACCTGCTCCATCGCTGTAGTACGGTTAATAATTAGTTCATATTATGTTTATTGTTTACACTTAAAATAATTTCCTGTTGAACAACCCTAATAAAACATAAAATAAACCGGACCACCCCCACATCAGGGATCTGAAACGGACAAGGCAGCTCTCAAAAAGGCTCTCTTGGAGAACGTTGAAAAACTGGACACGCTCGTCAAGAACACTGATGTTCTAGCTTCCACACCTAGCGGTGCTGTTTCCCGCCGGATTGAGGACGCTAAACGGTGGGCTAAAAGCGGAGACAACCTCTCCAGCGAGACAAATGCTAATTTCTCTGACCTGCTGACTACCAGCAGAGCCGTTGCTAAGGCTACCAGTGGGAAGGAAGGAGCTATGATTGAGAAGAGTATAGATAAGATCGAGGAGCTGTTGCAGGAGGCGGGGCGTCTTGAATTGGAAATTGGAGTGAGTTTTTGATAATCCGGCCATTGTTCCACATCAATATTGTCAAGATCAAATGATTATTATTAATTATTATTAATTATAATAATTAATTATCGGATCCCACGTCTTCATATTGTCCATTTCAAAGGAAATTTTGAGTACTTAGTTCGGAATTTAGATTGATCTGTTTAATTCGTGTAGCACGATCCGAACAGAGCGTTACTACAGTCTTGAAATTTAAGCGATGAACGTCTGAAGCTTATTATATAGTCTAGAGCAGTATTTTCGTGTTGTTGTGGTTGAAATCTGAACTACAAGCCTCGTTTTAAAAGTTGAAACCATGTTGAACTCAAAGTCGGGGAAGTTTGAGAAAATAGAAATGGATCTACTACTACTTTTGGTGTGTCATGATGTTGGCTTACTATTGTGCCAATTTCGTTCCACATAAATATAGTATAGATGGGAAAGATCAAATGATATAATTTATCGGATCCAGGGACAAAAGGATTTCGCGATTATTTTGGCCAAAAATTGTGATACCGCGAATTTTAACAGACTATATATTAAACTATACATAAAATTTGTCGCAAATAATGGGAAAATCGCGATTCCGTACTTGCCGCGATTTCCTTTTGTCCCTGATCGGATCCCAGGTGTTGGTATTGTCCATAACAAAGGAAATTTTGAATACTAACAGTCGTATGTTACCCCAGAATAACAAGGGTAAAGCAGACAACAGAGCGAGGATCCTAGCGTGGTTAGCTCAACTAAATAACCAAGTTAAGATGGCAGATGAGAAGAACATCCTGCCGAGTGAAGTTGTGAACGCAGGAGTCGGTCAGCTGTCTGAGTGGGCTAAGGATAGTCCGGCGGTGAGTGACGCGAATGCGCACCATGCGTACAACAAAGTCTTGGAAGTCAGCAAAGCTGTGTCAGAGGGACTGAGTAAGGCAGAACGAGACCAGGTTCGGAGATGTATTTTGTTCGGTTTTTAATATTTTAAATTGGAACTCTAGATCAGAAATATCATAGCCTACTCTGGACGTGAAAAATTGGAACGGTGGTTATCCAATAAACTGTCAGTTTTTCCGCTATTAGCTGTTATAACAACAAACCTTGCAGGTTGAGGGGCTGATAGCTGAGGTTGGGGAGGCGATGGAGTCTTATCAGGCTGTAATCCAGGGACCTACTCCTACTCATGCTGCTATCAAGAAGAGTCAGGCAACCCTCCTGCAGGCTGTCCATAAGATAGGTTAGTCAAACTTATTTACAGACGCTTGTTTTTTAATGTTGTTCTGTGAGATTTTCTGTAGATACAATCTTGAAACCTTGAAAGATAGTAAAAGTATCCAGATTAGAGGCAACACCCAATACGGTATAAACAAAAGAACTGGTGGTTATTTAATGGTCATGTTCCTTGAATTTGGTGGTATTACTTGGAATTATTTTATATTCTTATTGTATAGAAAATTCATAAAGCAAGGTGATATAGTGAGTGGTCAAACTCAGTACGAATAGATACTTTTTTGATCAATAACAAATCAGTAGTACCTATATTTAAAAGTATCAAAAGATCGTGTGCTCTATGCCAAATTGCCAATAAAAATGTGCCTTTGACAGTACTACCTCTATCATACATATCCGAGAACACATTTTGGTTTTGTTAAAAGTTTTTGCGATTGGTTTGCGAAATGTACACATTTTATTTTCACATCGACGTTAGGCGTATGGACCATTACATGGGTGAGTCAATTGGAACTGTCGTTTTGTAAATGATTCGCTATTGGATAAACATTTCTTGGTTTTTCCAATCATCACTACCAGGCCATGTAAGAGAGGTTTTTTATTTTCTTTACATCTACTAAAGTACTAAGTTATGTAACCAATGTTTATAAATATTCAAGGTGGTATATTGTTGGTAGGATGACGATGACAGACGGATAAGAACTTTTTTGTTATGTTTTCATCTTCATCAGATAAGCTTTCATTTCTTTCAACAGATTCATGTCAAACGCGGACCTTTATACATTCTATCCGCAAAAATATACTCACCACTCGTGGATACCAAAAATTAAGAGCTAATTTGGCAAATAATCAGCGCTCCTTGGCATCTAGATCATTTCCCAAGCATGACTATAATAATGTATAGATTACTATATTATGATAGCCATAAGACTGCTATAATAAACCCATTATAATATGGATAATCCTATATTTGACGTATAATGCTCTACTTCATACCTATACGCCTAATTGAAATAAGGAACGCACGAAGTGTAACTTTGTGAAGTCTCCGTCAGTGAAGGATTTAAGGAATGGAAGTTTCCATAAAATCTGTGTAATTGTTAACTTTAACTCCGCTAATTATTCCGTCAACTTAGTTTGGAATTTGGATTGATCTGTTTAATTTATGTGGCAGGATCCTCCGACCCATACAGTAAGGCACGAACAGAGCGTTACTACAGTCTTGAAATTTAAGCAATGAACGTCTGAAGCTTATTATATAGTCTAGAGCAGTATTTTCGTGTTGTTGTGGTTGAAATCTGAACTACAAGCCTCGTTTTTAAAGTTGAAACACCATGTTGAACTCAAAGTCGTGGAAGTTTGAGAAATGGATCTACAGCTACTTTTGGTGTGTCATGATGTCGGCTTACTATTGGGCCAATTTGGTTTGCAACGAGGCGAGAAGGAGGGGTTATTTGAAAAAATCTATCCTTGCCATTCAAATGAAGCCGGATAAAGTAACGGAAAAGGCACCGAAAAAGGTACCCGAGAAAGTATCCGAGAAAGTACGGTTCGAGGAAGTACCTGTGATGGAAGATGAGAATTTACCTGCGGAAATACCTGAGAAAGTACGGTTTGAGGAAGTACCTGTGATGCAAATGGAATCTGAGAATTCACCTGAGGAAATACCTGAAGAAATACGAATTGAGAAAAAAAGGTTTGACGAAGAATTTGAGGAAAAAATTGGTGAAATACCTGAGATTTTATCTGCGAAGGTATCTGTGAGGAAGTTTGTACAGTTTGAGGAAGTATTTGAAAAAGCACGGTTCGATGTAGTAGTTGAGAAAGAACTTAAAGAACTATCCGGAGAAGTAGCTAAGAAAGAGCCTGAGAATTTACCTGAGGAAATAACTGAGAATTTACTTGAGGAAATACCTGAGAATTTACCTGCGGAAATACCTGAGAATTTACCTGAGGAAATACCCGAGGAAATACGATTTGAGGAAACTAGATTTGAGGAAACTAGATTTGAGGAAACTAGATTTGACGAAGAATTTGAAAAAGAATTCGAGGATGTACTTCAGTATTTACCTGAGGACGTTCTTGAAGACATTCTTGAAGAAACACCTGAGGAAATACCTGAGGAAATACCTGAGGAAATACCTGAGGAAATACCTGAGGAAATACCTGAGGAAATACCTGAGGAAATACCTGAGGAAATACCTGAGAAAGGTTAATAATCTCAAAAAAAGCTAGCTCAACATTTATTTTTTTGTTTTTGTTTGGATGACCTCACTTACTTTTCGACCATCAGATGTCCATTGTCCAGTTTCTGATTTATCGCAGTTACTAATTTTTGTAATATTGTAAATTTTTCAGGTACAGTTTTGGAGAAAGCCGATATGACTGGAGACAATGCAGCTGAGAATGTCACCACAGGTAAACTATTATATTTACTTCGAATACTAGAGCACCGTCATAAATAACTTAAGAAGTAATCTTGAATAAAAAACATTTCCTTTTGAAAAAACAAAACAGTAAACCCTTATCCGGTCGAACATCCCCCGATCACGACTAAACCTCATCTAGAATACGCACTTAACTCTTCTAAAATACCACTAGCCCCTCTCCACTGACATTACCAAAACTTAACCCTTTGTATCTCAGGTGTTGAAAGAGTCTGTGATCTGGTGGACGCTAACAAGGTCGGAGCTAGTCCTAAAGTTGAGCAGAGTATTCGTCAAACTGTCGACAAAGTGGCCGCTATCGGTTCGTATATTCATATTTTAAATTCATTTGTTTCTGATGCTCAGATTTATTCAGTTGTTGATCCTTGATCGTTAGTTAAATATCCAAAGGAAAAATGGCTAATTCATAGAATCTACCCGCCATATTCGTTGATACGAAGAAAACCACTCAAATAAAATCATTGTGAGAGTTTTTAAACTTGAAGGCATGTTAATTATTAAGGAAAATTCCAGCATAGAAACCACTAAAATGTTTAAAACGTCTATAAATATTTGCTTTTAAAAACATCATCCGCATTCCACCCATCTTAATAATTACATACACATAGCTCCTAAAACAGAATTAAGAAAGCGATTACAACTCAGCTCGTTTACTCAAAATATTAGTAGTCTCAGTGCCTCCCCTGACCTCACTTCCCCCCAACTTCCCCCGCCACCTGATCCCCAGTGACCTGACACTCCGACTCAACTCACCGCACCTCACACAGACCACCAGAGGGTTATACGCTGCCAGCACCACCGGGAACACCGTACTGATAAGATAGTACAGATAGTACATGTAGTACCGTGTGTCAATGTACTTGGTCATGTTATCACGTGGGGTCTGTGGCAGATCCCTGTCCAGGAACATCCAGAGCAGGAGGAACACCACCAAACCACCGTTCATCAGGATTATTGTAACACTACCCTGGTTCACTGCTCCACCTCCTCCTTCTCTCCTCCTCCCTTTAAACACAATCCACCCTGCTGTTAACAGCGAGAAGAGGACTCCAGCCCCTAGGTTCAAGTAGAAAACACTGTTAATCCAGAGGACGAGGAATATGTGACCCTGAGGTATGGCCCACTGACAGGGCCCGAACCAGTAAGCCTGACCAGTCAGGTTCTTAATAAAAACAGCAGCTGTAACAAGGTGAACTAGTAGAATGTAGGAGCAAACAGCTCGCTTTATAGCTGTTTTGTGAAGGTAGCTCCAGATGGGAAGGGTTAGGAATGCGAACCTTGTAACTGCCAGGAGGGAAATCAGAGCTCCCATTATCAAACTGTCTGGGGTGGAATTAACTTGGAGTTATATGAGACATTTTAATGGAACAGAAATAGGTTTATTTGTGAGTAAGTTAAGTTGTGAAAGACAAAAACTTTCGGACAAAGAAATGGTTATCTTTGTGTATCTTGCTTGGCTGATAATGTTTTTGTGAGATGATAAAATAGTTTCAAATTCAGACTGAAATTATCAGTCTGAAACTCCTATACTCTAAATTATGCTACTATGTACACACGACACGACATTCAGACAACTGCTACATTTACCAACGTAGTGTTACGAGAGCAACTGATGGAGTGCTTGCTGTGTGTGTGTGTGTGTGTGTGTTTGTGTGTGTGTGTGTGTGTGTGTGTGTGTGTGTGTGTGTGTGTGTGTGTGTGTGTGTGTGTGTGTGTGTGTGTGTGTGTGTGTGTGTGTGTGTGTGTGTGTGTGTGTGTGTGTGTGTGTGTGTGTGTGTGTGTGTGTGTGTGTGTGTGTGTGTGCGTGTGTGTGTGTGTGTGTGTGTGTGTGTGTGTGTGTGTGTGTGTGTGTGTGTGTGTGTGTGTGTGTGTGTGTGTGTGTGTGTGTGTGTGTGTGTGTGTGTGTGTGTGTGTGTGTGTGTGTGTGTGTGTGTGTGTGTGTGTGTGTGTGTGTGTGTGTGTGTGTGTGTGTGTGTGTGTGTGTGTGTGTGTGTGTGTGTGTGTGTGTGTCTCTTCTCTGAAATCCGTGTAATAATTTCTCACTAACAGGAATCAATATCACCCTCCGTGCAGAACTCTGTACATTACAATCTTGTTGTTGGTGAAGCCTCTAAAAGTTGATACGTGTAATCACGTACATGTCTCACACGGTCACACATAATATGTAACAAACAGTCACATAGTCACACGGGTCACACATTACACTGGAAGAGCCTGAAGCCCCTAATATAAACTTATAAAACCCTCACACACGTGTAAGGGATATTGTGACGCTGGTCACACACACGTATTAGGTGTTATTGACAGCCCACATTTCAACGTGTCTATCATGTCATTCCACTGAAAAAACACATACCACGGTCAGCAGCATAGCTCTAATATTACTCGTGCTCATATAATAATAGTATCCCACCCACCTGATAAAGTGAAAATACTGAGGACTCTCTGGAATGGAGACACGGTGTCGAGGTAGAAAGGGGATAGTTCGGCTTTTAGAAGTGTGTACATTTGTTGGGGACATTTTATCAGACAGACCGCTAGATCCCAAACTGCTATGCATCTGAGGGTAGGAAATCTTAGAATAATTTTAAGAAGTAACAATGTATTAACTATTAGCCGCGTCGTCTAGTGATGAGCTTCACAAACAAATTCAATTTTGCGACGGTAGGGACTAGGGATGGTAGAATGGACATAAAAGTTTAAATACGCTGAAACGAATCTGACCTGTAAATGATGGAAGCAACATTCTTGCTGTTAACCGCGGTGTTATAGTAAAAGAGAGCAACATTACACACAACACCCAACACCATTGAGAGTAGTGCTATCAAAGCGAACAGGTAGTTTACTACCTGATCTGTTTGTGTTCCAGTGTGAGTGTAGACCACGTGGTCAAATGTTAAGTTGGTGCTTCCAAATATCATGATTTCTGCATTAGCAAGTGAGAAGTAGGAATTTGGAGAGTTTTGAATTTTTAGAGTAACAAATTGATACTAAAAGTTTAGAAATCAAGGAAACAAAGTAAAGTGTGAGTCAAGTTTCTGATACAGTACGTGTTGAGAGGTCAGGATGAAAAGCGTGCTGAAATCGAATTACCTGTGTTCGATAAGCCCGTTATGATGTTTCAAAATATCCGAGTTTCATTATTCGTTTCAAGTCTTAACAAACAGTATAAAATAGGTCACACATCAGCTGATTAAGAATCACTAGAATTTTAAATGGTGAACTTCGAAAACAAATATTCTCCCAAAGTCCCAAGTTCTCCTCGGTGTGGTAGCCAAATATGACAATTTAATAAGACAATTTAAAAGTAAATCCTTGTGTTTCAGGAAAAGCTGTTGCTCACCACAACCCTGGTCCAGAAGGTGATAGAATCAACGAACTTTGTGACAATGTAAAACATTACATATCCCAGAGGACGTGGGTCATCAACAACCCAGAAGTAAGAACTAAGACTATAACTTATCTTTTATTCTATCAATGAAAATGATCTTTTCGTTTTGTCTACAAATTATCTCTCTCTAAATGGCAAACATCAGATCAAACAAATTTTCTCTGAGCGGCACTTATGATCTGTTAGTTAGTTAGTATCGAGATGGTTTTGGCGCCTCCTTAATGACTAACAACTAATTACTAATTTGACTAATGACCATTTCTACTTCAGAAAGTCACTCCGGAGATGGTGGCAGCTAACAGTGCCAATATTAAGGACGCTTTGAGAGAGTTGGAGTCTAAAATTACAGCTGTGGAACAAGACAGAGAGTAAGCATACTTTTAATTTATCTTTATGAATTTGTTTGGTTTTAATTAGTTTAGGATCTCAAACAGTAATATAAATACGATAAACTCACTTCTTATTAACACAACAATGAATAATACCATCTTCTGCACTTTTACTTCGATAACCTCGAGTCAGTGGTCTCCAAGACATTAACTGTTTATATGGAAATATCTAATTATAGCGTTATAATTATAATAACTCCTTATAATAACTGCCTCATTATTATAACCTTCCACCTTGCACAGTGAGGGTACGGAGCTGGTGAGTGCGGTTAGCGCAGCGCAACAGTGGGCAAGCACCGGAAAGGGTGGAGACGCGCAGGGAACCACCGCTGTCGGAAAAGTAATTTCTCAGAGCAGGTCAGTCTGATGGAAACTTTCCCGTAATTTCAGCCTCAACTTCTGCCTATTTGCCGGTTATTTTCAGGATACGATTTAAAGAATTTGCTATTTGAGCCCGTTTGTTAGTGCGTTTCCTGACGGCCAACGTCAATGCCTACATTAGCCTTGTCTTTCATGAGTGTGGAAATTAATGCTACTGTTTTCCTTCCCATTTTTTCTGCTTCGCTGGGCAGACTTTCCGAAATTTCCCGTTTTATCGCCAGTGCTTCGACCGTATAATCCCAGATATGTTGACTTTTGAAACCATAAAACACCCGTGGTGACCGGATACGTTACGTCACACCCATCTTGACACAAATCATCACCTATTAGTATTACTGATAATTATGTCACCTTTCAAAATATGCGGCGTGTGTAAGGGATTAATGGAGGGATGGTTGAGAGCTTCCTGCATAATATTGGTGTTTTACAGCCCTGTAGATTTAATAATATTGGGTTTACTAGACCAGCCTTCAACCCACTGAATATAATGTAACCCGGCATAATATTATGGAGTTATGTATGTATGGTAAATTCTACAGTTTACACATGCCAGAATGTCACTAATTTTGTTTGAGAATGTGAGACAAATTTCGTGAGAAATGGTCGGATTAATAAAGTATTGTCTCCCATTATCTGACATCAACATCGTGAATTCATGAAACCAAATGCAGTAAATATAACCCTTGGTATTCCTCCCTCATTCCTAAGAGATGAAATTATAAATTCCATTCTGGCCAATCATGACAACATCCATCCCATTACTACATTACCGCAGAACATCACTTATTAACCACCCATAGGCCGGCTGTGTCACACTAAGTGTGCTGTATGCTTTACAAACAACAGTTTATCTTATTAACCTTACTCATTAACTTTAACTAAAGCTCTAAGTAAACTTTAACTTTAGCTAAGGCCCTTGGAACGTATCTTGTAATTTAACCCTGCATACCACGAATGACAGCACCGCACAGAACACCTTCCACAGTACTGATAAGAGACTATGAGAAAGAGCATGTGGGGGAGCTGTACTGCTCGAGTTAGCACTAATCGCATTCTTCGTCCCTTTCTCGTTACATTCCCCACATTTGTATTACTACACATTCTAGACTGTATAGTTTGTTGGAATGGTGCCATGCAGTTAGTGCTCTGATGATAACACACCACTTTGCTAGCTTCAAGTTGTTTTTCCAGCTTTGTGGTTTAATCGGCTCTGAAGCTCAACCTCAGCAACTGTTGAAGAATTTACAGTCCTGATCTTCTATCCAGTCTGTGGATTTATATCTGATCCAGTGTCTATCTGATCCAGTGTCTATCTGATCCAGTGTCTATCTGATCCAGTGTCTATCTGATCCAGTGTCTATCTGATCCAGTGTTAATCAGAGAGGTGGTGATGTTTGAAGATGATGATGGTTAATAGGTTTACAGGACCTATAAAGAAGTATCTAGAAGCAAGGTTCGACTACCAAGTTGTTAGGTATAGATGTGCCCTGCCCAGGTTCCAAAGGTATAATCCCAGTAGAATAGAGCACGTGATATGAAGTAAACTGCTCTCTTCTACTGCAGCATGAGGCTGAGTCTTTTTAGAATATGTATCCTTTTAGTGAAGAGTTCCCTCTGCAAAACTGGATGATATCTTGATAGCAAATAGCTGGCTGACCTTATTCAAACTGAAATATATACCTTAATTCCCAAAAATTTGGGCGACAAAAAATTTGAGCGGGCCTCTCGCCCAAATTTTTTGCAGACCAAATAAATTGCATAAATCTTTTCCGTCTGCTAAATTTTTTGCTAACCAAACTTTTGGCATTTAGCCTGTGGCCCTGAGATCTATAGAAAGATGGCTTTTTCTTCATATCCAAGTGAAATAATATTTGAAATTTTAGTTTTCTAATCTGTCATTCATGGCTTAACCAAGTGAAATGACAGATTTCACTAAAAATGAACGATTTTTAGTGGAAAATCGTTCATTTTTCGAAGAATTTGTGCCAAAATTTTTGGTCGCCCAAATGAGTTCAAATTTTCTGCCCAAATTTTTCGGGCTCAAATAAATTGTGCTCAATATAATGGCACACAAATTTTTGGGAACTAAGGTATAATAATATTTATAAATCTGTATAGCGAAGAGCTGCCTGGCTAAACTGTAGTATCTTACTGAGAAATCTATATAAAATATGATCCTTTTTTTTGAGACGATAATTTATAAATCTAAATCCTAAGTCAATTTCTCATGTCTCAATGCACTCAGCTTCGCGCACTACATCTTTACATCTTAGATTGTAATGTAGATTGTAATGTAAATTGCAATGTAGATTTTAATGTAGATTGTATGTACTTTCAAGTTAAAAATATTTTAAATATTTGGTAGCCTTCTCTTGGTTTCGTCTGAGTCTAAGTCAGTATCATTGGAAACCTACTGATCTAAAGCTACGATTATGAGTTAAACTGAAACTATTTAAATTATAACGTCAATGAAAATAATAGTCATATGATTGATAAATCATATAAATAATTATCAATTAATTATCTAATTACAACTCAGGTATCTAGCCCGAGGACTAAACACAAGAGATAAACGAGAGATATTCGACCTCTGTCAGGAACTTGAGGATCTTATTGATGAATACAACCGGGTAAATTTAACTGTAAATTTCTCATCTCCCGGAGTACTGAATAATCGTCAGTGTTTGAAATTGTTAACAAGATGGTTTACAGATCACATAATCAAGAGAATGAACATTAGGATGATTACTGAATAGTGAGTATGAAATAATGTGCGTGCTGAGAGTCACTAGACAGCCACTTGAGTACTGTATTATGTAATTAAAAATTACATAATTACATAATTACAGTAATTATGTGCCAAAAGACTTGTGACCACATCAACTAGTTACAGTTATTGTAATTGGTTGATCAAGCGATCAAGGATTGCGTGACTCATGGCCTGTGGGGTAAGAATGCTAGTTTACGTAATAATATGTGAAAGGTGAAATGGTAAGTAATAACTATTACAACTAGTACTATAACAAAGTGCGAGTTTAGTGCCGACATCTGCTGATTACCTCGTACTGGGTAGTTTTGTTGAGTAAGTTAGAGAAATAAAAGAGAAATATTGAATGATCAGATCGGTCTGATCAGCAAATGTCGACACTTCGGCAAATTCTTATCAATAACAGTAGATACAGAGATTCCGACAACCGAGTAACAATGTAAACCATCATGTTTTTAGGTCTCTATTTTGCAAACTGACGATTTGCCAGTTTTTTAGTAAATGTGTTGTAAAAAGTTTGCATTTTGCATTTGTCCACAATTTTAGAAGTTTTTGTTTTACTTCTGGTATTTTTTTTATAAAAGTGTTAAAAGGTTTAAAAAACTCGTTTGCAAATGTTTACAATTTATTAAATCCTCGTTTAAAAGTTTAAAGTTTCAAACTAACGTCCCCTAATTAACCAAACACTAGGCCCCTGAGGGTAGAAAGAGAGCCCTGAGGTCCCAGATAGCAGATAAGATGAACGCTGTAAAACAAGCAGCTCGTAAAGCTAACACCTCCGCAGTACCTGGGTTAGTGTCTCCACTCTTTTGTTGGGGTCTGATAGTTGCTTTTTCGTTTGGATTTAGTTTTATTTAGTTTCTTAATTGTGAGGTATTGCTTTTTCAGATAATACGATGAGTGTTTTTTAAAGTAGTTTATTAATTTATTAAGTCATTAGAATGACAATAAAGTGCGAATGACAATAAAGTGAGATGACAAGTAAAGCTTGTTTTCGATAAAGCTTGTTTTCAATTGGTATGACTTTTAGGGGGCCCAAGAAACCCAAGCGGGGACAGTTTAAACGACAACTCTCAAGACAGCGATCTTGGCAGAGATCTTGCTCCGTGTAAACTAGCAGCCATATTATAACTCATGATTATACCAATGATGGAATAAGATCTTAATTCCAACTTATTACGAGCCCTGTCTATTTAATTCATTTAATTGAATAGATTTTACCAGGTGCGATAGAAAAAGTCTATCGGATTTATTTATTTAATTTTAAAAGCAAAAAACCTTAGATTTTATATAAGCTACGAGTTTCGAAGCATTTCGTAAGTTCAACAATGTTGTGATATGTAATAGAAAATTAATTGTTTATAATCAGCATTCGATTATAAGTAAGGCAGAATAACATGATCTGTTATATCTCATATTTAATCAAAGTAAAATAATTTAATGACGATTATCAATAATTATAATAAGTAATGTTACGTAATCACTAATCATATAGAACTTTAGGTAGGTGGGGGTAATATGAACTGAATATGGACTGAATAAAACTAACAATATTCCCAGAAGGTCATTTCAAGTGCCAGACATTTTCATAGTCCCCCACTTAATCTTAATTAACTTGGTCGTAATTCATGAAATAATTGTAAAAACCGATCAGGCGAAGTAAAAGCTACAATCATAGTTTTCAGTTGTACCATTAAATCGTGATTTCTTTAACAACAAAACGTAAAGTTTCAGCAGTCAGCACTTTAGCTAGATCATTTATTTACACTTACAGCGACAGTGACTTTCGCTGAATATTATGATTATTCAAAGTTACCTGAATAATATTCAGTAAATGTTAAAAATCCCCAAAACTCACACAAAAACACCCCACGCAGAACGGAAACAGCCGGAGGACTTCCCGAATGTTCTGAGATTATTGACGAATGGCTGGACAGAGACGAGCCTATTCGCAGTAAAGCCGGTACGTAACATTCCCTGTGTAGGTACTCAGCAAATAATATATCAGCTACTTCTCAGGTGAGTTAGATAGCACTTTAATTGTGCTGCAGTGTCGAGTGCCTAATATCGTACGTTGCCTGCTTGTGACAAGCAGCTTGTCGTATCAATAAGGATTGCTTCAGTTTCTGGTAAACTACCAAACTACTCTCTGGTAAATTACCAAACTATGAATTAGGTTTTCCTAAACTCCGTTATTTTAACTTTAATATCTCCCGTTATTTCTAACATGTCCTTATTTCTAATTAGCCAATTTTGTAATTATCATAGGTTGGTAGTTACTAAGAGTCGCTGACCAGTCTCGGAGACAATTTACTACTTACCTAGTCGCTTTGTCTTAGCGGTTATTAATAATTCTATGTTAATGTCACTCCTACGCTATGATTATAATTATAATTCAGCTAGACTTACATAATAATAATATAATGTTTAGAAACTTTACTTTAAAACCCGACTAACTTAAGTTGTATGAGGCGTCTATTAATTATCAACATTCATTCGATCTTGTTATTGTTAGTGAGCTCAATGATAAAACTTTAAAGTTAAAACCTTGATATAATTTGCTCGTTGAACTTAATTTGCTTATCTTATCCTGATTTGAAGCTGGGTAGATATAAACCGGGTTTGATAGTTGCGACAATAAAACAGAACTGTTTTAATACTAAACTAACTGTTTTAATACTAAACTAACTGTTTTAATACTAAACTAACTGTTTTAATACTAAACTAACTGTTTTAATACTAAACTTAGCTCAGTTTTGGTGTTTCTCTGTAAACAGTGACTAGTAACTTGAGAAGTGGAACGTGGATACAATCTAACAAGGGTTGTTTGGTTCATTTTTGGTCGTTCAATTGTTGTTTTGGTCTCGGAGATCTATCCCTTAATGCAACTTATTGAGCTGTTTTAACATTCATTTGCATTCAGAAATCCCTTTGTTTGAATGAAATGTACGATATTATGGACTTATGAAATTAATCGGAATGAATCCCCGTTGTTTAATATAATATGTATGTAATCATGTAATAACTATGTAAATAATAATATGTAATATTCCATAGGTGAGCGAGCAGTGGAGGATGTTATTGATATGGCTGCCGCACTGGCTAAAAACATCGGAGGACCGGTGAGTCAATTAGCTGATTAATATAACTAGCAGGAACCCGTATAATATAACCCTAAACGGTGTCAAGACTCAAGATACTAAAATAATTATTACTTATTTATTTGGCGTTTTTGACACCACTTGGGGGTCCAAATTTTCGGCTCTAAAATCATTATTCCTTGGCCAATTTTTTATTTTTTCATACTGATTTGGAGGCCATTAAAGCATTTGACCCAGCCAAAAAAGTTTCAGTTGTATATCTTTTACGGTTTTTGCGGAAAGTCGCGTTAAAGTTGATGCCGTGGTGTCAGTAAAATGGCACAGATATATATATATATCGTCTCGCTTTATATATAGTAAGATATTATGTACGGTGATGATATTGATTTTAAAAAGTTGGGTGGCAACTTTACATGATGGAATGATGTAATATGAATGACGGTCATTGTATTGCTTCAAATTGTAATGGCCGCCATTTCTACAAATCGAATCATTGATCGTAATGAGGTCATTATGATCTTCACAGATATTAACTTGTTTTATATTTTAAGTTCTAAATGAAAATGACTGACCTCAAGACCCTAAAACCACCCTGATTCCATTGCGCATATTGTATTATATTTATATTCTGGAGTTCTGATGATAATCCATATTATTCATCATCCCCGACCTATGTTCATACCTCTTTATACTTTTATAATAATAGTGGTCTACAATATTAGCAATTGAGTGCTTGTTTGAGGCGATATGCATGCTGTTTATTATTTGATGATACATGTTAAACTTCTTGATACATACTAACATATTTCAAATCTGCCTCAAACTCAAATACCTGCACGCTAGTACAGCTCTATTAGAGAGCTTATTATATTTCAGATTTAACAGCAGCTTTTTTAGAAAACAGCAGCTTTTTTCAGTAACAACTTACAGAGACCACAACATTCTTGACTTGTAAATAACAACACAGAGTACAGACTCATCATCATGAGTATTTATAATTATATAATATACTGTAAATTAAAGAGGCGTATAACAGTATTAACAGGTCACGTTACGTTGTTTGACCTCAGTATTTCAAGTAGCTCTACTTCTCAGGACACTGTAAACTTTAACGTCTAAACTAATAGTGTTGTAAAAATTCAACCCTGTATCTTGACTCTTGAGTCTGTATCTTGACGCGGACCTTTAACTATTCTAATATTTTTATACCGACACCATACAATACCGACAATCTTTATATATATAATATTCTTGAACCCCACGTAATGCTTGGTTAACCTCATATATACATATTACATGTTATGTTAAATGAACCATCACATGTGATGTATTGAGAGACGTAATCGTATCTGTTTCCATGATGTAAGGTCTCTAAATGAAACAACACACCATTTACACGTAATACGATGAGCTCGTTACACTGCACTAGTTTTCATTACCATATAAGGTAATAATTGCCATATTAGGCAATAATTACCATATTAGGTAATAAGACACTCTAGTATGTAATGTATTTTAACATGGCTGATTTTATTACTGATTCAAAACAAATAGGGATAAACACTCAATAAAAGGGAGTGTTGCTTTTTTAGGATTCACTCTATGGGTTTTATCTTAACTTTACGGCTATTTTTAGGAATTTAAACTGAAGGGATTCCGTGTAATATTAACCAACACTTTGAAATCTTACAATATTCCAATATTTAAGAACGGTTCGCATAATTATGTTAAGTTTTGAATATTCTTAAAATAGCGTTGTTGAGTTATTATTATACTAATGTTTTACAGGTAGGAGAGGCTATCAAAGCACAGACAGAGAAGGTCGCCAAACTTCTCAGGCATTTACAAGACGTCATTGATGATCCTAAGGTAAGACAAACTTGCACAAACTTGCACAAACTTGCTCAAACTTGCACAAACTTGCACAAACTTGCTCAAACTTGCACAAACTTGCACAAACTTGCTCAAACTTGCACAAACTTGCACAAACTTGCTCAGTATTTGAAATTAAATGAAAGTTTTTCAAGAATTTTGATTGCTGCTAACTTGTTGATATATAATAATTATCATGTATTTTTGTAAAGTTTAAAAGCAAGAAAATAACCGGCGCTTTGACAAAGTTGACAAAGTAACTGATAAGAATAAGATATGTGAAATATGAGAAAATTTTGTATGGAATACTCTGGACAGTGTATTGTGCATTCACACTGGAAAATATAATGCTTCTGTGATGTGATTCAAATGATTCGAAATCCTAGACTATCTATTTCTCCTCAGCCCTTTATATCCGAGCCCCATAGATCGTGGTTTAAACTTTACTTAAATTATAAGAACAATGTGATCCACTGTCACCTACATCCTACATCATTTATTTGACTTGGCTGTATATTTAGTGTTAATTCCGCCGTCAGGATGTTAACCTTAGTCACGTGATTACGCGAATATTAGACACAATTAGTCACATCCTTTCAAACAGTAACCTGTCACTTGAACACACACTCAGGAACTTTATGCTTTTATGGTTCATTCTAGAAATATATTAATTGGGAAGAAATGAGAGTCTCCACTCACTGTAAAACTAAATATATCATGCTGAAAGTGCTGAAAGTGCTGAAAGTGCCATCTATTTCTCCGAGATCTATGAAATAAAACTCAGAGCTGGTCACATACAACAGCTGCTGTACAATAGTTTGACATTAGAGCTGTGTAGAAATATGCGGGGTATGTGCATTGTGCTTCTTGAGGAAGCTGAGACTGAATTACTGGCTCAGAAGTCATCCGGACTTTTTGGTTGTTCCATTATTACTGATTGTTGTATCACAATGCAGTAGATCCATCCGGACTAATGGTTGTTCCAATTAGTGCTTGTTGTATCACAATATAGTAAAATAATTTACTTTCGTTCAGACTAAGGAGCCAACCTAAGTCACTCATTCATATCAACCTATTTAGCTATAATTCAGCTATTCAAATAGAACATTGCTCAAATTAAGAATCCGCCACTCACCCATTGTTGAAATTCCTGTCGTAATGAGTATGAAAATACACTACTGGGGTAAGCACAGGGCTTCAATGCTCTATCTTTAAGTAATAGTGGTCACTTTGACCACAGCCCCTTACGAAGAAGAAGAAGAATAATAAATGAGAATTCTTCCAAAACTCCCTTACCACTAATTACTCCTTGCACTTGTGTGATAATCACACAGAATCACACTAATTACAAATTGTATGATAATCACACACCAAAAGGGTTTCCTGCTACATCCTTATACAAGTGCCGTGTAACGATGTAAGTACTGCAACAAGTGTAACAAGTGTGATGATAATAACGCCCTCAAGCTTACAGTTGGCAGGTTTTAAGCAGAAGCCTTGGGAAAAATAACATTGGACATTTTGGATGGAAGAAACTTTTACATTCTGGCTTCATGAAAACCACGATGGATCTAAGAGTCCACATAATGGCTTTTGAGTTTGGTTCCTCTGATCAGCTGATCTCGTAATGTTTACGTCGATTAGTAATGTTTACGTCCCGGGAATTACTTTTTAACAGTCTGTATACTATATATTATTACATAAATCACATATTATACGGACTTTATACCAGTTTAATATTCTAGCTGTATCTAGGATCTCATAGTAGTGCTGACTGCTGGAGAAGTGACTTCATAATATTATGATGTCAGGCAGAAACTGAACACGATATTATTAAAACCTTGTTAAAATTATTATTTAAGGCGAATATTCTCCCGTTTGAAGTTTCATCATTTCCTTATTCTGTCGTAGATTTGTCAGAAATTGGTTGGTTGATCGTTTACCATGACTTTGTAGTGCGGTAATAGACATGTTATCATTATAATAACAGCTTTATGTCATAGTTAGTCCGTAATGGGCACTTGGCTCTAGGTTTACGAATGCTTACACATTTCCAAACAAGACTGTCAGATCTGTAACTTTTATCGAGTTTGGTTTGTTTTTCTGCCATCGTGTTTAGTAATATGTAGCTTTGTTTTTGCTTCACAACCGAGTATAATTATACCAGTACCCTCAGCTTACTCCATGATGTCATGTCGGTGATTGAGAAGATTTTGTCTTACCGTGCAGAGTTTGTCATCAGAAAACACTCCTTACTTTCCGAATCTAAATCAGCTGATGAAGATATTAATCTCTTTCCTTCTCTAGAAAGTGGGATTGTACACAATATTCCAGCTACAAAACACGATACCAAGAAGTTAAAACTTCCTTCGTTTGTATTTGAAGACCTTGTAGACCCTGATGGATCTGACGAAGAAATATTAAAGTTGACAACACCTGTAATGATGGAGAAAACGAGAACATTTGCTTATGCTAAACAGGGTAACGAAACTGTCCAGTTTTCTCCAAATCCGAAAAAAGCTGCCGAGAGTACTAACAGCTTCAAGCCAAGCTCACCATTCTCTAAGCTACATTCCATCATAAAGCAGAATCGTGTTGCTGACCAAGTGTCTCCTTTGGAGTATCCAAGCCCTGTTCTGTCTTCAAGATACAATCCTGACTCCAGCTCAGAAAACCAATCAGTATTCAAAATGTTTAGGAGACCGTTTCTAAAACCCAGGATTATTTCTCTTAAACAGAGATTAGGGTTTGATGAGCAAGACGAGAAGATGAAGAAATTGCTTGCAGTGAAGAAGATTAAGAAGAGTAAAAAGAAGGGTAAAAGTTTTAAAGCCAGTTTGTATTCCAAAAATGTTAGAATGGGTTGGTTTGAACCGATTTTAGAAGATGTTTCAGAGGAGAGTGAGGAATATTATGTGGAGAATGTAGAGAATGCTGAATCTGAACTATTTGAACTATCTGAACTATCTGAATCCGTCGAAGAATCCTCGGAGCTCGAAAAGACTGACAGTGAAGTGCATACCACCCACGTGGTATTAAGTGATCAAAACTGTAATTTTAGTTTAGAAAGTGGACTCTCAAACAAGAGTGAAACTATTTGTGAACCTCGTGAAAATGCAGTTAGTGAAACAGGCATAGATACCGAACAAATTAATACTGTACCACCCGAGGAATCGTCTGCAGTATATCGTATCGAGATATCTTCAAATGAGATATCATCTCCAACTATTGTACCCTCATCAACTTGTTCTACAGCTCCAACAAGATGCAAACCTGATCTTAATGAACTCGTAAACCGCAGCAAGTTGATCACGGGTTCTTGGATCCAGTAATTTTAGTCAATAACAGACAATCTTTGAGGCGTGCCAGGGATCATTTGAAACTTAGAATTCAGCAAGAAGTTCCTAGAAGAGCTGTGGTGAAGCGAAACAAAAAGCTGAGAAAAAGGGTGAAATCTGGGATGGAGCAAGTTGCTGGTGTTTTTAGTAAACCCAAAAACGATGCAAGTGAGGAATGTAAAAGCAAGAAATCTCTGTTTAGGGGTGATTTGATAGGCAAAGCGACAATTCATACCAAGAATACTTTGTCTTCTCTGATCGGATACTCGGCGGAGGAGAAATTGATTTAATTTTGATTTGTATTATTAAAGTGATATGGATATCATTGATTCTTCTATTATTATACATTAAAATATAGTTTATCGATATATTATCAAATAATTTTGTTTAATTTTCTCTAACTAATTCGAGTCAGAAAAATGCTTTAGATTGTTTATCGAAGTCTAAAATAATGCAAATATACAGCTGCAAAAACAGCTGTATTCATTTAGTTGTTGAAAGGTAAATTCAAGATATTCATGCGATTACTATAGAAGTCGACACCTCACGCATACGTATATAATTATAGCGCAAATAATGACACTCATAACTGATAACTCTATCAATAAGCAGCTTAACCTTCCCGTTTGCAGTCAACTCCTGAGCAGAAGAGAGCTGCCCAAGCTGAGCTCAAGGAAGCTATCACCGAACTGAAGAAAGCTTGCAACGATCATTTGGCGTCAAAAGTTGTTGACACATATGTGGACATTACAGGACCTATCATGGAACTGCAGGCCGCTGCTCTCGCTCCCCTTGGTAATTATTAACCGCTCTTGAATATGGAGTGTTTCGGTGTAGAGCAATGAAAACTTTGAAGCCGAGAGGCCGCGAAACTCCATTGATCAAATTCCTCCGTGTAAGCCAATTTAGTGTATCAGACACGATTGAGAACGTTATTTTATGTAACGCGCGCGGTCATTTTCTTAATAAAAGCTTGTTGCAAAAGTTATCCACTGTGGCGGGCGGTTGCGCGCGCGCGCGCGCATTATTTGTCATTCCTTGACCGCGCGCAAAACAACATTTTAACTTTTCTTCAACGTCACTCGAGTAAAATGTATTAACTAGAACTTTATCTGTCGTCTCCACGCTATAACCAATCCCAAGAAAAGTTTAACCACATTAATTGTTAAATGTATAAATATTCTCAGCTCCTCCCGAGAAAGCTGTGAAGTTCAACGCCAAAGCTGCAGACTTCTCATTACACGCTGAACAACTGTGCCGCGTGGCCGAGGTTAGTTCAAGCATTTGACACTAGCTCTGCCAAATTGATATTCACGCCTCAACGGAGGGCAAGTGTGAACCATTAACAGTACTCAGTAAGCCAAGTGCCCGAAAAATGACGGAAAAGGAGCTAAAATTACGTGGACACACTGCCCACTGGCAAGTTATGATATAATCAAGGTTGACTGTGAACGTCACACGTGTCGATTGTTTGTGTTAGTGAACATTCTACTACACCTCCACAACCAGGTTGCTACTGACGTTGGTTGTGACGAAGATCCTCACAGACATGACAACATTAAGTTGAGTATCGAGGCTCTGAGAGATGCCACACCAATGGTTGTGTACTCTGCTAAAACTCTGTCCCTTAACCCTGACTCTGAGGTGAGTTACTACTTTCTCAAGAGATTAGTAAATCTAACATTTCTGGAATTGGGCTACCAACATGCACAGTACACTGAAATTAGATAAAGTAAGAAACCTTCACATAGCACCACCACACGGTTTATCAATGTCTATTTATAACCCCTTCAGAGTGCCAAGGAGAACTTTGACCTGGTAAAGCAGCAGTGGGTAACAGAGGCGGTCCGACTGAGGACTGATGTAGATAAATGTGTGAAACCTACTGACTTCTTAGTGGAGTCTGAGAGGAAGTGCAAGGAGGAGGGAGAAGCCGCTAAAGCACTCATGAAGACCAGTCCGGTAAATTATACGTGTACTTCTCAATGATTTGTAATTTTAAGATTTCAGAACACTATAATATCATTACTAGAGTCCCCGCAATAGTCTATGTAAAAACGTTATATCAATAACTAATTTTTTTAAATTTTGAAATGTGTGATTAGAGAAATTCTTATTACAGAAAGAAGCAGTTGTGAAAGTGGCGATGGTACAGAAGATAACAAACAGAGTGCTTGAAGTCACGGACGCTGAGTTGGAGAACTTGGGGGACTGTGAATTCCGGGTCAAACTTGTGAATCATAGAGCCAACTTGCAGCATGGTAGGGAATTTACTAAGAATTTGGATTATTTGGCTGGTTCTCTCCCATACATGTCTTCTTATCAATTATATAGCTCTTCTGAAATAACCACAGAGTGACGCCTGCAAATAATTTAACAGACTTAGGTTTCAAGTGATATTTAACCGTGTTTTATTTCAGCCATACAGCATGCTGGTCAAGCTACAAACGAGCACATCAAGGGACAAGCAACAGACCCTGCAGCTTTTGATAAGTCTATAACAGAGGTATTTACATTTGTGTTCTTAAGAAACGAATAACAAATATTTGATGGCTTTGAAGACCAGACAATTAATCCTCTTCAATTTGTAGCGAATAATATCTGGAAAGCTAGGGTGAAGATCAATCAGTTATTCTATCCTTCAGGTTCACATGAACATAAGCTATATCAAGGAAGAGATGGTTGGTTTCTACCTGCCACTTCCACCTCTACCTGAGCTAATACCACCACCTATCGTAGAGGAGGAAGAGGAGAAACCTCCAGCAAGGTAATTTCACTTTCACTTTCGTTATTGTGGTCGCTTTCGCTATTTGTGAATCAAACTTCGCTGTCAATGTTAATTTAAAAGAAGTTAAAGGTCATTGTTAACGACTGAAAATTCAATTAAAGAGTTGATTTAGAAAACGGTGATTTACCCCAATAAGCTCATCAATATTGCATCTCGAGACCAAGCTCGTGCTTTTCTATTAAAAAAAACAGATCGAATATTATACATTTTAATGTAATCCAGAGTTGATCCTGAGCCTAAATCAGCCATAGCCGCTAAACCAGCCATAGCTGCTAAGCCAGCTATAGCGGCTAAGCCAGCGCCTATAGCAGCTAAGCCCGTGCCTAAGGCAACGCCTAAGGCAGCGCCTAAGTCAGCGCCTAATTCAGCGCCTAAGTCAGCGCCCAAGTAAGTCGATGTCTACCCTTCAGCGACTCCTTCCTTACTTACCACTGATGATTACAATCGATTTAACTCTTCAATAATTTCCTGCTGCCTCGCTATTTTCAGCCGTAGTTTACAGAATGCATTTAGGATTTCTCTCTTAACTTTCTTTACTTTTTACTTTATTGCACTTTTTCAAAGATATTGATTATTTTTCCTTACTCATATTTATGTTGGAATTTTCATTAAACCGGAATTAAGTTATTGTATATTTTATTCACTTTGCCAAATATAATTCATTCAAAATGAATGTATGGGTATTGTGTAACATCTTTAAAATTTAAGTAGTTCGAGAATGAAAAATAATAGAAATGAAGTTACATCATAAAAGGTTCAACAAGTGACACAAACAGTGACACAAACAGTGACACAAACTCTCCCAACAAGTGACACTGACCCTCTCCCCCAGGCCTCCAGTTCCTGTAGATTCTGACGAAGAAGAGGACGCCTTTGACGCTTCAGCTCCTGCCCCTGATCCCGTTGAAGCTCCCATCGAGGTACGTTGCAAAAAGAACTTTTCCCACTCCCTTTAATTATTACTTTAACGATCATTGAAAATGATAAGTTTTATTTTTGATGAGCCATGATTTGATTGGATAGTGTTGCAGGAATTCGGTTATAGTGCTCTGATACGGGTTTGTCATTTGTGCTTGTCCCTGTGCTTGTGAGATATGTTGTTGAGAGATTATATCAAAGCTCTTCATTTTGGACATGATATATATTGAACTGTAAATGTAGTTTTATTTACATTTTAATAACTAGATTTTCATCAGATTTGAACAATATATGTACTATCCAATATGTTATAAATTAAATATCATCAACTTTCTGACAACTATTATAAACAACTGATAAAGATTGAAAAGCAAGTTCCTTAATAAAATATTTAAAATTTAAACCCTACTAAACACCACATCTACCCAGCACGCAGCGTTCAAGTTGAGACAAGAGACAGCTAAGTATATAGAAGAGGACAACGACATGATAGCAGCAGCCAGGAAGATAGCTCAGAAGTTCCAACAAATGGCTAAGTACACAAAGTGAGTGTCTTTATTTACTCTACTTTCTTTAGTTAGACAATCTAAATATCCTCTCGAATGGCCGAATTGCCGAAACAACTTATCGTTATAAAATGTTCAATTAAGTGGTACTCCAAAGTCCCAATTTAACACGAAATGTAGTTGAACGTAGTTACAAAATTGTAAAGTCCTTGAAGGCTAAAGCTGAAAACCCCCTAGAAAAATAAGAGTCAGAGTTAATAAAATTAGAATAGTCGTGGTAGATTGTTCTACAATAGTCACAATTCGATCTCATCGTACTTCAAGGTCTGTTGTTGAATTCCACTCTGATATCAGCCCATTTGTTACAGCTGTATAGTGTCTAGACGGTACCGGATACCTGTAAAACATTTTGCTATCAACCTCTCGAAACCAAAAGCATACATAATATTTAGCATTTTTGTCATATCCTGAGAGCTGATAGCTAATCTGCTGTTGACGTATAGGAGGTCTCTAATATTTTATTGATGAAAGATTTGACTGTAAGAGTATGGGTAGTATTCAAAATAACGACACTTTCCATGGAAAATATCGGATTTCCTAATCGTAAATTCTTCGTAAATTACAGAAAATTAAAGGACCAGTTAACTGAAAAAAAAGTTATCCTCATATTTTGACAGATTGTGACAAATAGCAAACTAAGCAACGAGTCGAAATTCCTAAATCTCTAACTGCTCTCTAACGCGTGTAAATAGCGTTTGTATTATTTTGGGCGATGACGTCATAAAGTCCCTCTTGCGCGCAGAGTAGCTCATGAGACTGTATTTTACAGGTAAAAAATGGACATAATACAATCTTTTCCCCCGAATAACTCGGAAAGTAAGTAATTTAGGGTACATGTTGCTTCATAAGTTGTATATGACATGGCCATTCTGCACAATTTGCACACATTCAAAAAACCTTTAGGGCCTTCATAAGCCCAATTAACCAGATACCCATAGTTTTGCATGATTTCTGGAACCGAAAATCAGTTTTTTTTCGGAATATACTGATTAAAGTAAACACTTTAAGAAGAATATGTATGTTCTAACTCATGAAATAACTATGCCTAATTGGGTCGTTTGCATCCTGTACAAGACTCCATCAATGATAATTGAAAATGAGTTAACTGCAACGCTGCAATTTAATTAGATTATTTGCGTGAATTTAATAATAATATCACTGAACAAGCTACGTGATTTCTATAAAACAGATCGAATATTATACATTTTAATGTAATCCAGAGTTGATCCTGAGCCTAAATCAGCCATAGCCGCTAAACAGCCATAGCTGCTAAGCCAGCTATAGCGGCTAAGCCAGCGCCTATAGCAGCTAAGCCCGTGCCTAAGGCAACGCCTAAGGCAGCGCCTAAGTCAGCGCCTAATTCAGCGCCTAAGTCAGCGCCCAAGTAAGTCGATGTCTACCCTTCAGCGACTCCTTCCTTACTTACCACTGATGATTACAATCGATTTAACTCTTCAATAATTTCCTGCTGCCTCGCTATTTTCAGCCGTAGTTTACAGAATGCATTTAGGATTTCTCTCTTAACTTTCTTTACTTTTTACTTTATTGCACTTTTTCAAAGATATTGATTATTTTTCCTTACTCATATTTATGTTGGAATTTTCATTAAACCGGAATTAAGTTATTGTATATTTTATTCACTTTGCCAAAATTAATGTATGGGTATTGTGTAACATCTTTAAAATTTAAGAAGTTCGAGAATGAAAAATAATAGAAATGAAGTTACATCATAAGAGGATCAACAAGTGACACAAACAGTGACACAAACAGTGACACAAACTCTCCCAACAAGTGACACTGACCCTCTCCCCCAGGCCTCCAGTTCCTGTAGATTCTGACGAAGAAGAGGACGCCTTTGACGCTTCAGCTCCTGCACCTGATCCCGTTGAAGCTCCCATCGAGGTACGTTGCAAAAAGAACTTTTCCCACTTCCTTTAATTATTACTTTAACGATCATTGAAAATGATAAGTTTTATTTTTGATGAGCCATGATTTGATTGGATAGTGTTGCAGGAATTCGGTTATAGTGCTCTGATACGGGTTTGTCATTTGTGCTTGTCCCTGTGCTTGTGAGATATGTTGTTGAGAGATTATATCAAAGCTCTTCATTTTGGACATGATATATATTGAACTGTAAATGTAGTTTTATTTACATTTTAATAACTAGATTTTCATCAGATTTGAACAATATATACTATCCAATATGTTATAAATTAAATATCATCAACTTTCTGACAACTATTATAAACAACTGATAAAGATTGAAAAGCAAGTTCCTTAATAAAATATTTAAAATTTAAACCCTACTAAACACCACATTGAAAAAGCAAGTTCCTTAATAAAATATTTAAAATTTAAACCCTACTAAACACCACATCTACCCAGCACGCAGCGTTCAAGTTGAGACAAGAGACAGCTAAGTATATAGAAGAGGACAACGACATGATAGCAGCAGCCAGGAAGATAGCTCAGAAGTTCCAACAAATGGCTAAGTACACAAAGTGAGTGTCTTTATTTACTCTACTTTCTTTAGTTAGACAATCTAAATATCCTCTCGAATGGCCGAATTGCCGAAACAACTTATCGTTATAAAATGTTCAATTAAGTGGTACACTCCAAAGTCCCAATTTAACACGAAATGTAGTTGAACGTACTTACAAAATTGTAAAGTCCTTGAAGGCTAAAGCTGAAAACCCCCTAGAAAAATAAGAGTCAGAGTTCATAAAATTAGAATAGTCTTGGTAGATTGTTCTACAATAGTCACAATTCGGTCTCATCGTACTTCGAGGTCTGTTGTTGTATTCCACTATGATGTCATCCCATTTGTAACAGCTGTAGTATAGTGTCTAGACGGTACCGGATACCTGTAAAACATTTTGCTATCAACCTCTCGAAACCAAAAGCATACATAATATTTAGCATTTTTGTCATATCCTGAGAGCTGATAGCTAATCTGCTGTTGACGTATAGGAGGTCTCTAATATTTTATTGATGAAAGATTTGACTGTAAGAGTATGGGTAGTATTCAAAATAACGACACTTTCCATGGAAAATATCGGATTTCCTAATCGTAAATTCTTCGCAAATTACAGAAAATTAAACTAACTCATACCTTAATATTACTTTATAATACCGAGTGCATTCCAAAGACGGAGGGAAGTTGGAAGTTAACATTACACACGGTCATATCATCCGGTTCTTCTGTTTTTCAGCATCGTGCGGAAGTAAAAGGAGTGCATTAAAATGCTTTTTATATATAAAGTAAAATTTCAATGCTTACGAAACTAAATTCTCACGAAACTAAATTCTTCTAACTAATATAATATTATGTTATGATAAACTAATTCGATAATATTAGCGGCATAATTAAGTGATAACGATCCCAACGTTATCAACTTAATATGCACACATAGATTAGTATTTAATACTTTAATATTATAGGATAATATTAACATGATTAAGATTTGAAATACTTTATAATTCCATGGAAATAGAAAATACTGTGAACATTTCTAACCATCTGAAAATAAGCACGTGTCCTACCTAGAGGTGAGCAGAGTTTGCCCGGGGTACAAGGCACACAATAAGTATAGTTGAGGTAACTGAGGGGTGTGGTACACTGACACCCTCTACCCTCCACCCATTTCATATCTTCCGGACAGTTTCCTGTGGTGAAAAAGGGAGCAATTATAAATAATATCAGCTGAACAGCTATAAATGATCTAATCTCATAGATGGTTTAAGTTGGATGCTGTTATTTACCATCGTTCAGCCCACGAACCACAGCCAAGGTGATATAATATTATCATTAAATTCTTATCAGTCACAATATCTTGAGGATTGGGCGACATCTGTCCGACAGCGACATCTGTCCGAAAGCTGAATTAGGGATTTCGGACAGATGTCGCTGTCGGACAGGAGTCGTTTTTGGCGACATCTGTCCGAAATTTGGATCATATTGTAATTTCGGTTCACATTCGTATTTCACAAGCTCACAGGTAATCTCGTGACGTTCTAAAGCTGATGTGATCGCTTAAGATCTGATCCATCGATACGTGATTGACTAGTTGAGAACAGGATCGTGCTAGCCGTACCCTAACAAGCTGTCGATCACATCACAGGACATGAGTAGGACAGCAGTATGGAGATCACTTATAGCAATCCACAATGGCAACCAATCTTCAGTTTATCCCTGGACGCAAACAAGGCTCGGACAACCCTGTCCTAAATGGCTTCAGATACGTCTTCGACAAGCGAAGAGACGACACCTCCTACTGGAAATGTTCGGATTTCCGAAAGGGTTGCAGAGCCCGCATCCGTACCGTGGACAGACAACTGATCACTCCTACTCCTGACCACACTCACCCTGTCCATGGCCTCTTCCCGTCGGCTGGCACCTCCCCCTCTTCTATGGACTCCTTCCTGGAAAAACGACGACCCTCTACCGCAACCTGTTCGAGGAGATAGACACCTGGGCTTCTGGGGGCTACCAACCACAATCCATCCTCATGGACTACGAGCTATGAACTATTGTCCAATTTATCGACATCAAATGAAAATAAACTGTGGTAGTAAACTATGGCTCAGATCATATCTCAAATTGGACATGTTACGTATACAATTTAGCAAGTAACAGTTTAGATCATGTCTCTAATTGGAAATGTGTCGTATTGAAATCAGGTCACAATTTCGGACAGATGTCGTTTTTTTCTGGTACCCTGATTCGGACAGATGTCGCTGTCGGACAGGAGTCGTGTTATCTATCTTGATCTGAGGTCCACTTACTTTCTTTTGTCTCCATTTTCAGGTCACTTATCACGTCTCTCAGCAATATCTTGACAATAACAGTGTAGCTCTTATTTTTCAAACAGCTGTTGTCGTCCTCAAGCTCACAAACCGGGTCACATGTGAAGTTCGTGCTGTCTGAGTTTTTTTCGGGGCCTCTTCTAACGACTTCTATCGACAGAGTGGTAGTTCTTTCGTTCGGACTGAAAAGTAAATTATAGGCGATAGCAATAGCTAGGAAATTTCATGGATTCTGTTAATGGTGGTCTTTCAGTGCGGTACCAAAAGGTAAAGCTCAAAAAACTACAAAGCATAGATTTTTGTCCTAATTAATAATTATTAATGAGGGTTTAATAACACTAACTCAGAATTGAAAGAGATAGTATAGTTTCCATTCACAAGATTCGGAAGAGCCCTATTTTCAGAATCTTTACAACTCCCTGGTAACGAAGATACGGTCTCTCCGTTTTCTCCTATTGATAGGATGTACCTGAATTTGAGTTCAACTTTCTAATCATTGTTAGATAAGAGTTCTTATAGCTTTATAGGAGATTTTAACGGGATTTTATATATCAGTTACCATGCTTAAGCTCATAAAACAGAATGAAAGGTGTAGTTTTTACTTACATCTTCACGAATTTTCTTCCGTCCATCACACTAAATCTAATCTGATCGTATTTGTTAAGGTTAGTTTTCAATAGGTCGAGGTCCAACTTTGACTGCACTTTTGTTCTTCCTCTTGGACCAAATTTGCAGACTGTTCCGAAGTCTTTTTCTTTAAATTCACATAGCAATCCAACTGTGGAAGGATAGTCTCAAGATTCAATGCATCCCTATAACACCAAACATTTTTGAATTCTTTAAACATTGAAGTGACACAATTTGCAGCCCTTTCCTTCTAATTTAAGTGGTAGGATTAGATATTACCTTAGAAAATCAAATTATTTTTACCGAATTTTATCTTGTCTGTACGAAGAAGAGGGTAGAATTTTACTTTCTGCACTACGCCTGTAAATCTTATGTCTGGGTCACACTCCTCTAGGTTCACCTCGTGTGTAAAGTTCCAGGGGGACCCCAAACTGTACGCAAACAGAGCGGGAGATTTCGTCAACTTTACCTGGAAGATGTGGGGTAAAACGTGGGGGAGTAGTAAGTAGTTGAATCTTAGGATATTAGTTGAACTGTTACAACTCATGAAATGAAATGAAATAGTGTGCTTGTATTCTCATAAAAGTTCAGAGATAGTAAAATATGTTACCTCAATTGAATCAGAATTGTCTCCATCATGAACATCGACCTTCATTATCTTTGGCTGACAACCAAACGAGAGGGGAGAGTTCTTCGAGAAAGTTAGTCTGAAATGTAGTCACACAATGTCATAAAGAAATACTGTAGTTCCTAACGTGGAGGGAATTTTTGCGAATATGTATGAAAACTAAAAGTTCTGGTGGTCTCACGGAAGTCCAGTGACATGTTTCCACCCTCCATCTGTATCCGTCCTGTACTTCAAATCCCACACAATCTTGAAGTTAAACTTAGTGGAGTAACTCAGGGTGAAGTTGATCGCTGATATCTTGTCGGTGTAGTCCGTCTTACAGATTCTTGATGAGCAGGGTGTCCACTTGGTGTTGCCTGAGTGTGATTAATGAGGGGAGTGTGAAAACTTATAGAAAATAGAGACGGAGATTTGGACTTTTGATTAATTGATTCATTTTTATTTTTCTATCGAAGTGCTTTATATATGATGATCAATAAATTGTAGGGCGCCAGTAGGCTGGTAGTAAAATTGGAGCTTTTTAAAATATTTCAGGGAACAATTACATAATAAACTGTACCTAATAAAGCATACACTAGTGACAAAGTCAATATTGGCACAATCAACCGCATCTCCGAGAAGGTCCGTTATCTTTTACATTCCAGGCAGTACTTTATCTTTTCACATCCTGAATCTCGGATAGGGATGTTAACTTTACACAAACTAATTTTTTAAAATAAACCAATTTATATGTAAAAATAAAGACCATCGCATCTTACATACGCTTTTAGTTTAGATCGAAGATTTTTCACCATGACGAACAATTGTAAAAATATTTACTTTTAGACAATGAACGATATAATCTGGAGTGTTCTACTAAGTACAAATCAAATTAAAAACTGCAATAGGATATTAAAGAAATGAAGTCGTACACCCTCGGCCAAAGATCATACCAAAACCAAAATCATAATTTTAGATTTAATATTCAAATGATCATACTTAGAAATTTCACAAAGGACTACAAACAAAAAAACTAAAACGTTGAGCCGGTGATATCATCGAACACGGCACAGGATATGAAATCATTTGACATAGCAGTATGTGAAGATACAGTGATTTTTCCGGAATTGTGCTCAACTTCAGAATTGGAATTTAAGATCACCAAAATTGGGAAATGATCTATTTCTAATTCCTCTTCCCTATCTCGTTTTGCCGGTCACGGGTGACAGGATGACGGATACGTTATCAGTTGTCTACTTCTAGCATCAGACAACTCCGTCTGTAGCCATATCAGAAAAGTATCACATTATTAAATATTAAAACGTTCAAAAGCTCAACTGTAAAGTATCTACATGTTTGGTTCCTACTAAATGCGTAAATGTGGTAAAATGTGGGGCAGGTGGTCGTGTAAATTAACCTAACAATTCCCGTTCAACCTCCTATAAGTAAACTGATGGTGAACTAACTATAAGTATAAGTAGTAGGAACACTAATATACAGCTGGTATTAAACTCAGGAAACATGGCTGCCCCTGTCCATAGTTAGAGTATGTAGAGTATGTAGAGTGTGTAGGATGAAAGTTTGTACCCGGTCTTTGTTACCAGCACGAGAAAATAAATATAAAATTATCAAGGCGAACTAGAGAATCTAACAAGAAACGTCTGCATTTGCTAATGGGATCAGGCCGCCAATGATTAGAAAATTGTATGATTGGAAAATTGTCGCTATTAGACACAATCCTGAGACCTTATCTGATGCGGTACCACAGCTGAATCGCTGATGCACGAGTCACGACACGTATAATGTATATTACTCTGACTGTGACTCATATTGATAAACAGCTAGTAACTAAAAAGTGACTTATAAGTTACTGCAGTTGCAGCAGCAGCAACTGTAGACACCAACTGTAGACACCACTAACTAATTAGTGACTAAGGAATAATAAGTTTCCAATGCGACCCAGGTATATTTATAAACCTGTTTAGTCACACCGAACAACTAAGTGCAAGTGTCAAGATAAAAGAGCGCTTGGAACAAAAAGTTGTATGAATGCAAATGGTTTTATTACGCTCTAGCATTACACCACCAGATGTTGTGAAGTTTTCTTGTCAGACTCGGAAAACTTATTCAATTTGACTTAGCATGTACCTTTAGTTTTACTTGCACAGGTGCAGTTCATCGTACTGAATATTCGGTCAGCTTATTCTTATTTATTTCAGGGGTCGCCGTGAAATGCTGGAGCTTGGTGCCACCGAGTAAGTAATTAAACTATTATCTAGTTAATTGGGTTAACTATTATCATTCGAATTGATGATATTCCCATGTTGAAAATTGGATGTGGAGATTATGTGAATTTTATGTATATTGTATGTGAATATGTAGATTTTGTGTAACATGATCTAACAAAGGGGCGATTCGGACAGCAGTGGGCGGTGAGTCAAAACATTAGCACAACAAAATATGTCCTTTGATTCGGAACTTTTCCCTCAAAGCTCAATCTCTTAAATTTTCAAATTTTGTATATTAAACCATGATTCAACAAAAGAATATCTTGAATATACAATTATTGTAGCGTTATAATGATTCTGATACAAGTAGTCGTGAAACGGCAGTAAGCATGATGTGTGGGTGCATGACAGATTTTTATGTGTGTTTTGAAAATTGGCAGTTAATTTGATTAAGTTACTAGCGAACAAGGGGTAAATAGGTAGATTTTAGCATAATATAAATCAAGAGGCTTGCATATAATGAACATATTGACATGGGTGCAGAGTTGAGTCTGTACGGAACCTAGTAGTTTCAGTTCCTTGTTTAACTTGCCGTACAGCAAGGACATCCACTACTTTAGCCCGGCGAGGCACATAGCTCACTACAACTCCGTGTCAAATGTTTGATATATACTAGCCAAGTTCACAAGATATATCCTTGTGTTTGAGAAGCGCTCGTTAGAACTGCTTCCTTTCCCTTCAGTATCCCACAGTCTCTCGAGTTTCGTAACTGCCAGAGAGCTCTCTTAAACAATTACTAGACCCGGTGATTATAAATCAAGAGGCTTGCATATAATGAACATATTGACATGGGTGCAGAGTTGAGTCTGTACGGAATCTAGTAGTTTCAGTTCCTTGTTTAACTTGCCGTACAGCAAGGACATCCACTACTTTAGCCCGGCGAGGCACATAGCTCACTCTACAACTCCGTGTCAAATGTTTGATATATACTAGCCAAGTTCACAAGATATATCCTTGTGTTTAAAAATCAATATGATAAATATTGTACCGTAGCGAAGAGGTGAGTGGACACGCGACGTTGTCTAGGACAATGAGTAGTGCTGAGACGCGCGTTAGTGTTCACGCGAGTGGGCTTACCAAGAGCTGGAGCTCTGCCAAGTGAGAAAGGGCCTAATGTGTGAGGGCTTTTGTGAGCCAAGTGAGAATAGGGCCTTGTGTGTGAGGGCTTTTCTGGGTCTTAGTGTGGGCCTTTCAAATCAGCAAGTGTAAAGGAGCACTTTGTCGTTAGATTTTGGGTACCTGTCAGGATTTAGTGTGAAAATTAGACGTGAAAAAGCACATGTCAACATCTGGATAGACATTGCAGCCGAATCATGTTTAGTGATTTTGAAGGAAGCATTGATTGTGTGATTGATAAATCCCGTTAAAGCAATTGTGATTATTTGCGTTACGAAAACAGCACGTGTGCGTAGATCATTAAATTTAACATAACACAATTTACACAACTAAAGATATGCGGTGAGTTAGTGAGTATTATCTTATTATATATATTGAGTGTCATTCGCAGGGGCGATTATTATCTTTCTTATTAGATACGTAGCCATCCTAGGAAGATTTCAGAAACCTTCATATCAGGGAAATTTTCTTTAGAAGTAAGGCCGAGAAGTACTTCCTTTAGCCCTAAAATCTTACTCACGGAGCTCTCACAAAGTAATACAAGGAGCGTGATCTTCAAGTTGATAGATTTGACTCTGAGCAGAGCAACTTTGGCTTGTACCCAAATTTTCCTAATAATAATTTTATTGTGTATAACATTAGCGGATTTATTGTAATCTTAGATGTTGGAACTGGAAGTGGAACTGTCGCGGTTTTAGTTCCTAAGACCTTACTGTCTGGAATTTTTTATTTTAATCCTTTAAATGTAACATTATTATAGAGTTATAGTAGTAATTACTCCATATCATATTATTTGAATCTATGTAAGGGTTCCTCAAAGCACGATTTTAGATGATATCTATTCATAGAACCTTTTCATGAACTATAACCATTACCAGTCATAAGAACTCTTTCTTTTCAATATTCAGAGAGTTTAAAGGTCTTTGCTGTCTCAGCACCATCTAACTATGATAAATCCAATCAGAGAGAAGTCAGAGTTCAGCTCGATGACGGACATGATAAAGACTTGCAAAGAAATCATTGCACTCACGAAGAATATTCAGAAACATGCTGGTAAGTTGCGGTATATTACATTATGTGGTATGTTCTTTCTTCTAGGTGGTGACTGAGAATCGTGATCTTGACTCATCGCTGTTATAACAGTTTCCACCAGCTTGTGACTGAAACCAAAGGACCCGAGTCCAGACCATTCTTTAAGAATGATTCTTATCTTTGTGTTCATAAATCCATAACTGACACATTCTAGGATTCTAAGACCCGTCTATCACCTCCTCCCCTCAGCGATGATCAGTAAGAACTGTCCTGATAAGAGACTAGTGATGAGTCTAGCGAACAGCATGGAACCTATTGGAATGTTATCTCAACAGCTCAACATCATCGCCTCCGTCAAGGCATCAGCCAGTGGCAAATACAGTTAGTTTGGAAATATTGTTAAAAATAAATAATAGGTTTTAGAGTAACACAAGTCAGTTGGTGTTTTTCATCTTCAGAAACATCTGAGCAGGACCAATATGACTAGTGTGCACGACTAGTGTGCACGCGGCTCAGCAAACCCTGGATCACTGCCAAGGGGCTATAGCTAGTTTTTGAGGCAGTGCGAAGGTGCACCGTGTTGTCAATCTCAGTTTTAGATCTCAAGGATATCACTTTCTGATGCAACCAATCATTTTGGGATCAGTTTTAGTCTTATTGGCCTTTGAGGCTTAACATTCAGTAAAGTGTGTGAAAGGTGGTGTGAGATTTAAGGCCGAATGATAATGTTCCGCAGGAGCTAAAGGACTAATAGATAGTAGTGGGTTACAGAAACGTTGCACAACTTACAACATCTGTTGAGTATTTTATGTGCTAGTGTGTCGTTAGATCGGAGAGAAAGGAATTAATATTCCCACGCTGACTTGTTTTCTCGGTGTAAAGCCTCAGCATAGTCAATAAGTATCACTCTAACTTTCTCTTTCACTTTCACTTTAACTTTCTCTTTCAGACGAAGCAGCTGAAGTGGAAGCGGACGAGATGCTGACAATAAACGCTCAGAACCTCATGAAAAGTGTTAGAGACACAGTCCGAGCGAGCGAGTCCTGCTCGGTCAAGATGCTTAGTAACCCGGCTGCAAACAACCTTCAGTTCAGACGCAAGCGGTAGTGCAAGGGTAGTCTTTATTAGTGGAACAAGCTGGAATTGGTAGTGCGACGAATATTCTTAGACTTTCATTTTTTGTAACGAATTTATTTTTGATAAAAGGTGTCGTTAAGGCAGCATTAGTTCACTTTGTTATAAGGTAAGAGTATGAGAAACTTTTGATTATATATACAAATTTGTGCATTTTTAATTTTGAAAACACACTTTGAGTTTAAATCTTAGCTTTGAAATTTATAGATATTCAAATATTTCGTTCTATTGCGCAATTTCATTTTCAAGCAAGATCAAAATCAAAAACTTCATGCATTGTTATTTTTTTAGTGTGAGTGAGATTACTTTGAAGAGATGAAAAAATTATCTTTCTACATTAAACAAATGTTCAGCGATTTGTCAAAAATGTTTGTAAATCAACTCTAAATTATTCTCGTATATAAGTGATCCGTACGTAATGAAGTACGTTCGCATTCCAATATTTTTTGTGAGCTTTTGCTGTAGCCTGTAGATACTTTTTGTATTTAAGATTTTTGATTATTAAAATTTGGCTTATTTTAACAAATTTATCCAGGATATGATTGTGTTCCAAAGATGTTATTTCAACAAGTAAATTTCTTGAAAAGACGCAATTATTAACAAGTATTATATTGTTACTGTTATGCAATGATTTTACAAAATGAAAAATGCAGCGTTCAACTTGTTAGTTATTTCAAGCATTAACACAGTTAAACATGAACAATTTATTAATAATAACTTGACGAAATCTTTAGATTAAAATAAATTTACTTTCTCCTAAAAAAACGTATCATGAAAAGGCCGTAGCAGCAAAGATAGACCGAATTATGATTTCATAACTAGCGTGTGTTTATCTAGGAAAGATCAATAGTTCCTCAATTCTAGTTAATCAGGTTATCACTACTGTCACGTGGTCTCAGATATCACGTGATCTAGGGAATCAACTCGTTTTAACTGGTTCCAGACTTCTTATAGTGTCGCCTCTGAGAAGTGATATAAGTGAGGATTGGAGTAAGAACACAATCAAGACAGTTTGATTTTTGATGATCGAAGCGTTCATGTGTCAGTTCATGAACCACAACTTATTATATAGTTATGAGGACCTTATTAAATACGGAAATTGCGATATCACATGTGTGTTACACCTCCCTCACGATAGCCCCAATATTTTACCTCAGTTCTGGATCAGGAAGCAGACTGAGCTTCTGAATGTGATCATTACCTATTCCGTCGCTCTTCCACCGTGTTTCGATCGTGTCTACTCTCTTTTTGTCTGAGGAAATGAGAGTTGAGGGTGTGCGGTCGGTTACTGATAACTGATCTTGTGATTAGTGATAAGATGGTAGTTGTACGGGCTCCACGTTTTATTGCATCACGGCATTTCATGTGTCACAAGATTTAGCGATATAGTTCGCATTGATGCGTTGGAGTATTGCCACTTTGTTTGGATATCTGTGAAATGTAGATTTGCAATCGTTGATTTTATTATATAGTTATATTTGTTTAGTAAGTTGAAGTAACTTACACAATTCGTTAACACCCTCTGGTTTTACGCTGTGTCTGTTGTCCAGTTCCTTATCACACCTGTAAAAGTGCGTTGTTGAGGTTAAGTTTAACATTCATTATGAGGGATACCTCATTAAGAATTTAGTGAACATTTGGAGTTTAGTGTTTACTAATACTATAAGTATAACTATAAGTACAGAAAACTACTATATCGACTTTCAGGCGTCACCTATGCTTCTATATTAAGATATTAGATCTTTTTGTCCTATTGGCCAATGGCCAAGAGTCCACAGAATCTAAACCACCAGTGCGATATCTCACTATCAGTTGAAGCTGTAGTATAGATAACCATATCCGTACCATAAACATGATGTCACTGTAGCCCTTGTTCTGCTGTCGCCCATGGGCATGATGCTTTGCTAACTTATATTATCCACAGTTACTGATAATATAATAACAAATAACGGACATACTTGGTAAGATCGTCCTCCAACTTCTCGACTCTGTCTTGGGAAGCCTTGATAATGTCCTTTTGTTGGACCAGTGCCCGCTGATATCTTGTCACCTGAATCATACAGATTTTAGTCACTAATCAAGATAAATATTTGCGACGGTCATGGAGGATACCTTATTTTGAATTCTTCGATTCCTCGATCAGTTTACCGTGATTATAATAACAGGTTGTAACTTTTTATAGTTGTAAATATTGTAAGATTTTACCTCTGCCCTCTTTTGTTCCACAACAACATTCAATGCACCCTGTACAGCCTTCTCCAGATCGATCTTCAGCTTATCCAGCTGTTCTTGAAGGTAGTCGATGTTCATTTTGCTATCCCTTATCTGCACTCTGAGGATTTGGGAACAGTTTGAGTTATATTAATTCCATTTATATTGTGAATTTTTACTTTTACACCTGATGTTGCGTCCTGTAAATAGTGACACTACTATTACTGGTGTAACTGGTGATGGGTTATCTGATGTAGATCGGACTTATTTCCAACCTAGAAGTAGTAGTAGTAGTTGGTAACTTGTTTGGGTTCCATGTGCGTGACGTAATGGTATGCTCTAGATTCCTCAAATCATGTGCACTGATAACCTCAAGTGATGATAGGTAAATACTGCCTGAGACAACCCAAAAGCAAAACTTCTGGTTCAGTTATATAAATTTCTGATGACACGGGAAGATTACATTATTAATATTAGCATATGTATATTATTATCATTATGTTTGAATTTGTACCTGTAAGTAACGATGAGCATAACCAGAGCATCTCTGTATCTTTCAAAGGCAGCTCTATGTGTCTCCATCATCAGTTGATTTGTGTTCTTCTTTGTCTTGATACAGCATTGAGATAAATCGTTGCTCGCCGCTGAGACGGATGGGCATGTTTAGTAATGATTTGGTAGATTTTGTTACATCATGAAAGCTTCATATGCATAATAATCTCAAATCATGCTTGTCTAAAAAGAGATTTTAAACATACTAAGTCTCAAGTCATTAATGATGTTATATTTAAATACCTTGTATTTTTCCCATGATGTCATTGCAGCCCTCAGAAGCGTTCTTCAGTCTCATAAAGTTACTTTTGGTCATGAGGAGGCCGTCTCGTTTAGTGTGGTAGTTCTGAGAATGATGTTTTTACAAATAAGGATACTCATTTACTCACGAGTTTGATTCAAATTTTACTCACCGATAAGTCATCAGTCATGAAGGACACTTTTGACTTGTGTACGTTTTGATCATATGATTTAGATCACTGATAGTGATCAGAACCTCCGAGTTATATAAAATATAAAACGCTTTGTGTGCCACGAACCTTTGTGTTGTTTTTGTGCGACTCGTTCTCCTTATCGTTCTCATCCAACAATGATCTTTCTTCGTCTTCTAAAATCTTCAACTGTCTCCTTAACTGTAATTTAAAATGGATCAATTAGCAAACCCCCGAACAAACTATGTCTATAACTTCTTTTGTTCAAGATTCGTTCATTGATTTGTTGTTGACTCGATCGAGGTTTAAAGTTGATTTTTATCGTTTGATAACATTAGTTTCAACAGCATAATAGCTCCTCAATTTCGAATGAACAAGTCAGACTATCATTCGCTATACCTCTTCCTGTTTCTCGTGGTTGGTTTTTATCTTCTCCCGGAGTGTCGATGAGTTGTTCTGGTGTTTGCTCGTTGAGTTTTCGTGTGCTGCCTTCTCAGCGTTCAGAACAGCATCTGAAAGTGAAATATTAAATTATTCAGAGACCTGCACTTCCTGATCGGGCTCTATAATTTTGTTTATCTGACAAATATGTTTGGTATTCACTAAATGAGGATGAGGATGAAGCGGATTTATCAATTACTTTAAAAGTACGTGTTTTAGGTTCGACGGGAGAGATTGTTAAATTTGTAACAAATAACATTGATCCTGGCTGGATTTTTATTATTTTTAGATCGCCACAACTTTAACGTTTAAAGCTAAAGGTTTAACTTGATCATCTATCAGTGATTTAATCACTAATCCCCGCAATATCGACAACATACTCGTCTCAGAATAATAATTCTCTTGGGTGGCATTAAAGTAAACTCCGATTAACCACGGACAGATCTAAATTAATGAAAACATTAAACTCGTCTTATTGCATGACTTAAGTAGGTAAATGAACGTTGATCCTTTGCCAACGATAATACTCGACATGAATGATCAGGATCATGAGATTGAGTTGAATAGTTCATGCTTGCTTCCTGTACACGTTAAATCACCGAATACCTCTCCCAGAAAAGATTCAATCTCCCGATGTTAATTGGCAAGCTCAGACAAATTAATCAGTTGAACAGGTCGGCTCCTTGCATATATCACTGCTCCTTCACAAATATTTCTTTCTCTCACCGCATGACTCTGTAATGACAAGAGTATGGGTTGATATAGTTAATGTTCCCTCCGACGATCGTTTTCCGGTCAGCATATTTTATTTTGTTCTTTTTGTTGTGACATTTTTGTTTCATCTCGATCTTATGGCGATAATTGTAAAATTTGTGAGCTTCCTAGGACAAACTTTGTTTTATCCTAGTGTCTATCTCGATCAATTTGAAGATATTATATTGTGGTTTAAAAGTTTATTAGTAAAGTTTATTTGTAAAACAAAGCTGATATGATACGTGGCTTCCACGCACCACAATTCATTTAATTTCATGAGTACTCAGTAGCTCTGGCATATGTCACCAGTTTCTCAACTTACTCTGAAGCTCTTAGTACAAGACAACTCACGAGTCATGCTCACATAATTAGTTTCCGTTAACTTTAAAATATTACCGAATGTATAAACTATAAAGTTATGTCTAAATATGATCTAACAGTATGAAAGAATCCACAGTTTATTAAAGCTTTAAAGCCCAAACCTCGCAAGAGTTGACGAACCTAAAGTTTTGAGGTCTTCCTTCAATTTCAAGTCATGGTTGCCATAATCCTTGATGCTGTCTTGCGAGAATTTATCTACTTGAGCTACTTTGTCTTCGAAGTTTTTGAGATATTTCTTTGTGTCCTCGGTGATGACTTCCGATACTGCTAGTTCAGCTTCGTCCGATCCAGCTTTTACTGCCGACTCTGGAAGAATGAACATAGATTTTATTGTTCGAAGTTTTAGAATAAAAGTAGTGAACTACTGTTATTATTTGAGTTGTTTCCCAAAGCTAGATTACTAGAATTTGGTTTTAAATGGATCAAATAATAAAAGTGTTGCCAATTTCATCAAATGACCTTATATTATGCACTCACAGAGTTCCTCTATACTATCATTACCAAAATATAATTGTAAAGTCTAACGACTGTAATAATTACAAACCTAAATATTTGATTCCTTCTGCCAGCATTGCCTCAGCGTCGATCATTTCGAAGTTTTTTAAATGATTATGTCGAGAGTCCCAGCATTCGTGAAATTTCTTGATCAGTTGAGCACATCGGTCTGACAGTATCAACGGATTGCTGAAAAACGTGAGTAGGTTAAGGTTACCTGGGGACCTTAAGCTTTTTTTGTTCATAAACATATCCAGATTGAAGATACGGCGGAATGACAGGCTAGGCGCCACCCAGTAAGGCTAGAGGATTTATAAATATAAAATATGTCAATGTGTTAAACTTTAATCAGCTGAGTCAGCCTATAAAATGTTGGACAAACTCCAGTAGACTAAAGATTTTCATAGTCTGATCGATGACAACCTCAACCGTGTAACGACCATGTACTCACTAACAATGATGTCATAGAATGGATAGGCTAATATCAACTTATAAGTTCAGTTCTGTTTAAGTAAACCTGTAAACTTTGCAGATATTGTTGAGTATGGGCAGGAGTTCGTTGTAAACATGGTTAGCATCTTGCAGACTTGCGTCACTCTCATCAGTTCGTTTGATACAGTCCTTCAAACAATCTGAGGAATCGTTCAACTTTAACAGTTTAAGGTTTTACAAAAAACGAGTTAGTTTTCGTCGGTAACTATTGTGTTGTCGATTGGAAATCATTTCTAGAATCGCTTGAATATCTTGAATAGCGGTATCATCTCATATTATTATTTGCAACAAGTCAAATCGATATGCTTATCATGAGTTAAACGTACCTAAGTGGCCAAGCTCGTTTTGCAAATTTCCATTTGTACAACGCCTTACATATCCATTTCTTATTGTTTGGTGGCCACAACTGTTGATTGGTGTGGTTATAATTTCTTAATTGAAAAATTGCGTTTTGATAATAAATAATAATAATTCTGTTTGTTCTACATATACATGATGCCACCTCATTCCTACAAATTTGTTTCATAGGAGGCCGATTTTTGTGTGGTCACTAAATCAATAAGCTCAATTGACGAATGGCGACATCAATCGCACGCATTTTTCCAACTTCATGGCGTCAGTTCATGTCAGTATAATATGCATTATGTAATATAATGTTATTAATATTTCGCCTCCATGATTTAAAGTTTCACAAAAATTTCACTCGATTCTGGACTACCGGCATTGATCACTGTACTGGAAGATTTAAAAGACAATATTTCAAAAGATGCTCGATTTTGATATGCAGGTATCCACAACGGAGTTGAATTTAGCAGAATTGGCAAAATAATTGCGATGTTTTCAATATTTTCGACAAGCACAGCATTTGCAAATCTGATTCCAGCGAACAAACAATTGATCTCTTGCAGACCTTTTACGGCCGTCTAAAGTAATAATGGTTATTTTACACATACAAATGATAGATCAAGATGATAAGAATAGAAAGATCACACGACGCCTAAAATTCAATAAATTTCTTTGTTAAATCTCTACTCAACTTAAATCTTTTATTATTACGAAATACATACTAATAGTAATATCAGAATATTCAAATATGTGCCCTAAATCCTAGCCGTGAAGCCCTGTAGAGCGGTTAACTCGGCACCGCGTGTTGTAACATTTACAGATCCGTGACCGTTAGAATATTTACGTGACTAACAGAAGCAATGAAAAAGTTAGGAGTTTTCCTCCTCCGGTTATATTCGAGATGATAATAACGGTGACGTTTATATTCACAGGTTTAGCTGTTAACACCTAATCGCTGTGTTGGACTATTGTCATCTAATTTTAATTATAATTTTACCGACTCTTTGCATTTTCATTGTATTCTTATTTTGGCAATGTGTTACTGTTAGATCAAGAACACGCTAATCTATATCAAATTCAACCCCGTTTCTTGTATTTGTATCACTTTACCGCTCACTCTAGTGAAGGGATTGCTCCGACCTAGTGCACTGGTACTTCCAGTTTTGAGTTTTGGGCTACAAACCCTAACTTGGTGACATTTGTTATCGCCACCTCACAATGTGTGCCATAAAAGTGTGTTCATTTCCTTATCACTTACTCGTTTTACTTAATTTATGACTCATCAATGCATTGTTCAGATTATCTGATCTATTAACTTCACGTCCACAAATTAGAAACATTAATTTAGCCACTCTGCACACTTTGTTATATTTTGTTGCATCTTTTGACAACACTGATCACATCACTCGTACCTTTAGACTTTAACATGGAAGAGTGAAGAGCAGCGTATTTTTGGTTAGTTAGTTTGCTTTCCACCTCTTTTATCTTTTCTTCCATCCTGCAGTTTGGCAGTCTGCTGTAGTAGGGGTGCTCCCGAACTATGTTCACTCCTGAGAGTAATATCGTGGTTACAATTTATAATTATATCACGTGGTGTGACGTCATGTCACGTGGTGTGACGTCATGTCTCGTGGGGTGACGTCATGTCATGTGGGGTGACGTCATTCAAGTTATTAGTTGCAGGAGGCAGAAGAACTGAAGTGATTCTATTTGAAAACAAATCGTGTTCTTAACTTCAACGGTGTCTAATAAAAATCAAGTTTACCATTTGTGCCAAGCGATCGTTTTTGCAAACTATTACTGCTTGAAATTGAGTTAAATTGTTCAGCATTTGTTACTTTTAGTTTGAACTGCAGCGATGCATAGCTTTTAAATTTAAGCACATCATATTTCAACTTTCATGCTTTTAGCAGCAACTTTGCATTTATTGAGCTAAATTTAGAAACATCAATAATTTGCAGCGCTCAAAGTAAGAGCCTCCCTTTTTACGCGTGATTGAATTCACACTAAAGAGATTCATATGAAAGTGTTATAGAAAACCTGCTTCTCAAACTATAAAAGCGTGTGCTTCAGAGCACTTACTCACCGATTTCTTTGCTTGCCTTGACCCGTTTAGCAACGGCTTCGAGCTGGTTCGAAGTCCCATAGTTGAGCTTGCTTACAAGTTCTGGTGCAACCTGCGAGTAAAATTTATGTTAAGTACAATCTCTAATAATTAGGCCTTGGGGGCAATGGGTTCATATATTTAACAAATAAAATGTTAAACGATGAACTAAACGATGGTGCCGGTGGATGCATGGGAGTTTAGCTTCATTCCCTTCATCCTCATTTATCAAAAATAAAGCCGACTACACGATCAAAACTCCTACGGACAGACGCACAACTTTACCTCCATATTGTAGAAAGAAACGGTGCTCGCAAAAAAACAAACAGATTAGAGCCACGAAGTGAGAAAAGCTATGACCATTGTGAGCATTTCGAATGATAAACACGGGCTAAGGAGCTCGGTAACAAGCATCTGTTATCACGCAGTTGCACAAGCGGGTCTTGCGTGGCTCTAACGGTGTTAACACTGGTTAACTAAAAATAACGCGTGAGTACTCACGCACACTCACGCGTTAGCACCCTTTTATAAAGGAGGGTTTGGGTTGTTTACTTACAAAGTTATAAGGGGCGCTGTCGGGTGTTGCGATGACGAAAACCTTCCAGCCGTTCGGCAGCGGTATTCCTTTAGATAAACAATCCATGCGGATTGTGCTTGCGAGCTGAGAAACATTTAAAACAATTGTAGCATAGTATTATATGGAATACAGCACATTTTGATCGTGTGACTTCGACAAGCAATTGTATTGAGTTTAATTAGTCACGAGGGAGAAACCGGATACTGCTATTGGCCGTCCCGGGATCAATAGGGAGTAGAGTAGCTTAGCAGCTAGCATTTGCCCTGTGGAGAGCATGCAAACGAATTTGCAGCGTTTAAATTGGTGAAGTTGGGTGGCATTTGTGGTTAGATAAGTCAGTTCATTCTCTCCATTCAAATTTACATGGTATTCTGATTCACTAAACTGATTATAGCATATCAAATTAACATGAAACGTTTAACTTTAATCATTCGCTTATATTCTTGCCTCCTCAGCCTTTACTGATTAATGGGCAAGAAAATTGACTTTTTATATAAAGCAAATTGTTGCAACAAAGATCTAAATCGACCAAAAATAAAGCCATTGCCCAGAGTCTTTTAGATTATTCTACAAATTGTTAATAATAATCAAAATATGATCATAAGTGTGAATATAGTTATTGCGGAGTAGTGTAAATTGAAATGACTGGTTTGGAAGGCTGTTGAACTTGATATTTAAAGCTTCATCTCGCTAATTCATGTTTTTCAAATTATTATAGGATAATTTTGTTTGTTTGCTAGCTCCAGAAAACAGCTTACTGTACTTCTGATATGAAGTGTATTATAGTGAATTAAATGGTTATCTAGCATGCTATTCGATTGCTTAATTCTCTCACGGATATGCAAGGCCCTTCACACTTTGTGTCTGTCTGGTTCTAATATACCATTACAATAATGACTTATTGAAAATGATAGTCAAGCATTTTAAAGTAATAAACATATCAACTGATACGGATTCCTTTAATAATATGTAATGAAATATAATTGATAATGGTACATGCATATAGAAAATGAAACAAAATAATAAAATATTAACTTAATAATTAAGTTCTGAAAGCAAATTCATGAGGTCCGCGGTCGTAGCTTAACTAATCCAGTGTCAGCACAATGGCGAGACGTTTCGTTTTTCTAGTCATTATCGTAGCCATCCTTGCACTCGTTGGAGGATTAGGAAAAGGAATCAAGAAGGGGGAAAAAGAAATGCGCTAAGAAGATCAAATTGTTTGAGTCGTGTCTAAAAAAGAGATACGAATCAAAATCCGGTTGTTATATCTCTGAAGATGGATATAAATGGAAACATTTTGTTAATAAGAAGGATGTGAAGAAACGTGGAAAGATCGAGAGGCAGCTGAAGAAATGTGACTACTCCTGCAGAAAAATGTATGTTGAGCCAGAGCTGGAACCGCATCCTCAACCGGATTCAGAACCAAAGCCGGAGCCACTTTCATACGACTTGAATTGCAAGAAAGTTGGATTCGGGTTTTTGGGAGCTGACATCCGAAGTTTCAGCGCATCAAGCCTTGAAGCTTGTGTCGTGGCATGTGTTAACGAACCCGGCTGCAAAGCCATCACCACCAGAAACTCAGACAATTACTGCTGGCTGAAATACAACAACAGTGGACTAAACGGCCCAGAAACCAACGCCGCTCTGACCAGCATGAACTTGGAGTGTGACAGGTCAGCTGGAGACTAACTTAACTTGGTAAGGTTTATCCTCGTAGCAGGAAGGGTCATCAGATGTCTGACCACCGTGTTGGCGTGTAGTCTACCAAGGAATTCGACATGCTGCACGTATAACCGGAAACCGGAGGGTTATCCGGTATCAAAGCAAGAAACTTCGACAAACTGACTTTGAAGCTGGCAAACGTTTTCTCGGCTTTCACTTCACTCGGCACCCTATTCCACAGTTTGGATCCTCTTACTGCGAACGAGCTATCGTACAGTGTCTGGTTTCTCATCGAACTCGACTTTGATAGAGAAGGAACAACTGCTTTAGTGCCATATCTGGATGTTTCCACAAACTCGATGCTACAGCTATTTGGAACAACGTTATGGTACGTTTTCCACATCATCAAGATGATGTATCTCTCTCTTCTCCGTTGCAGGGACATCAACTTCAAAAGAGCTAGCCTCTCCCAGTAGTTTAAGCTGTATAGACCACCAATGCGGCTTGTAAAGGTACGCTGGACCCCCTCCAAAAGCTGAATCTCTGTCGTCTTGACTGGGTCCCACAGCGGACAACAATACTCCAATAAGCTTCTGACTAGAGACTTGTAGAGGGTCATCATAACCACTTTATCCCGTGTCTTAAGCACACTGAGCACCCAAGACAGTTTACTTCTAGCTTTGGTGACCATATCCCCGACGTGTTTAGACCAGCTCAGATCGCTTGACACTTTTACACCAAGGTCTCTAACGTTTTCTATGGGATAAAGAGTGACGTCACTAGAAACCTTGTAGAGGAGACTTTCTACGTAGAAGGGAAGTTCACTTAACAAGTTCCTCTTATTGTGTAGGTGGTTTAGGAGTTCGAACTTCTGCTCGTGTAACTTCATGTTGTTACATAAGGACCAATCTATAATGCTGTAAAGATCAGTCTGAAGAAGTTGGCAGTCTTCAAGGCAGCTAATTTGCTTGGAAACCCTAGTATCGTCTGCGAAGAAGCTCACTCTAGAATGCTTAACCACGTCCTCTAGGTCGTTGATGAACAACAGGAAGAACAGTGGACCTAAAACACTGCCCTGAGGCAGGCCCGCTTAACACCTTAGCGCTGTCTGAATGCACACCGTTCACGACAACAACTTGGTCACGACCAGTTAAGAAGGATTGAATCCATCTTATGAGATTCTCCTGGAATCCATATCTTTTCAGCTTTAGAAGAAGTAGATCCAAGTCGACTTTGTCAAAAGCTTTTGCAAAGTCGAGGTAGATTGAATCGGTGTCATTTCCTTTTGTCAAACCTTTGTCAAAATCAAAGTGCTCCGACATTTGGGTGAGACAGCTTCTATTTGACCTGAATCCGTGCTGTTTGTCCGATAACAGATCATTAAAATCAAGGTACTGGGTCATGTGCTTTCTGACGACCCTTTCATACACCTTCACTACGTGGGAAGTCAGCGTCACAGGTCTATAGTTTACAGCTTCACATTTGCTACCTTTCTTGAAGAGAGGAGTGACATATCAGGTCTTGTAGTAGCTTGGGACGATGCCAGACGACATAGATTCTGTCCAGATAAGATAGATAGGGACCGCTAAGCTAGAGGTACATCTTTTCAGCAGGATGGAGGGGATGCCATCGGGTCCCGGTGCAGAGTCAAGCTTTAGTTTCGATATAGCGTCCTTTACGTGATCGAGAGTGAGGAAAAGTTCTTTATATCGACAAGTAATGGGCGGCAGCCGGCACCGCAAATTCAGGCATGGACTTGTAGGGGCAGTTAGGGTCACTATAGACTGAGCAAAACTGAGTCTGGAGGATGTTCGCAAGATCCTTCTTCTCTGTGACAAGCTTATTTTCACTATTAAGAAGAGTTGTGATGTTTTGCTTCACTTTGGAGAACGATTTCGCGTAGGAATAAAAGTATTTCGGATTAGCTTTTATCTTATTCACCGCTCTCCTTTCGCCCTCATCAAAATGGTGTACTATAGCTTCCTTAATCTCAAAGCTGATTAATCCGATTTCGTCTTCAGACAGTAGCTGCAAAAAAGACAACTCCGACTTGGGTGCAGACCTCAGCAACTTCAAATCACAAAACTTCGAGGACTGTGTTAGCCACTGCAGAGACACAGCAGACTGTCAGTCCTTCACCCTCAGGAAATCTGACAACTACTGCTGGCTAAAGAACAAGCGAGGAGGACAGACTGGACCCGCACCCAATGATGCTCTAATCAGTATGAACATCGACTGTGTTCCAAAACCAGGCTTTGTAGCTTCCGACAGATCATGTGCCATGGATGGTTTTGACTTCTGGGGTGCAATTTTAGCGAGATTCACATCTAATGGATATGAGGACTGTTGGACGAGCCGCCTTGACGCTGCTGACTGCGTCTCAGCTTCACTATGAGAAAGTCTAATAACTACTGCTGGCTGAAGAGTAAGACGAAGGCGGGAGGAGAGAACGAGCCTGAAGCTAACGGTGGTTTAATCAGTGCAAACATGAGTTGTTAATTTATCCTTTTTGGTTTGAATTATTAATCGGACTTATGGATACTTTAAAATTAAAATAAGATTTTCAGAAGCATTTTAATGAGATTTGAAATGAATAATCAAAAATGTTGAAAGATAATGAATGTACTGAATAGTGCATAACGTTCACGTAACATTATATAGTACATATTTCAATTGTCTTGTTTTATTTTAGCGATGTTTTGATCCCCAAACATCAGTGCCTTCCCAGCAGTGGTGAACCGTACCTATGTTCCATCCCCTCAACAAAATTTCTAATAACCTAAAGAAAAGAAAAAAGAAAAAAACTAATATGTTTAACTATTATTTTTAGTTTAGGTTTGAGGATGAAATCGGCGACGATTCTTATTTTACTCTTAGGAGTGGTATTTTCCTACTGTCCCAGTCAGATCGACTCTAAACTCGACACAGTCATATCGAAATTAGGTAAAGTTTGTAATTGAGCATCACTGCACTCTTGATCTCAATTTTTTTCTTAAAAGTCACCATATACTAATGTTAGAACACGTGAATCCGAGGGTGGAAATCGTTCTTAAATTAAAGCAATTCCGAAGAATGTAAAAGGTTTAGTACCCATAGAGTAAATATGATTTTGCTGTTTTCAGAGTTGATGATACTAGCTTTGGAGAATGAAGATTTCAGTGGAGTCTCGATTGACATTGATACTGATACAACAGGTACGATAAAAATTAAAATCCACCTTGATAGGTCACAGCTGCAGCCCAATAGGATATAATATAAGAGTACAGCATCTTTTTCCATTAGAAGATACCCGATTATAGCTATTTCATGAGTGGTTTTCCAGATTTCAAGTCCTAGCATGTGTCCAATTCATTGCGCATAATATAACAGTCGCAGAGCCATGACTTTGTTCAAAAGATTCCTGTTTTACAAAGTTTTATCATTTAAAATTGATTTCATCAGATTGGGTGAGCGAAGCTGACGATTTACAGCCAACTCCAGACACTTCTGAGGGAGACAGCAGGGTAAGATTTTGGGAACGACTTTATAGATGAGAGATAAAAAGTTTTGTTAATTTCTAATTCTGTAATGAGCATTTATAATTCGATCAATCACTCTAAATCGCTGTTGTACAATTTTAAATTTGTTGATGTTCTGATAAAACTCCATTAACCCTGAGCTTAATTGAAAATATCCCTCAGACGGATTTCAGATTCTGTGTACCGATCAGACTTCAAAACTACTGTCCAGACGGCTATGTCGCGAGATCAGGGGCTGCAGACAGTAATGGCCGCAGATCTTTCATGTGCTGCAAGTGAAGCTGAACCACAAGAGAACCGCAAGTTATTTGCATGTTAATGTAGTCAAACCACCGCTTTGTTTTCAACTTCAGATTTTAGTTCATCTTATAAACTTATCTTTTTTAAAAGTTTAATATTATAGCAAAGGGGATTAACTCCCCCAATGATAGGGGAACTTTTCATAAGCGTTCGTGATTGTATTTTTGAGATAAAACTGAAATTCATGTAATTTAACATGAAATGTTCATGATGAAGATTGACAAATCAGACTTTGCACCTGTACATTGAATGTTACAAAATACAATTTTAATCTTGCAAAAGGGTATTGTTTTTATGTTTATCATGATACCCTTCTCCTAGGACCTAGCAGTCTGGTTAGTTTGAGCAAGATCTCAACAATTAATCTTGCAAACCCAAAAATTAGGAACATTACATTTTGTTTTGGGCGATTTAAACTCAGTTCTCAATAGAATTAGATGTTTCTCAAATATTTATAGTCCTATAATATTTGCTTCACCTAGCAATGGTTAAGTTTCTAATCCTGGTTCTATCCCTCGTGGTTTTGGGACAGTGTTGCAACTACGCCAAACTGGAGAAGATAGATCGCTTGATGGGTAAGTTGGGAAAATGGGGTCAAAATGAGAAAAATAATGATTAACTTTGAGAAGCGCCATCAGCGCAAGGTATTATTTTCTATAACCTGCATTTCGTCCAGTTATACAAATCGCCTCGACAGTAACACATCTTTTCCATGCAGAACAGTTTCTGAATTTAGTGGAGGAGAAGAAGTATAAATACGAGGCTGCCCTGATGACATACGAACTGATGAACTACAACGAGGTAGAAGAGGACAACCCAGAGGACTACGCGGTCGCGGGGGAGCTCAGAGACGGTTTACTTGGTGCTGGTTCACAGTAAGTTCCAACATCGTTTAAATTACCTTTATGTTCAATGACATTTTCTTTGGTTCAATTAGGATTTTGAATCATGAATTTAACACTGTACGATATGCACAGCGAAACGCTTTGTTACTGTAAGAGAGTAAGGAAAAATAAACTGGGTGATTTTGATCACGATGTCCTTGGATTCTATTTCTCGGAAGAACCTAGTGCTACAGTCAATGCAAAATGCTCTTATTGCCTTCACAGCTGCGATGAGGCGGCTATAACGGATTTCATATCTACGGTACAAGAAATCCAGGATTCTATACGGAGAATGAGTTGTGTCACTGAGGACTATTTTCTGAAGTCCCTGACCTGGCATGGGCGCGGTTTGAAGCGGTTTCTTGGTGAGGCCTGAGTGCTGTGAAAAGTGATTGTGAGTAGAATATGTGCCATGATCGTGATGTATGTGCGGGATGATGTTGGATCGTGTCAAGCTGCTAAATTGTACGTTTTGTTAATGATCCTACTCCTATGCTTGGTTCTATAAATGAGTTTTAAGTGTTGGTCTGTACTACTGGTTTGATCAATATCGTTGGCTCCAATAATGAAGAATTTGACGCATGAACTGTGAAACCAATTGGTAGGAATGTACGGCTCACGCACGCTGCTTTGCGATAAAGCTATAGGCAAATTATTTCAAACCATTCCAGATATGTTTAATTTTGAACGTTCATATCTAGTTAAAGATATGAACGTTGTCAAAACGTTTTGACAAAGAAGGTTGTCAAAACCCGACATTGAAAATGAACTGTAAGAATTAGTAATGGTTTCCGCCGTAATAAGTAAAATCGAGTATCGATCATGAATCGTTTATCGAATGTATCATGCGAGTGAATTTAAGAATTTGTGCGGTTGACAAAATCAATCACTTGCGGTGTTTCAATTAGTGTCTTACAGTAAACGTAAAGCAAAACGTAGAGGAAAGCGTTCTTCAAAAAGACCACGAACATGCGAACAGATTTATATAGCAGATATCCAACGTGCAGCATGTTCAAAATACGAATACTTTCTTACCGAGATTGTGCTGGAAGAGCAATTTAACAGAAGAGGATGGAATGTCAGCTTGCGTGAAGCCAAGTGTTGCGAGAATTGATAGATTCAGTGGTACGTTTGTCCAAAACTGCGTGATTTGCGTCCCAGCACAATCCTACTGTAGATTAAAAACCTTCAATGTACAGCATTTATCTTACCCTTAATTTATCAATGATAGCCTAATGCACTCATGTATAATCAAGCCGATTAACTTTCTTTACTTGTATCCTCAACCATACCAAAACAGTCAGTAGGTTACTTATAAGGAAATCTACCAAACATTTATTTGGTGAAAGGTCAACAGAAAAAAGGTTTGTTGTATATCTCGACAGCCTCTTCTATTTCTAAACTGAAGTAAAACTTGAAATCATGATCAAGAATTTCGCGGATTCAGATTTATTTTATTGAAGCATCTGTATCATTAAACTTTTCTGTAAAGAAAATATTGATCGCAAAAATCTGAATATCGTACGATTTATAGGTTCATTAATTGATCATTAATTAATTAATTGATTATTTAATTAATTTATTAATTGATCCAACTCTATTCTCCAGGAAATGTGACCACGCAATATGGGCCCGCGACTCAGATACGACGGTGATGGCGTGCCAGCCAAAGCGACATCTCAATGGTCTGACCTTCGTCCCTTCGCCGTATGGGGGTGGTCAGTTCACAGAGGCAGTTTGTTGCGTCGCTAAGTGATGTAATTGAACGGACATGTATATTATTGACTGTTTTTTTATGACATTTACTTGATTTACAATCAAGGTGTCAAAATGTTTCCCTTCACACACTCGGGCATGTTATAAGATATTCATATGGTCAATCCTTTCAGATTGGAATCTGAATCAGATGTTAAAATAGGAAATAATCATGACAGATCTTAGTAACGATTTTTTTGGAAGATTTTGGAACTCATAGAAATTTGTTTGTAATGTATTTTTTATCAAATTTCATTTCTACATTTCTTCGCAATATCATTGTTGGTCTCGTTGCTTCTTTCAGGGTATACTAATACACAATTATCCAATAACCACATTCAAGGTATCAATTTCTTTTTCATTTACCATAGATTGATTGATTTCTCACTCAATGTAATTTGACGACATTTGTCATTAATTACAGTTTTTGAATACTTGCAGTAGGAAAGATGTTACACTATCTAGGGCTGCTGCTTCTTGTAGCGGATATCAGTGCCAGAACATACGAAGGAAGAAATTATCAGTACACCGCAATCAGCAACAAGCTTGACCAATACATCAGCAATCTTGGTACCATATCTGAATTTTGTATCTGTATCTAGTCGCTCTTCCATTTAAATAAGTTCTGAGCCCTAAGCTAAGACAAAGTTTTCTTTTAACTGTTGAGTTCTCCTAACCTGTGACTCAGAACAACCCTGACAACTTCAGACACTGTGGGGAACGAACTGAAGGAACTAAATACTGCGTACAAGAACTTGAAACAACAAGGTGACGATTACGTATCCGGAAACAGTTTTGACGAGGGCCGACTTTTGCCACTTCTTGGAGCAGGTTCTAAAGAAGGAGAAACCTGGGACGAAAAGTCAGTGCCATCTGCAGATCTTTAATATCACTTTTGTGTCACCTATCAGTATCACTTGTAATGAAGTGATGGGTGTATGAATTTCTGAGATTTGGATTGGGATAATTGATGTTGGGATAATTTGATACATATTTAACGAATGAGCTGAATCTTATAATTATATCTTTCAGCATTGACCGTTGTAATTGGGCAGAGTTTGACATCTCCAGGGGCTACTATCAGGGTCAAGTGTCGCTGACTAAGAAGGTCTACTGTGAAGCAGCTAACCACTTCCTCACCGCCGTAAGTTTTAATTCTTTCATTATATTATTATTAATAATTAATTTATTCATTCTATGATTAAAAATTGTAGCCATGAGCTTGAAAAGTTGGGAATTGAATTTACATCATGTTAACGATGGAAAATGTAACGGAAAATGACCATATTTGTTTTAAAAACTTACATTTTTTAAATTACAGATCGAGTACTCGGATCAACGAGGAATTCTTGTTGGAAAATGCTGCGAGAAGAAAATCAAGAAGAAGAAGAATAAGGGCTAATTCTTTTCAGAGTTGAATGAATGATCTCTAATGCTCTTTACAGGCCCAACAAATTTCGAAAAACTCATTGTATACTTTAGATTTTTAGCTATATTCATAACTCTAAAAGTTTAATGTTACTGACTGTTCAATGGTACTGTAATCAGATCAATTGGCTGATATTAATTTATTGAAAAATAGACTTTTTTAATCGTGATTTCATCGTTATTTTGTTATCTCAGAATGCATGCACTTAACAACTTTTTCAGACGTTTAAGTTTATCTTTGGGTTTTTAGTGCTTACTGCCCAGTTTTTTAATCGAATCTGGGGACCAGGGGAATTGAGTAGAATATTGCTCAGACAAATCTACAAATCTTTAATATATCCAAATAATTATATAATCATGTGAGGCAATAATTTTTTCTTTTTCTTAAGAATCCAGCTTTGTTATTAACTTTCATTGGTTCAACTCGATCTCATACCATAAAACCAATCCTTAAGATGCGAGTGCGAGAATAATTGTACATACAATTAAATAAATTTGTTTCTAATTCTCTTTGTCTTCAATTCAATATTTTGACCTCTTTACAGGATCCACTGATAAAACTTGTTTTTCACATCAATAATTCACACTACAGAATAATTGACTAACACGGCAACCTAACAATAGTGGATATGTTTTACCTGCTGCTTCTCCTTGTGGTACCTGCAGGAGCTACCAGACTTTACACCGGACGAAATCAACAGCACGAAACTTTCAACTCTAAACTCGATCAACTGCTCAAGCATATAGGTATGATTTGAAGGCCAAGGATAAGAGTTTTACTTTTACTGATTTATCTAATCTAAGTGTTGCCCCGTGTCCCCAGCATTATGTTACTACCCTTTGTTGCTTACTAAACATATCATCATCATTGCACACGACTAAATTCTAAAATAAACATTTCAACTCTAATTAAAGGTGAAATTTAAACATACTCAACTTTCAGACTCAGTAGGGAGTGAGCTGAAAACATTAAATACCGCCTACAAGAACCTGAAAGAACAGGGAGACCAATACAGGGGTGTCACAGACGGTAGCCACGAGAGAGGGCAACTAGCTCCACTCCTCAGTGCCATGGGGAAGACCCAGCCGTGGGACGAAAAGTTAGTTGTTAGCTTTAATGAATTATAAATTATTTTAATTTTGTTGGAATGGGATTAATGGATCAGCTTCTGTGGTATTATAATCACTGCGATCGTTTCTATAAATATAGTTCTTCCTGTCATCAGCTCGCAGCTTGCACATCACACTTTTTAAGTTCAACCCTTTTAAATTGGTTGTCCTCACTTGAATCCGGTAACCATTTTACTTAACCAAGTAACTTTCCTTTGCAGTGTTGACCAATGTACATGGACTGACTCTTCCGTCAGTAAGGAGATGTATCATGGAGGAGCGATTATTACAAAGAAATACTTTTGTTCTGACAGCAACCACTTCCTTACTCACGTCAGTTATATAAGGGGGGGGGGGGGGGGGGTATATAGTAATTATGATATGCTGTAATAACTATTTACCTGCTTACGGTCACTGTTTAATGTTGTTTTTTTACTGATAAGGAAATGATCGAGACCTTCACAGAGGGAAATGAAAAGGAACTTTTAGCAACTAATAAGTAACCGACTTACCCCAAAAATACTTATACTTATACCACAAAATACCCTTTCAGTTGGAATATTCGGACGAATTGGGAATTCACAATGGCAAGTGTTGTAAGAGAAGAAAAAGATAGATCAAGATGTGAACATGACTAGATAAAGATCACTAGTGACTGTTACTTAGATAGAATCCTGAAAGAACTTTAAGATTGACGATTTCAATTGCTTCAGTAGATGTCCTGGACGGAATAGTTTTATTTGTGATCATCCCAAGGACCAGATTTCAATTATCGTATACATTGATACATAGTTGGGTTTCATTGTCGATGACAAAGAATTCCTCCTCATCGCCATTCTTATATTTGTAACGCTATTTATTATGATCGTGACGACTGTGTCGACGAATTTGTATAAGATTATGTTTAAATATTGTCAATATTGCCGAATTTATCAGTCTCCACTTTTAAGTGTGTCCGAATATGACGGAACCAGAAATACTTCTTGTTCTAATGATAAGGAACTTGTGGGAAATCTAGAAATACAATAATGAACTTAATTGCAAACTGTACACCAAAAATTCAGAACGTATTTGTTTTCCAAACATCTTTTAAAACATCAATAAACCGATGAAAACGTTTCTCATTTGGCTCATTTGGAGTCAAACATGGAAATCAATTTGTCACGAACCACCTATTTCACTTTAAGTCCCTTATTTTTGTTCTTCCTGTTTTCTTTCTTTTGTTGGATCCTTAGCCTGTTTCTCTCCGCCTTTTCTGCTTCCGTCATCTCGGGGCCCCTGTTTGAGTTGATCTTGTTCATACTGGTATTCCCTGCGTGGGCTGATGTCTCCTCAACAATACAAAGAAGGACAAGAGCCAGTACACCAAACATCAGAGTTAGTTTCATTTTCAGCTGGATGGAACTAGTCAGTGTAATAATTAGCGCCATGAATTGGCAAACAATGTTTTGTCCCAATTGTGATAAATGCATATAATTTATTAAATATCGGTAATTTTACAATTGTTTTACAGGATTGTTATCAGCTCAGTCAAACAAAACTTTTGGTACCAAATTAACAATATTTGAAGGTACAACCTTATTTAAAATTTGTTTCGGGGATTTAGCATATTATTTCTTTAAATCTGACAATATCAGTTCCAAAAGTTTCGTCTCGCCAAGTTGATAACGGCCCTATAAAAAGTGTTTTAGAATAACTGATACTATGGAAGTAACAGGCCAAAAACTTTGTTTAAACTGTAAATTTTGCATGCGGCAACCAAAAACCGTGTAGCATTTTTTGCTTTCTGGTAAATTTATGTTATTCACATTTTAAACAACTTTATCAAAATCGGAAAGAAAAAAAAATGATGCTCCAACTCTTAGAGCTTATTACTATTAGATACATAGACTAAACGTAAAACGTTATTATCAAACTGGTTTAAATTGTAGTGTTGAACTTTGAACTTGGAGTTTACAAATTAATAATAGTGCTCTGTGGAGGGCGAACATTTGTTTTATAACCTAGTTAGTAAATATAATTAGAGGCAGGGAACAATGATCGGACTGTTCAAACGATATGGTAATGTCATTGAAATTCTCCTTAATTAGTGAGCAAACAAAAACTTGCCGGGTAACATTTTGTCTTCGGCCTGGACTAAATGGGCTATTATGTTTCTATTAGTATTATGAAGGCTTTAGGGCATTGTTGGCTACAAAAAGGGTTGTGTTGATGATGAAAGTGCCGATACCACTCTTCCACAGTAATGATTGACATGATGGGGATAATAGGCGATTATATGCGCATCCACATGGCCATTGGCCAATATTTCTGAAGATAGTGAAACCTTTGTTCAGGCTCCACCTGGCAGAGGAGCAGATTACAATAACCTTTTGCCTAGTACTTAAACAGTTAAACCGGTCTGACACAAGCTGGACATAAAACCATTGTTTTCTGTCAACCGGTAAGACGTAAAGTAGAAATTATGTGGTTGGGCGGCGTCTTCTGTGAAACTGGACCATCTGGCTTTGAGCTTGTCTTTTATTATTTAATTTTGATTAAATATGTTCAAAGCAATATGGAGAGATGTTTGTTTGTAGATGGAAACAAAGAAAGTGAGGCTAGTACTACCAACTGGTAATTGATAATCAAATTGATTAGACTTTTGTGGCAAATAATATAAAACAAGCTCCTTTGATATTTCATTTAATCTCGTAATTCTGGACAACGTTAAGTCTAGCCCTAGGCTAGGGGGTACTGCTTAGTTTGAGTATAGAAGTACAGTACCAAAGCTTACAGGCTTACCTTGTAATTGTGTGTATATAAAATTTGATTCATTCACACAACATTAAAATTTGTGAATTTATTAACAGGCCCTTCAATATTATTCATAATCCACGGACATTACTGCAGCTTTATTTTTCAGGTACATTATATCATAAAAACCAGTGAATGGTTAAAAATTGTCCGTAGAAGGGGCATCGTCAAGTAATGTGGTGATAGTAAGACAAAAGTATTTGTTCTCAAAATGTAAGGTATCATAACTTATTCGTCTAAAGTAAGACTATAATGGTAAATTAAAGCTACAGATTATACACTGTAAACGTCGATTGTTTCATGTGCCATTGCGCACACATGGCTGATGAGCGAGGGAGGGATGAGGAGGGCATCCCCAGGTTCAACAGCAATAGTTCCCTTGCCAGTAATCAACACTACTCTAACAGCAGTCAGTCCCCTGCTGTTATCTAACAGTACCTGCCCTGACTTAACCCCACGTCCTAGTGAACTAACACTGTACCCTACTCCTCGGTGCAGCATGATATGGATCCCTGCTAGTTTCTCTACTCTTATTGGTTGGAATATATCATATGACCAGTTCAAGTAGCAGTAAGTATCGAGAACAGTCCTCTCAGTGCAGGCGTCTATCTCACGGTCCCTTGAAAGCAACTTGCCTTTACCTCTGTACAGCATTTTAACTACCTTCTTTACCTCATTATCATCACTGTAGTGAGTCAGTATCTCCTCCCTGATCACCTTAGCATTGTCCTCCTCCCCCAGCTTTATTAAGCACTCCAAATGTACAAGGTACTGATGGAGCCAGTGTTGCTCCCCTGGGATTGTGAAAGGTTCCTCAGAGAGCACAAGATCGCTGTCTGCTAAATCAGCCCACTCTACACAAGACTTCACGTGACCTAGAGCGTGGGAAATATTCGATAAGATCAGGTAGTTACCAGTGTTAAAATCAGTTTCATCTGTTTTCATGCCATTTTGAGAAGATTTTAGACTGTCAACAGCCACCGCTTCGTTCAGTTCCCGAACACATTCCATCAGATCCGAGTAAGACGGAAGCTTGGGGACGTGAATAACAAACTCTGCCATGACATCCAGATCATACTCCAACTCCAAGCTGTCCACCACTTCAGCTACATTAGGCCAATCATAGATAAACCTCTCAACAATTTTAAACCTATCAACAGGGGACTGAATGACCGATTCCACTGTCTCGTCGAAAGGATACCGGCAATCAGCGAGTAGGAACTCCAGGAAGAAATCTAGTTCTCCTTCAAGGTCGGGATGCCTTTCTTTAATGTCTATCAGTTTAAGGATAAGTTCTCTTTCAGTGCTGGCGAGATACCAGATGTTCGTCAAACGATTATCTCGCGTTATGAATTCGTCAGGGTAAGTAAACGCACCTACAAGCTGAGGGGGGTTGAAGAGAAGGAGTCCTAGGAATACTACTAAACTCCCCATTTTTACAATCCTAAAGAAAATAAACGTGTTAAAGATAGAATGGGCAAGGCCAAGGGCTGGAACATGAATTCTATGTAATGGTAAAATAGTTACGATGAGCAAGGAGATAATACGAATTACATTTACAATGAGCAAAGAAATTTAAAAATTTTGCAAAACTGGGAAGAGAAATACGGAAATACGTACAACGTAGAACTACACAGGCTTGCGCCATGCATTCTAAATTAAAATATGAGTAGTACAATACGGATGGACAATGTCCATTGGACATAGTCCCACCCATAAGAGACAATATTGAGTAGCTGAATGGTAGATCACTAACAATATCTAGTTCTAATTTTATGACGTCATTACCCTTAAACCGCTACATGAGTACAATGTAGTTGTACATATACCCAATATTTGAAACGTGACCCTTACACAGAGTAAGTTACTTTATCATATTTGATAATTGATCTCACTAAATCACTTGCCAAGGATTTTTACTTTCTACAGAATCAAAAACGGCTCTGGGCGGTAGCGTGCTAAATTACTCAACACTCGAACTTGGAGATTTTTCTAAAAGGGTCATCAACAGTTAAAACCAACTGAAATCGACTAATTTTTTCGATGCTGATTCTGAAACATCCCCACGTCATATACTTAGGACAGAATAATAATTTGTGTTGTGATCATCCGACGGATTTCAATTTTTACATAGTTGGATTTCATTTTCGATTAAGATTTCTCCGTAATCGTCATTTTATTCTTATTTGTAACACTATTCATTTTGATCATGAGGACTGTATTGATGAATCTCAAATTTCTCAATCAGTATAATATTAATAATGTGTTTAGATATTGGCAATTTTACCGACTATCTTAATTTGCAACTCCAATCTATTTATTAGTTTGTCAGAATGCGAGAGAACCAAAAATATTTGTATTTCAATAATACGAAAATCGTTCGATAAGAAATTTGGGTACACAATAATGAATCTAATCGTTAACTGTACATCAAAAATGTTATTGTTTTCCATGAGATCTTCCAAAATGTCAAAAAAAACCAATGCAATGAAAACGTCTCTGATTTGCCTCATTTGGAGCCAAAACACGCAAACCTAAGACCTAAGTGAAAGTCGGCCGCCATTCTTTTTTTTCTGTTCTGTTTCTTTTGTTGGATCATTTGCTTCCTTTTCTCCGCCTTTTCGCTTTCTGACATCCCCTTGTTTGAGTTGATCTTGTTCATACTGGTATTCCCTGCGTGGGCTGATGTCTCCTCAACAATACAAAGAAGGACAAGAGCCAGTACACCAAACATCAGAGTTAGTTTCATTTTCAGCTGGGTGGAACGTAAAACATTATCAAATTGATTTTCATCTGTATTTAAATTGTAAACTTGGAGCCGCGAAAGTGAACCTGCAAATAAACCAAGAACCGAACCTCTACAAAAGTTTAACACAGTCAATGAATTTTGTTGTTCGACTGATTACAGGTTTAATGACTTCATTGACAAACAAGTTGATTTATCTCACCATTGAAACGAAATCGCAGCCAAATCTCTAGGCCGGTACTACACTACCAGGTTACTAGTCGTTTGTCATAATATAAAGTGTGGTATGTGGTAGATATTCATATAGCGTACTATACAAACTAGATATATAAAACGAAGTACGAGTTACCACGATAGTCTTTTATCTCTCCACTAAGTCTACAATTCTGCTAATTAACAATTGAGTCTGAGGTCAATCAAATGTTCATACTCATAGATAATAGATATGGATTATAGAGATTACATTCACACATAGTTGGACAGCATGAGACAAGTGGAAAACAAACACTCGAATATGTTTCAAGCTCGTAAAGGATCGTTGCTTGAGATCGGAGATTTCAAAACTCTAGTTCGACAGTCGAAGTTCTCTTGTCGAACTTAAGTACGTGTCGAACTTTAGTCCAGGTAGCGCACTTTAGTTCGACAGAGTCAAACCTTCGGGTTTGTCGAACTACAGTACGTGTCGAACTAGAGTGCGTGTACCGATAAAGCATGCTAATCGTGACACTGACACCAATCTGATCCGGTTAAAAAGCTTTCCTTGCTCTTTTACATTGTCAGTGAAATCAGTCCCATCACTTTGGCAATAATTGGTCATACAAAATGATGGCGACATACTGATTCCAGATCATTGAATAACCGTTTAAATGCTCAATGGTTTTAGATATAAGCCACAAAATAGTTTCATTTAACAATGCAGTCGGGAAGTTTCTGGTACATTATATTTATATAGCCATTGAAGAACGACGGAGTCCCTAATCTTACAGATATGATCCAATCTTGTCCTATTTGCTGATCTGATAAGTGTATATATGACGTTTAACTAAAGGAGTAGCATTGTACTAACTACTAAAGCAAAGTTAAAAGGGAGTGATCAATTGAAGTCTTTTTTAAATAGACTCCGTTTATTTAATTAGAATGCCATTGGTCCCCAAGAAAAAACGGACACACGATTCTAAGATAAAGCCTGTATCATGAGGAGAAGATGATAGCTTTTTATGGATCTTGTTTAAAAATACCCAAAAAAGTTCCCAAAAATTTGTGTGCCAAAACTTTAAGCTCAATAAATTTGAGTACCACAAATTTGGGTAGGAGATTTGGAGTTATCTATTTGCCGTAAATATAATTTTCCATTAATTTAATTTATTTGCCAAATTTTTGGGAACTAAGGCACTAAGGTATTAAGGTATGTCTCATCCTCTTAAGTGATTTGGAACATTTTTATTTTGTATAGAGATTAGTCTAAATTGGTAGAAGATTAGAACCGCTCATCAGATTCAATAACAAATAAAAGATGAAAAGGTAACTTCAAAAATTGAAATAAAGTGTTTCAAAAACAAAGTTTAAACGAAGTTGAAACGTAAAGGAAAATAAATGTCCAACAGGTGCTATTATCTCACCTTGACTCTCAAGACAGCTTTGCAATGTTCAGAGGTTTTATATTTCTTACTCAGTACTCACACTAAATACATGCTATTTAACTGTATCTTGCGGTTTATCTTTGTTTGAAACTGTAATGATACGTTCAATCTATTCGCTTAATCTCACTTTAAAAGAACTATTTAATGTAAGAACTTTACAAATTCTAACTGCATTGACAATAAAAACTTCTAAAAACGCGTACAAAAACAGATCGGTATATATTAGTGGCTGCTTATGCAGTAATACTGCACTATTGTAGCATTGTAGGTTACTTTATTACAGAACATATCCAGTGTCACAGTCACTGAGTCACAATGTATGCTATCTGATTAATCTCTAAACAGTAAGGTTAGTAAATGCTCCTTAATCTTTAACCCAGCGCCTCATCAAATATGTGGGTGCGCTCTAATGCATTTCATAATCTATCAAGATATAGGTTATGTTTCGTAATCAATAAAATATAGTGAAAGGTAGATGACGTAACAGCGGTAGTCTACGCACTTCCATTAGTGTCAAACTCAACAACAGGTGAGCTAAACTCGACGACTTGGTCTGTGTCGCTGAACGTAACACTCCGCGCACTCGGAGGTCGGGAGTTGGAGCTTGCAGCCCGGGAACTCGCTGCACTAGTAGGTCTCGAGCTTGCACTTGTCGGACGTGATGTACTTCTTTCTGTCTTCGTCGGCTTTGTCTCTAAAAATGCGAACAATCAATAAAAATATTTGAATTTTGAGAGTTTTTGTAAAATATTTATAATCTGACCATCTTTTTTATTTTAATTCAGCAGTAGAAAAGATAAGACATATTCTTATCAGGATGTACCGTGATTTGACGTTACAGCGTCTTTATCCACATGTCCAGACTTTTTAATATCCGACAACTTTTTATCGTTGCTACCTAAACTGTTCTCTTTCTTCGCTCGGCTGTAAAATATAATAATTAATGATTTGTGTATACATGACATGAGACGGACTTAACTTTAAATTTAATGAATATCTTGAAAGCATGTACGTGGCCTAAAGGTTGAGACAACTACACCATATGTCTTTGGTTGAGGTAACAATTACACCAGAGATTAGGGGTGAAGCTATAGTTGTAGTTTTTAAGGTCAAACCATGTCACAGGTGTGTTAGAGTCAACTTGTCTATTTGATAACTAAATTTTAAACCGGGCGTTAGTTAATTTATTTTAGAGCATGCTCTTACGCAATGTTAATTCTGAAGAGAATAGATAATGAATATTTATCAACATTTAACGTTCCTACCCAAAAGATTACGTCACAATAAGAGACGTACGAACATAATACGAGTACTATCTAATTATTTTTGAGAAACTTAATTACTTATTGTCTGTATGACGAATGGGTTGCTGTAGCCTCCAAAGGAGTGCTCAAATTACGTGTATGAACATTTTACAAATATTTGGCATTGTCAATCGTCATGTTATTATCATGAAACAGATTGTTTGCCAATTAAATTGAACAGTATCAATTGTTAGCATTAGTTAGATATTTTTAGTAACCCCCTATTGATACAAACAAACAATACTAATTATAAGATCAAATTATTACGACATTAGCTTTTGTCAATTGTGAACGAAGAAAATATGAGATAACCACGGTTGTTGATATTGTAAGTTTCTCTTATAATTGAAGTAGACGTTAAATCCAAGAAACTGTAATAAATTACAGACCTAGAAGAGAGATTACTGGGAGCTGTAGAGGGTCTGTCAGGTGTTGTCTTCTGGTCGCTCTGTCCTTGTAGACACTTCTGAGAGTGGTGCAGGAACTTGGACAAGGTCGGATCTGTAGGCTGCGGAGCTGGAATTGGAATGAATTTTAATTATAGTCGCTTATCTGGAGAAAGTATAAATTAGTGCGAAAGGAAGGTGTAAACATTTAGGAGCTGGAGTGACATTGTCCTGTCGTTTTACTTTTACTTTAATCGATATGGTACGTGATATTTAGATATGGACGGATCATTATTTAGAAAGTTGGAGCAATAAAAGTTAAGTAAAGTTAAGTAAAATGTATGACATCATTTATTACATCATTACACATGTCTACAAAAAATCATCGCACTATTTGAAAAAAATATATAATAAATATTTCCCCACCAACATAATTTATTCATCAAATACAATATTTAAAACAATTTATCAAAAACATTATCATATTTTAAAAACCTAATCAAACTTCCCAGTGGAATAAAGATTTATAAAACGCCTCTTTGCTACATAAGGATGAAATAAAACACGATGGTTAAATCATAAAACACATTAAGAAAACCTTTAAATTTGAGTGTTGCATCTACAATCTACATTTAGCATCTACAATCTACATGTAGCTAAGGAAACTCACTTGGTACAGTAAGTCGAGCAGGTAGTTGAAGCTCTTCACCACACCTACCACAGTTCGGGATACCACCCCACAAGGAAGACGTGGGAGTCGCCCTCAGACTCTCGGCCATGTCTGCGATCCTGAAATTTAATAATATTGTGACTTGTGTTTTAATTTAACAAGCTGACGCCTGACACAGTAGTCATGTTTGTTGGTGCCAGTTGTAAGTTGAACCACATGGTTAAAATGTGTAGTTACGCGCGCGTGGTAACTAATAAAAGTTGACCGCGCGTTACGTAAATGTGCTGCTGAGACGCGAAAAATTACACCGAACTTATACATTATACTACTTTACTACACAAATCGCTGACGCTGATCCCAATTTCCAATTTATTTCACCATCCCAAAGTTTAACCAGAAACTGACAATTGTTTAGATTTTCAATACCATAGAACTGTTTTAAGAATTGTAGAATTGTCGCCGCTCCAACACAATAATGAATTGAGCGACATTAAATCGTGCTGCATGAACAATTGCGGGATACTTTTATCTAACTTTAACACTATATTTTTATGCTCGTAGCATGATCACTCGGTACAAATTCACCGCCGAAAGCCATAACTTTTTAATCTTTTCATAGTGATACTTGACATAAAACACAAAGTTTTCACGCTAGAGGTTACTTTGTGCGTTAGAATTTATAAGGAAAACGGGCGAGGCGAATTGAAAATAAATCACTATTAAATTTTCTTAACTTCGTTCCGCTTTTGTTCTACACAATCAATTAATAGTGTCGGCAGTATCACAAATGACTATGCTTGTCTCACATGTACGCCAAAAATGACTTAATAATCAAAATAACACAAAATAATAGCGCTGCTATTACATTTCCAACATGATTTAATTTAGCAACATACGGCAATCCTGTACTGGACACAAGACTCTATTCACGGCTATTTTAAAAACTTTGCAAGCAAGATTTCACTAACGTCAAGTGCCAGACTGCTATTGTTTTATAAGTTAGTTGACAATGTGACACGAACATAACTATGACTACAGCCAATAGCATCGCGATCAAGTTAATTTAAAACTTTTATGTATTCTATAACGTCGACAAATTGTGGCAGCTCTGGCTTTTAAAACAATTACAGTTCAAGATCTCTTCTCCGTTTACGTGTAACTTATGTGAGATGACGTTTTAACATATTATGTTGTTTGCGCAGCATGCATAAGCTTGATAAGTGAGCCAATGTGTAGACTGTAGAAGTTAATTCAAATCTCATTTCAAAAAGGAGAATGACTATAATATTATACTACGTAACATATTATACTACTTAACTTGGGAATCAACAGTAGGAATTCAAATATTACTAAAGAATACGTCCACGTTCAGCATCTACTTATCTACTAAGAATGTAATAACATTTTTTAACATAGAAAATTTGTAAACTTCTATGATGATTATAAAATATTCTGAATGTATAAAACATACTATTTTACATACTTGGAGTCGTGGAAATTGCGTCCCAGTTCGTCAAGCTGTTTCGGAGATAGAGGTAGTTCGGTGGGGAGCGTGTTTCCGAACCCGTCAACTAACGTTTCGCCTGAGAGAAAGTCTTGATTTCATTGATATGATTTATGGGAGAGGTTTGTTTTTTAAACGAGACAGCCCTTATTTAGAAACACGGGGGTGGGGGAAGGTTGCAAACCAAATTTCGTGAAAGAATGGTGTTAAACATTTAATAAGTTAAGTCCACATCATTGAAATTATTTTCAAACAATTTCCTAACTAAATATCCTCACTATATAACTTCTGGTAAAATGAAGACTGTATGAATGGTAAGATGATAAAGTTTTAAAAATAAACTGCAGTGTTTAATGGCTTGTTAATATTTGTTAGTAATAACATTTAAAAATGTAAGTCTCGCGGGATAAACTTAATAAGCAATACTAAATCTTGGTATGAGTTAGATTATTTGAGACTTACCAAATGCCATGTTTTTGACTCGAGTGACGACCCTGCCCATACAAATAGCCCTGTGTTCGAAACTGAAGAGCAACGCTGACGACAACTCTCTCTTCAGCCAATCCATCAACAATATCTGAAATTTAATAGAGTTACAGTGGGATTACTACTATGAAGTAATCAGTACAGACAAGTATTACCATGATTGTAATTTAGGGGACCACATGTACAGCATATAACAAATGTATTGTATTTTTTTTTATCTAGACACTTATTTTACTTCGGAGTATTCCAACAGCCATATTGTTACACAAGTGCAACCAGCCAATTACAGGAAGCCGAAGGATTTGTTTTTAGCCAGTGACGGTTAAGGTAGTGTGTACCATACTTTCTTTATACATTGTATAAATTATACATTATAGAATTCAGAATATTACATGTAAAAGCTGCTGAACTTTATCTTTCAGTAGATTTTAACAGATCAAACAAATTTGTTTCAGAAAAATTCGTTTGATAATAACAAAGTAAGAGCACGCCTCAAAGCAATTCAAATTCTCATTTAGTTGGCAGAAACACATTTTTAAACACATGTTTGTAATATTCCGTCACATTTACACGTGCTGTAATACCGGCACGTGAAATATTTGTCTGCTAAGCTAGACAGCACAAGTGACATGCCTCCTGTAACACTGGGAGGTAGATTAATTGACTCACTAGACAACATAAACACACATACCAGTATATATATAACATAATATAACACAATGTATAACTTAATATATAACATTACACTGGTTCAGAGCTAGATAATCAGGTACATTTTCTGATATTACAACAACATTTTACAAACAGGTTTCCTTTAAATTAGGAAAGAAAAACAGAGACTGTAGAATAAGGGGGAATGTACTAAGTAACAAGAGTTAACGATAAGTTAACAAGAGTTAACGATGAGTTAACAAGTGTTAACGATTATAGTTAACGAATACTTACAGAGTTTTGCGGAGTGCTCTCCTTGGCGCTGTTAATCCTGCTAACTGACTTGTTTACCCCTCTGTTCTGATCTTTCTGAAATGTTTGTTGTGTCGTTAAACAAGAAGATTCTATTTTGATTTAATTAAATCAATTACGTAATTGCATGCTTTCCTCTTATTTATTCGTTCGGATAAAATAATAAATACAATTAAACACTAGAGTCCAAGATACTATCGTCCATACACGTCCAATATTCAAATAATCCTCGCATTCTAACATATTTGGGTTTCTAGAACTGACATCAAATTTCAGTTCTTCATGGACTATTCAGGACAACAACAATGGTTTGATAATTTGGGAGGAATTCATGCCCATCGGTAATTGTAATTCAATCCATTTTCTATATTTAATCGGGAACATCCCCTAATCCAGCTTCACTACTAGCTTACTAGCTACTCAGATGTACTGGACAGCTGATGAGAGAATATTGTAACTATTCTCGAAACCTCGCCATTATGCTAGGTTTATGTAAATATTTGATAAATAGGAGTATTAAGGCCACATTTCAAAAAAATAACGAACACCCGGACATTACATCAGATTATATCATGCTCAATCTAAGATACATTTACGTTCCATTGTAACACGATAACATAATTCCTCGTGTTTCCATGGTAACCATCACTTGTGATATTATGTTGCTAAGGCACTCTGACAACAGCTCTGACTCTATTAATTCAGTTCATCAGCTAATGTTCATGGTAATTTGTAAAATAGTTCCATGGAAACCAATGCAGAGTTCAACATATTTCGAATACTTAATATGAATCTAGTGCTTTACTTTAACAAAGAGGATCGTTTTCTTAATGACTGCACAATAAAGACTAATGATTTTATAGACAGTGAAAATAGTAAATGACATCAGGGGATGTTCTTATGTTCTAGGAGCTACGTTACCATGACAACGTACCCCAACAGGTTTCGGAGAATCGTCCAGAAATAGCACAGGTGTCTGGTCTGCTATGTCCGTGAGGGCTGTAACCGGCCTAAAATAAGGAGATTTACAAGGAGAGGTGAGATTGCTGTTTCTCAAATACTAACTAAGAGGTACAATGAGTATCATAATCATCATGAATACATCAAATACACTGCTATACTGTAACATTATAACACTGTAACACTGTAACACTGTAACACTGTAACACTGTAACACTGTAACACTGTAACACTGTAACACTGTAACACTGTAACACTGTAACACTCTAACACTGACCTGTTTAGGACGATAGGAGTGTCGTCACCAATGGAGTCAGGAATGTCAGTCCCCTCTGGTTCTCTTATCAACACTATTGGCACGTGGTTTGCTATAGCTGTACGTAGCTAGGGTGTAGATTAAAGGTACAGGGGGAACAGTTTGACAGTATGAGAAATAGCAGGTATTTAAGAGATAGCGTTTTAATATCCCAGTAAATTGAATCTCACAGAAAAGTAGAGAGAGAAGTTACAGAGAGGTCACTAACCTGGTGTACGCAGAAAGAGTCAGCAAGAGATGAGTCTGTCAGCACGAATATCATTACATTACAGCTCATCACTAGATCCTCTTCTGTTTGGAATCCTGGGAGAGTTCGTGTCAGATGAGGACAATGAGGACAATAAGGACAATGAGGACATGACTATTTTAACTCAGCTAATTAAACGCCACGAATTTTCTATCACGCTCATGTAATAAACAGTGTGTTTTTTCCTATGCTTGTTGCCATTCTGTGTAGCATGTGTGCTATTGTGTGCTGTCATTCTTTAATAACTCACACAATAACGTCGAATCATCTTGTTTATTTGAGTAAGAAAATGAAACAAATCCTAGTGTTTGAAAACTGACCAGGATAGCGTGGTAGAGGTGGATCTGTCTGAACCTTGAAGTGTTGAGCCAGCTCCCGGGTTATAAAGTCTGTGTTGGTCCACTGTGTCTCACACACCTCACCCGATACGTACACTTCTATCTTAGCTGGAATGTTTTGGGATTAATATATCTGATTACTGAATAATGAGGCTCACTGTTTAAACTGGGTATGGATCCTAGCCGAGGAAGAGGACCTGATCAAGTGGTCGATCCATGAACAGACTTTTATATTGGAATGAGTTAATCTTAATTTAATGTTGAAAACTTTCTTAAATGTAGTAGGTAAGTTTGTCCAACATAAAACATCGAATCACATGTTGAAAACACCTTAAACCACGTCCTTGCTCTGTTTTAAAATTAAACGTTTGTAAATGGGTATGCAGTTTTGATACAAACAGTTATTAGTTGTACACTGCTCCATGCTGAAGACTGAGTTTGTTTTAACTTTAACGGATCAGTCATGAGTCTAATGCACTTGTTTCTAAGTGGACATCAGCCCCCGCTCTTAATTAATGACATATTTCTAATGATGAAGTCAGCTGGCCCACTAAAACTTTTACTAATATTGTCTGCCGTGTGTCATATGCTGGTGAAGTTTCTGGTCAGTTCAGTTTTATGAAAAGGAGAGCCCAGACAAAACAATTTAATTTAAAAAAAGTTGTATCACAATGAACCTAAAAAGAAACATTGTAACGTCTTTCCGTTCTATTCTTACTGTCGAAATAAAAATATGTCTAGTAAGTAGGCATATTTTTCATTTCCATTTGTCAAATGGTTCAAAATGTTCAAAACAATTTTCTCCTTTTGGATTTGTAAAGAAAAGTAGGAAAAACTATAATTGTGAATGACCCTCGTATAGGTTATAATTACAAAACAATCTTCTCTCCTAAGGAGGGTTCCCCAGTCAGTGAAGGAAAGGAAAGAATAATTGGAATTAAGTGCATAAAAGAAGTCTTTGTTACTAGGTTCTCCTATTTAAACTACTAGTTTAGCAGCATGAACACAATAGTAATGTCATTATACTTTTCATCTACCTGTACTTGTTTGTACTCTAGAAACTTTTCTTCTTAGGCTCCTTGTGGTATGATGTAAGATATTACAGACCTTTGATGGTGATAGCATGATAGGATAATATCACGACTGTAGAATTGACAGCTGTACAATTGATTATACGTCTCCCTTTTTATGATTTAGTAGGCCGAGACTCGATTCTAATATTTCTTCTTATGACTGTTTTTAGAGCTTCTTAATTCTTTATCTTCTATTTGCAGGTAACTAATAATATGGTTCATACTAAAGTTATCATCTTCTTTGGGTAATTATTTTGGCTACTGCCGTTGTGGTTTATTTATATTTTATATTTTAGATTTTAGAGCTTTTAATCAGTCTCAATTTATGGTTACTTGAACACAATTGATAGAGTCGTATAATAAGCCTTCAAATATAATAATACTTCCATTAATTCATTAAATAGATACCTTCGGAGATAAGGTTCATATATTGAGAGTCTTTTTATATTTCCGATTTGAATTGAACTTGTAGCTTATTTGAGAGCTACGTCGAATTGTAACTTGTTGCTATCGCAACTAAAATTCAGATATAGTCGGGCAGTGTTGTTGCCGTTAGGACGCATCGAAACACGGCTTCTAGATCGCCGATGCGTGGCCTCGTTAATGCTCAATTGAAACTAATCAACACGGAACTATGTACCCTAGATCATTTGAAGGTCCGTATATTTTGAAAGTTTTTCCGGACTAATGACCAACACCCTGGATCATTTGAGTAGACCCGTTATCGGTGTTTTATATTTTGAAAGTTTCACTGGACTAATGACCAAAGTCACTGTAGCTGTGCCTCTAAGAGTTTTACGGGTTAATTCAATTAACTGTTTCAATCCGTAAAATAAATTTGACTTGGAGGTATACTAAAACTTTGAGTTCTCAAGAGAAATGGATTCGACAAATTCAGCCAAATGAACGGAACTTTAGCAAAGAACCACCTATAATTAAAGAGTCTTGTTGGTCCGAGAGGCCAACAATTAATTATTGATTAAGTTAGCTATTGTTTAACCTTAATGTTGGGTTTGGGTGATTTTTATCCAAAATCTCTATACGCGAAGAAAGAGCAGCCGATAGCATATCGACGATATATCGACGATTATGTAACCAAAGTTTAACGAAATACGTCCCTTAGCTTGAGAATATATTCTTTCATTACAATACTTCCAGGTGTTTATTGGCTGTTTGCCAATCCTTGGGTAATGCTGACTGTTCGGACGAGGGATCAACCGAGGCTTGCATGGTAATTCAGATCAATTAGTTTTACAAAACTTGAATCATATTCCATTTTTCAATGCAGTGCGTTAAACTTGTAACCGCCTCGACAATACAAATTACAGTTTATCACAGCTCTATATCCGATTGTAACGTCTTAACTGTAACAGCGTTACAGTGTAACGCCTCTTTCTTCAGTACCTGGTTGAACAATTCGACCTCTGTTCTCCAAACTCTCTGATGTACCAGAGTATGGTAAAGAATTGTCGTCTAGCATGTGATCACTGTGAGGAAGAAGGAGAAGAGGAAGAAGACTGGGTCAGTGCTTTGCTTACAATAAAATGATTGGAATGTCAGAAATTCATAATTTTGTGTTTCGCACCTAATCCACCTCAAGGGAGCGTTTTTGTTTGTCAAAAGCCTTTTTTAAGTGAACTTATTAAATTTTTTCTGTAGGACAACGACAATGATACAGAAGGTAAAACTGATGGAAGTCAAAACGACGACCCAGGTAAATATTTGTAGAACACGTGTCTAAACTTGCATTCGCAGAAGTTGCTGCCTGTTATATTTAAATAATAAACTGCTCTTCCACAGCTCCAACAATGTATTTCTTCTCAGGATGTGAAGATTCTCTTTCCAATGATGCTAACCCTGATCCAACCCTGAACTGTCTGACTTTCCAATACTTGTGCGCGGATTCCTCAGCTATTGGAGACCGTATCGCTGCAAACTGTCCTGTCACGTGTGGTACTTGTGAGTTTGATGATGATCCAGGTATGTAGAGTTAAATCAAGCAACATTTTGTTAAAGCCACTATTGTTTGCAATGTACTCAGTAAATCATGGTTAATGTTGCATAGATTTGAGAGCATTGTTTTCTTTATCACTCATATTGTACTCATTAAATTAATTAACTACAATTTCCCATTAGAAGCTAATAATACTCCATTTTCCATAGTTTGTGAGGACTTGCTGACCTCCCCCAAGTCTCCGGACCCCACTATTAACTGTCAGACCTTTAAAAAGTACTGTGAAATGACAGGGAAAGTTGCTGAGAGAGTACAGGCAGAGTGTCGACTGACTTGTGGATTCTGTTAACTATCCTTTTCCTCTACAGTCTACTTTCTTTACGTTTTAATTAAGAACTTGGAGCACAAACAGTTGTTAAATATATTTGTTCGAATCGATTAGCTTTGTTGTTATGCAGTTAGAATCGTTATCTTAAGAAGCATTAGAGCATTTTTCATTGTATTCTGGAATTACCGTCAGATTCTGAAAAAATTTTAACATTTCCAAATTAGTATCCTGTAGAAATTTTGCAAACTAATATCGCGTAAAGTAACAAGCAGCAATACAATTTCAGATAAATCTACTGGGAAATACACCATGACCAAATAAAATGTGTCCTAATATACTAGAATTACATAGTATAAAGTGAGTAAGAGCCAAATACTCACATGGGGAAAGAAGAGAGTAACTAGAAGGAGCACGTCTAGCGTGAGGAGATTGTAATATCCTTTCTACTGCTTTCTCTTGTTCTGAGTTCACCTTATCCTGAAGCACATGTTTTAAGGCTTAATGTTATAAACTAATTACAACACTACAAATCTATTACATTTATTGAGTATTATGAAACGCGATGGAAATATTTTAAGCGGGTAATATCCTGTCCAAACCCAGGATACATAACATGAAGACTTTGTTGTAACTTGTATGAAAAGCATGAATACACTGACTGATAGTTTGAACATTTCCGAGAATTAAATAAGTCTTAAAGCTCTTGAAAATTGAGAATTGAGCGAATTTAAGATAATTTGATAAATTATGTAGACATGAAGTTGAGTGACACACAGACCTGATATTGTTCTGACATGTAGAGACGGAAATACATCAGTTCAGGTTCATCAATCAAATTCGGAAGTTGCCTGAAAGTAATAAGCTAAATAACTAGCATACGGTAACACCTAGATAGTCAACAGCCTAATCAAGAAGACTGAAATTACTCTGTAAAACGTAGAGTAACTCACTGAACAAGATGGACAAACTTCCGTAACATAGCATCGTGACGAGATATCCAAGCGACAGCGTTCATGAACGTGTTTGGGACCTGGGATGTGAGAACGTCAAGAATAGTGATCGATGTATCTGATTAAAGTAGCCTCATCAGTTGAAACTAATGGTTACTCTGGTTATTTTGGTTACATTGGTTACTTTTGTTACTTTGCCTGAGAAATTCTCAAGAATTTGGCACCATTTTACCTCGTCGCTGCTGGCTGAGAATTTTGGCGTCCGTCGGAGGTTAGCAGAGCCACAGCGGGATGGAAATCTTACCATCGGCCTAGAACTTCTGATGTTATCTAACTGCGTCATGAGCTTCTAATGAATATGGAAATGTCAATATTGACCATCATCAAGGCCCTAAGAGGCTTCAGTTGCTCTATAGGAGTTAAATAGATTGACAAATTAAAATAATTGATCATCATTATTATCTATCTGTATCTACAATGCTCAAAAATGTCACGATTATGACTACTAGAAGTAACATACAAATTGAATTGAAATGAATAGTAAAGTGAACAACTATGAAAAACTGTTCAGCTTTCTCAGTCCTCACCCTATTCAATAAAAATTGTAGGTTTTTACTTTTCAGTTTTCAAATTTATTCCTACCTTACTCGGGATTATTACGACGGGTTTATTAACGACCGGTTAAAATATGGTTCGGGAAAAATATGGCGAAATTGCTCAAAACCCACCACATTTTCCCGGTCGCCATTTTACCGGTGTCCAACCTTTCAATTTTAGATTCAAAAATTTTGTCTCAGATGTAAATTTCCTTATTAGAGATAAGTAAGTTTAGAAATTTTCGCATTGCTAAAACTTGTGAAACAAGTCGAATTATCAATAATTGTTGAAAGTAGACAGAAATAATGACTCGTGGTTAATCAAACTAGATAGAAAATAATTTTTAACATTTGAAGCGTAACAACCAGATCGATATTAAGATAAAGGGAGAGCTGTTTAGTCTTCCAATAAGTTGTAATCATCTTCGTTATCTTCATCTGGATCATCCCTTTCATCAGTTTTAATTAATTCAAGTTTTAATTTAACTGTTACTTTTACTTTGAGTCCTATTTCATTATGTAGAGATAGTCAATACCTAAGAAATTAAAAATTGGCCTATTTAAATCAAATTTGACAATAAGGATATATGACAAGAATTGGGCAAAAAGGTGAATTTTTGCAATTTTAGCCAAATGAAGTCGAAAAACCTACAACAAGTGTCCCAATAGTCTTCTTTAGTGAATATAAGACAACGATTAAAATATGAGCACCCATACCCCTTGGGAACCCTAAAAGCTGAGTAGGCGGGTTTATTAACGACCGGTGAAAATGTGGTTCGGGAAAAATATGGCGAAATTACCCTAAACCCACCACTTTATCCCGGTCATAATAATCCCGAGTAAGGTATATTACATTTGTGAAATCAATGATATATGATTTGTGACATCAAATGTATGTAATATTAATTGGTTTAATAGCATTACTCAATACTCATACTCTAAACGCACGTGATGCCAATGATATTATGTACATACTATTTAATAAATAATGCTAATGATAAATACTTTTTCGTTTAATTTCTAAAATGTACTGTTCAACAGGTACACAGAGAACGTTTTGCCTCCATTATGTAACAGTGCAACTAATGATAAGGAAAGATTAGTACTAGGATTGCTGATTCTCATGGGGGTATGGTCTATTCTATGGTTATTACTTTATTAAATCTGCACTCTGCAGCACGCTATTTGTCTAGAGCCACGGTTTTATTTTTGCTTTTTCTTATCCTTTGCAGTTGTTAATACGTTCAATTCTGAAGGTCTATTGAGGGTTGAAGATCATTCTGAGCAATGACTGAGATATTTAAAAAATTGCTTCTTGTTCTTTCCTTGGTTTGTCTCACATTTTCTGTGGCAAGCTTAAAACAAAGACCTAGATTCAAGAAACTAGTAAGCAATGTATGTGACAACAAGGGAAAATACATACTATCCAACAATCGTAAAACTTGGGTGTTAGCTTTAGAAGCATGCGAAAAAGCAGGTCTCCAGTTGGCTAAAGTGAGAAGCGAAACAGAAGTGGAGGAGATGGCGGCTGCAATTGAATATTTCCTTGGTCCAAGAGATGAATCATTGAAACAGTTTGACAACAGGAACTGGATCTGGTTAGGAGGGAATGATCTACTGTTAGAAGGTAATTGGGAATGGCTGGACAGAACACCTGTAAATGACTGGGATGTTCCATGGACTAAGAAGGCAGGGAAGGACAATTCTAAACATGTTGGGGGACTAGATGGCCAGAATGCCCTTGCATTCTCCAAATGGGGAAAATTTGACGATTCCTATCATAACGACAAAAGAAAGAAAAGACCATTTGCTTGTCAATGTCCAGAGACCTAATTCCAATGAGAGAAGATTCACGTTCTTACGTAAACTAAGAACGAAACCAGCAAAAATATTGCATGTACTTTTAACCATTTTATCATTAAAAACCAATATACAGTATGCAGTAGTCAATTGTTGTATGTGTGTAAAAGTTACTAATGCATAATGCATAATGAAATTTAGCCTTATATCTGTATTTCATTGATCATGATCATAATTAAATAAAGCGCATAATCAATACATATAATACTAGGCTTACAGTCACAATATTCGCAGGCATGCTGATTATTGCCTACTATGAGTCAATATATACATTTTCAAATTTCCAGTTGTCCTCATTTTATAGTCGCAGGTGGTGAGGTCTCTCTCTCGGTGTGTGACAGTTTGTGAATAGCAAGACTGCTCGATCTATTCGATTTAAAATCACACAAACTGCAAGAATAAGGTTCATCTCTGGTGTGTGTCCGTTTGTGCCGACCAAGATTGCTTGATGTGTTTGATTTAAAATCACACAAACTGCATGAATAAGGTTTCTCCTCAGTGTGTGTTCGTTTGTGAGTAGCAAGACTGCTCGATGTCTTCGATTTAAAATCGCACAAACTGCATGAATAAGGTTTCTCTCCGGTGTGTGTCCGTTTGTGAGTAGTAAGACCACTCAACGTCTTCGATTTATAATCACACAAATTGCATGAATATGGTTTCTCTCCTGTATGTGTCCGCTTGTGAGTAGCAAGATTGCTTGATTGAACTGATTTATAACCACACAAACTGCATGAATAAGGTTTCTCTCCAGTGTGTGTCCGTTTGTGAATAACGAGACTACTTGATGTCTTCGATTTATAATCACACAAACTGCAAGAATAAAGTTTATCTTGGGTGTGTGTCTGATTGTGAGTAGAAAGATTGCTCGATGCATTCGATTTAAAATCACACAAACTGTAGGAAAACAAGTGTCGTTTGTTAGCAAGCTTGGCAGACTTTTTAGCAGACGGAGTGGTTTCTCCAATAGTGTCACCCACATTGCCACAATCAAGCTCGGTAGGTGTAGGAACAGATGAGGACTTTCCTGTAGCAGACCTTGTGTCCGATGGTGTGAGCGGAAGATTGCAGTTATCACACCGAAATTCTTTGCAATCCAAAGGTTCATCATTATTCAGGACACCACAGAAAATATTGACATCTTCCATTTTTACAACTTTGCCGTTTGCGACTTGGTTTTTAAAGTGTTCTGAATTAAATTCAACATAATCAACCGGTATGCTTTCAAGATCAGCCTTCAGATTGTTATTTTTGGCATCCTCCTCACATTTACAAGTGCATAATAATGATGACCAGGTTGAATTAGTGCTTACTTGCTGGTCGTGATCGTCTGTCATTTTTTCTTTGATATCAACCTCCTCAAACTTTCTCGTTTTTGAACTGCCATTCCTGATTGAAAGTATCAAATGAACTTCGTGTGTGTTTTGGCAGGTTATAAACGAAACCTACAATGTACAAAAACAAACAGTGCAGTGCAGACAAACTTTTTCTGAGACAAAGATAATTTTTTAAATTATAGTTGAAATAGTGTATGCAATGTAATCTGAATTAATATAATCAAAAATTCACAAAGTATAATATTTATATTAATTAAAAACTGCAATGGTTTCGTGAGTTTATCAAAAAAGCAATAATTTAAAAATAATAATTGTAGGTCTATAATTTAGCTAATGACTAAGAATCGCGCCAAGTTGGATTGTCATTCGGCGGAATAACAGGCTGAGCGCCGCCCAGTAATAAATATAATAACCATTAACGCCTAACTCAGCTAAACTCACTTGTAACCTGGCACGCCAATCTTTGTGCACGGCGCTCTTTTGAAGATTCAATTCCTGCACAGGAAGCTAGGCTGGAAGGATAAAGTAACATAAGCAATATAAATGATAAATAAACAATAAACTAGCAAGCTGCATCATTGGTAATTTATCAGTTAGATGCGCATGCCGCTCGGCCGCGGTTATAGTTTGATTAGTTTTGTTTACCTGGGGACCCCAGGCTAATATGTTCATAAACATATAAAGGCAATTATGTTCATAAAAGAATAAAGATTTGGCGGAATGACATGCTGAGCGCCGCCCAGTAACGTTCTGTAGGTTGATAACTTAACAAAACTTACTGGGCGGCGCTCAGCCTGTCATTCCGTTACCTGGGGACCTCAGGCTATTATGTTTATAAACATATGAATATATACGAATAGAGATTAGGCGGAATGACAGGCTGAGCGCGGCCCAGTAAGTCATTCCGCCGAATCTTTATTATGAACATAATAGCCTGGGGTCCCCAGGTAAAACAAAACACGCGCCGCGCGTTGAGTTACCTGGGGACTCCAGGCCAGGCTATTATATTTATGTTCATAGTTTAATTGCAGACCATGTCAATTCTTCGCAGCTCGGCCCGGCGAGGCCCATGCCTGATGCCATGCAAGTTAAGTAGCGCTAGCGCATTTCGTCGATCTAACGATGGTTTGGTTGCGAGAAGCATTTATATTAGATGCGCGGCCCAGTAACAAGTAATAAAGCATCGCGCTACAGGTCCCACAGGTTCATATGTCATAGTCATCACCGAATAGAGATTCGGCGGAATGACAGGCTGAGCGCGGCCCAGTAACCTTGTCCATTGTTATTGGACTGACACGGGGCGCGCTACTTCTAAGAAATTTAGACGAGTACCATTAAACGCATCCGTCAACTGTGAAGGATTGACATCGTCAATACACCATTTGCTTTGCGAGTGATACAGATTGCTCTAACCAGAGCCCTCTCGCTTGCAGTAGCGCGTCACGCAGTACGCGTAGGCACATGGCTATGTGAATGATACAGACAGGCAAGACTTCCTTTACCTGGGGACCCCAGGTTATTATATTTATGTTCATAATCATATGAATAGAGATTTGGCGGAATGAAAGGCTGAGCGCCGCCCATGGGCGCCCAGTAAGACCTCATCACTTCAAGATTGTGTCAGACAATTCGTACTTGGCCGTATTCTATCTTAAATTTTAATTCAAAATATTACACAGAGAAAAGTGCGATTTTAAACTCGGTTGATAAACTTTTAATTAGTTCAATGAAACATTATTAACAATGGAACTATTGCTCATACTTTAGCTGTCTATAGCCGATGTACATTGTACAATGAACATCCTTTATTAAGAGTTTCCCAAAAGGATTAGAGGTTGAAAATAAATCAAGTTATAGTCATCGACAACTTGATTGTTAGATAAGGATTCTTTAAAAAGTCCCTGAAGACGAAAACACCTTGTAGTTGAGATGATGAAATCGTAAATACAAAGCTGCTTCCCTATATGGAATGGATTCATTAAATCAGAAATTTTAATGATGAATTGGCAAATATATCAGTAAAATGGACCAGTTGCAGTGGGTGTGAAATTCCAAACGGAAAAGACAAGTCCCTCCTTCAATTTAACCGGTTACCCCGATAAAAAACGATCTTAAACCAAATAAAGATTAAAACTCAAATTACAAAGAAAGTCTCAGGAAGGGTACACTTTTAAATCAGGTAATTTTAACAATAGGATGAAACATAAAAGCAGTTAACAAATACAGAACAGAAACAAGCTGACAAGCTAACCCTTGAGTTTATTTTCGATTAAAAATCTCCATTGAGATGACAATATAATAACTTATCTATTTTTACAATAAAAATAACGAGCTATGACTTCTCAAGCTCACTCTTTGGATTATATTTACAATTCTTCTGTTTCAGTCTTATTTTGCCGACACGTGATCAGTACACGTGATCGGTACACGTGATCAGTACACGTGATCAGTACACGTGATCAGTACACGTGATCAGTACACGTGATCGGTACACGTGATCAGTACACGTGATCAGTAAGTTTGTCAGTTCATGAGCTAGACTTCTCCACAAAGTTGGGCAATTTTGACCTGATTCCTAAAACCTTATCTGTGATCTGCCAGAATTATTCAGATTCCGATTATCAAAATCTAGAACTAGTTCAGTCTTTTGTTAGAGCTAATTTTTGGAACCAGTGAACTCGACAAGTCTAGATTTATCAAAATTCATGTCAGGTTTTATAGGGCAAGATAAACCGGTCCTGTGACAAGTAAAATAGCTCCACCTCATAGATTGCTTTTATGTAAAGAACAGTTGCATTTCCCTACATAACACATCGTAGGTCAGATATTATTTCCCATACCCGGCATACCAACATGTTATCATGTCCCAATATTCTCATCTAACTCGCAAGAAACACGCAGGGTCATGCAGGTCATGTAGCATCGGAGAGAGATGGGCTGTTTAGGTTGTCCAATGAGCGGTGTCGGGTTATCTTCTTCTGTTTTATCTCGGATGAAGGCCACGTTAATACTGTTAACTTGACGTCTCCTGAAATACAGAACATGGTTAAATTGGTGCTATTTAATTGTTCGGCTCCTGGAGTCTGGACAAATATATGAAGCACTACGCCAATAAGCAACTATGAAATGAGGAGCTGCAGAAGTAAACTTAGATAGTCTTCGTAACCCCACGCCTTCGTTGATGAGTGCTCATAAAATTTCCCAAATCTTTTGGTAATTTTCAAAAATCATTAATTTTGAAGTAAATCGCGTTACTGTTAGGGTAAATGGCAACGTAAACTCATTGAGTAATGATGTAAAAGTGAAATAATAAAAACTCCAGATGCTCTCATTACCCTTATCATACAATGATAACTGATTGCATTTGTTCAATTCCCAAATCATAAGTTAAAAGTTCGTAATTATATTCTCAAACGGCACACACTAGATTGTCCTTATTAAACTCATCATCTAATTCACTATTTATTCCTAATTGAATCATTCCAAATTTCCTAAGAAATATTAGAGACCAAAAAAAACGTGGAAGCGCCAGAAAGTCTCCAAAAATAACAGTTTCTTATCAAAATCGGACCCATTTAAAGAACTGATAATACTCGGACACCATCACATTTTTATTCGCCCACATTTTCAATCGTTCGTCTTGCAAATCATGTTTATTTGGGTGGCATTGATCACCCTGCTGACACCCAGCTTACAAACTGATGATACTCTCAGGAAATACACATCTCTTAGCTTCCCTGGTGAAAGCAACAGCTCTATCTCATTTCTTCCAGACATCTCCCCCTTCGCTGACGTGTTTTCGTTTTGTGGCTGGTTTATGAAGATGAAGGTAAGGTCTGCAGGGTGGCCCATACTCCTCTCTTACGGTGGCGAGGAGCTACGGATACAGGACGACGGAGGACACAACTGTATCTTCGGAGCGGGGATAAGTCTAAGGAACAAGTTCGCAGGGATACGTCGACAAAGCTGGTACCACTACTGTTCCACGTGGAGTTCAGAGTCTAGAGAGTTCCGGGAGTACCTAGACGGGGACCTCATAGCATCACGTACCACAGCTCCAGGAAGACAGCTCCAGACTGGACTACAGTTCACTCTGGGCAACTATGGAAATGGCGGAGCACAAAGTCTGGCGTTCCAGGGAATCATGTTCAACGTAAATCTCTACGCTAAAGAGTTCTCGGGGGCGGACGTAAAGAGGATGTCAGGTGACATGTGCGCTCTGAGGAGTGAGTCTGAGGACAGTGAGTACAAGTTGAGCTGGCAGAACATTCTAGAGCAGCCCAGAAATGGGATGATAACCGAGGGGTACAGTGGGTGTTTGAGAGATGCTGCAGTAAAGAGCAGACTGGAGGAAGCGAGGAGTGGAGTTGAACAGAGCCAGAAAGATCTGATACAAGCTAAGATTCAACTGAGCGACATCGTGAGTGAACAAATGGTGGAGACTGGGCAGATATTGGAATCGGCTGGAAAAGGTGACCAGAATACAGCAGATTTATTAGACTCTAATCAAACTCTAATAATATTAGAGCTTACTACTCTTCTTAACAAGAAAAACGAGGAACTGACTAGACTCACAACTGTGCTTCAGAGAACTGTAGTGGAGCTCAAGGAAGAAGGGACTAAGCCACGGAAGGACGATACCGGGCAAAAGAAAAGCGTGATCAGAGGAGCTAGTAAGTGGGATATCCTGTACTCAGATGCCTTCTTTAACAAGACGATTACACCTCATCTCTCTGAGAAACTCCGTGATAGCTGGGATAACTTTTGCGGTAATTTCAATTTATTTTTAATTTGCATGGGGATTTGAGATATTACTGTTTCATCTTGAGTTTTAAAATGATAACAAAAGTTTATTGAAATTTGTATATTTGAAACGCAAATTGAGAAGAAACTTAGTTCGATATTTTTCAGAAAAACTTGTGGGGGTGACGATTACGGAACAAGTTATAGAACTGATGAAGCATCTGGAAAAAAGCTAAAATTGAAAGATTAAACAGAGAAAAGCCAACGAACATAAATTTGGAAAATATGTATTATGGACTGATAGGTGGACAGATCACTATATTCATATTTTACAAGGAAAATGAAAATGAAAATATAAAATTAAATATAATAATAACGTCTTCCATTTTTATACGTATTATTCGATTTCATTAGAATGGCAATATTCAGATTAGGGAGATTACGACTAATAATGGTTTTCAGCGAAGGAAGCTACGAGGTATGGCTGGAAATTATTAAAACATATTCACATAATGTAAAGTGGAATCCAAATCATGAAATTACAAGTACCTCTGGTATTTTTAATGAGCTGAGCAGCACTGTCGTGTGAAATGTTGATTAGAGAAGAACTATTACATCCCAACACGTGATCCCCTGGTCTCAACGTCGACCTGTTAAATATACATTTTAAATTACACGTAAAATTACCATGAATCAATTCACGTGACTCACTTAAACTTATTAAGGAGATAAGAGAATTAATGATGGTGTAGGAAACAGTATAATTAATAATATGAGCATGATACCGGACATAATTTGTTATTAAACAGTTGGTAAAATTTCTAGTCACAAATTGCATATTTTATAACCTTATTATTTTGACGTCAAGGTTGCTATTAATAGCATAATATTTTAAGAGCGACTTGCTTTCTCCAGAATAGAAGCTTGCAAAAAAGTAGTTTCGAAAATACATCCGAAAGAATATTCTAAAACACGTGATTTTATAAGGATGTATTTTACCTGCTAGCGAGGGATCTGCTAGAAATAGATTTGATGACGATTGGCAGGTCCCCCTGATGAGAACCAACTCCTCCAACTATTCTAAAACCCAAACTTGCGGTTGTCTCCTGTCGAGGAATTCGGACGATAGATAGTTTACCGAATCTGAAAAGGGAAGAGTCAGCTTCACTATTCAAACCAACCCTCCAAAAAGGCTACCATATCGTACCAAGAAACAAATGCTTGGTGGTAGTCACACAGTTAACACAAGAGATATCAAAAATCAAAGCTAATTTCACGAAGCTTCTGTAAAATGTGAAGGCGAAAAATACCAAAACGAAACTGATTGAATATGAAATAGTAATTACCCAGCGGAAGGAAGAGAAAAGGGCCAGTCCTTGCAAAAGTTGGTGGTGAGTGGGTTATCGAGCTCTATTCTCTGAATCTGAAGAGGGAACGTTCATTAACCGCCGATACGTTAAAAAACAAGTGGCATACACTCACTGTTTTAAAACTGCGCGATATATGTTATAATAGACCGACGCAGCTTGTTCTTTTGGGGAGGTTGCTTCACCCTAGTCCCAACTCATACCGTGTAATTGACATGGTTAAAACAGCCTCAATCTGTGAAGGGTGGTCGGTTTATCGTTCTTCATCGACGCGTTCGATCTATATCCATGCATGCCAGCAATCCATGCGCGCGCGCTCGCGTGACATCACAAAATGCCGAGAGATTATGCACTTTGATCTGCAAGATGTCGCCGCGCGTTACAGTGACGTAAATCTGAAACATTGCAATGATCTAACTTTCCCAGGTTCCGCCAGGGTTAAATAAAATGGGTCTGACACGCCCACAGGGTTTATGACGTACATTTCCTGCCTGGTTAAGTCCATAATCGTGACCGACTATGGGTAAACAGCTCAGCTAGATGTTAACCTATTGGCATCTACACGGCACTGTAGACCAATGTACGTGTACAATGGAGGCGATGTGCTACACGTTTGTTTTGAAAAGTGATAATGACAAACAAATCAGTTTGCAGCATCGATTGTTCAAATCCCTTAATCAATGTCACGTGTCAAACAAACTGCACCACCTCCCCACCATTACTATCGTCTTTTGGCAGTCATTTTCCTCTGATGTTCGTATGCTGAGCCTCAGCTTACCACGCTCTATGTGGATCTATAAACAACAAGTTGTATGTTTTGTAGCGAAACCCGCGCCACTAATACAACTTGTTGTAATTTATTTATTAACCATTTATCATTGTTAGAAATGTAGACAAATTTCCAGTTATCGCAAGAGTTGTCTCACTTGTTCAGAACAGATTTGTCTACATCCCTCATCATGGAAAAGTTTTTAAGCCCTCAGCGCTTGGACATCACCCTAACAGATAAAGGTGACGAAGTTGCAGATACCTACCTGCACTGGAAACAGACTCTAGACAATTTTATTACTATTCTTGGTGAAAAAGCTAACACCGAAGAGACACAATATATGGTGCTTTGCAATTATGTGAGCCCCTCAATATATACAACTATCAAGGGTGAAACAAAGTTTTCGGAGGCAGTTAAGATCTTGAATGGTTTGTTTGTTAAAACAAAGAATACTAACTTAACGAGATTTTGTTTATCTACACGGAGTCAAACTGAAGCTGAATCAGTTGATCAATTCGTCTTGGCGTTGCGGACACTGGCGAAACAGTGTAATTTTACCGAAGTATCAGCTGCTGTTCATGGGGAAGAGAGCATTAGAACAGCTCTTATCAGTGGGCTAAGGGACAAGCAAATTCGGCAGCGCCTAATGGAGGACACTAAAAGTTTAGATGATACCATCACTCTGGCTTGTACTCTGGAGCAATCAATCTCAAACAATGAAAAGTATAACGGTTCTAATCTAAATGGTATTGTTAAGGGAAACGATTCTGGACTGGATTCAAAGGATCATGCGGTTGTAGCTGCCACTCACGGCAATTCAGTTAGTCCTAATATAAAGTGTGGATATTGCGGTAAGAAGTACCATGTTCGAACAGCGTGTCCTGCTAATAATACTACTTGTAAAACTTGCGGTAAGCGCGGACATTGGGCACGAGTATGTCGATCAGCGACGGGTCTTGGGAAGATCGCACCTAATGATTACTTCTCTAAGAAGAACTCTGCAAACAACGTTTATACTCCAGTTAACAACGCCTACAACGTCCCGTCCGCTGATCAGCCCCAGCAATCATCCCCATTCTCTTATCTTTGTACTATGTCTCCATCGACACCTCCAACGCTGTCTCAGACAACCGTCAACGCAAAGGTAAATAATCATATCGCTTACATTTTGATTGACACTGGTAGCTCAGAGAGTTTTGTTGACTTGGGTTTTGCTAGGCGAAATGGCATAACGATAGGCCCTGGTACGAACAAAATAACTTTAGCTTCGGAATCAATGTCAACAAACACTCAGGGGTCCTGTGTAGTAGATATTGTGATTGAAGGCCACTCCTAGGGGGTGATGCAACGTCAATTAATGTCAATTAATGTCAATTAATGTCAATTAATGTCAATGTCAGTTTTGCAAAATTTTGGAATACTGACATTAATTGACACGATATTTTTCGACCAGAGATTATGTAGTTCTACCATATTTTTAGCACTTTAGAACGTTTATATCATCAATTTATTCACTACTATCACATGTGAAATGTGAAATGTGAAAAATTCAGATCATTAAATAATAAAACTAAAATAATACGGTTTTCCGAAATTAAATTTTCTTAAATGGACGTGGCCATCCAAGGGCGTGGTTCTCAACATCATCAGAACTTAAAACCCACATTAAACGAAATGACATTTATATTTGAATAACGAATCTTAAACAGCTAACATTACTCCTTCATACTAAAAAAGCCGATTCTAGATATTTTACCTGTATAAGAAACCAATAAAATATGGGCGTGGCCGGTGGGGACCGAAGATGGAAGAGTTGGAAGCTGAAATTTTTTTTGGTGGTCTTTGAACCTAAGAATCAACAGATAAGAACATACTCATAATTATTCAAGGACATTTTGTTTTTTTGAACCGGTCTAACTTACATAGACGTGAATATCTTGAATTAAATATTTATCGAATAATGATAATCTCAAATTTCAAGACAAATTAATGTCAATTAATGTCAATTAATGTCAATTAATGTCAATGTCAGTTTGGGGTTTTTATGGAATACTGACATTAATTGACGTTGCATCACCCCCCACTCCTATTCAGAGTGTAAATTATCAGTTATGGACAAACTATGTTGCGACGCAATCGTGGGTTTGGATTTACTCCGAAGTCATATGAATCTTGTGGTTAATTTCGGAGGAAATAGAGATCCCTTGGTGATAGATGAAGCTGGTAGGAACTGTGCACAGCTTTCAATGTCGAACCTTGAGCACATACCTCTATTCTCCACATTAATGGAAGGCACCAATCCAATCGCTTGTAGGTCCAGAAAGTACTCTGATGCAGAGAGAGCATTTATAGCAAAATCGGTTAAAGAGTTATTGGAACAGGGCACTATTAGGCCAAGTAATAGTCCTTGGAGAGCACAGGTCCTCGTTACAGGTTTAGATTCGGCAAGGCCCCGAATGGTGGTAGACTACTCTCGAACGATCAACAAATTCACACACTTGGATGCGTATCCTCTGCCAAACCTTGATACTATGGCCTCGCAGATAGCTAAGTACAGGATCTATAGCACATTTGATCTTAAGTCTGCCTACCATCAAATCCCGATTCTCGAAGGAGAAAAGCCACTCACAGCCTTTGAAGCAGCTGGGAAACTATTTGAATTTAATGGCATTCCCTTTGGAGTCACTAATGGTGGGCCTGTTTTTCAACGTAATATGGACATACTTGTGGAGGAAAATAAGTTAGATAGTGTTTTTCCTTATCTGGACAATATAACTGTTGGGGGCTATGATCAGGAAGATCACGACAAAAACGTCAAGGGGTTATTGTCGACTATTAAGAAGTTGGGACTAACGTTGAATCATGATAAGACTATAAGTTCAGTTGAAACTATAAACATTTTGGGCTATCAAATTTCTCACGGCACTATCCGTCCTGATCCTGAGCGCATGCAGCCGTTGAGGGACTTGCCGGTACCACATGATGCTGACTCACTAAAAAGGGCCATGGGCTTATTCTCTTATTATGCTAAATGGGTGCCAAAATTCTCGGACTTGGTACGACCTTTGATAGAACCGGAATTCCCCCTACAGAAAGAGGCAATCACGGCATTTAATAATCTGAAAACGTGTATAGAGGGTTCCTGTGTAGTCTGCCCTAACACTAATGAGCAGATGGTGCTAGAGTCTGACGCATCTGATTTTGCAGTCTCGGCCAGTTTGAATCAAGGAGGAAAACCGGTGGCATTCTTTTCTCGAACATTGAAGCCTCATGAAAGGAAACATCATGCAGTGGAGAAGGAGGCTTGTGCTATTGTGGAGGCATGTCGTGCGTGGCGGCATTTCTTAGTTAGCCGGCACTTTAAATTACTTACGGATCAGCAGGCTGTTTCGTACATATATGATAAAAAGAATCACGGAAAGACTAAAAACAGCAAGATAGACCGATGGCGTATTGAACTCAGCTGTCTAGACTTTGACATAGAGTACAGACCAGGCCCGCTTAATGTCACAGCGGACTGCTTGTCAAGAGCATTTAGTGCTGCTACATATCATACAGGTCCTTCCCTCTCTCGGATTCACGAAGAACTATGTCACCCTGGGGTCACTAGAATGTATCACTTCGTTAGGAGTAAGAATCTTACCTATTCTCTAGCAGAGGTAAAAGAGACAATCGCGAAATGTGTGGTGTGTTCTAAGATTAAACCACGTTTCTGTAAGTCCGAGAACTCTCCAGTGATTAAGGCAACACAACCTTTTGAACGATTGAGCATTGATTTTAAGGGACCCTTACCAAGTGGTACAGGGAACAGGTTCATATTAACTGTAGTTGACGAGTACTCGAGGTTCCCATTTGCCATTCCGTGCCGTGATCAAGAGTCAAGGACAGTGATTAAGGCGCTCATGAATTTATTTTCATTGTTTGGTACTCCGGGTATGGTTCACTCGGATAATGGACCATCACTCGTCTCTCACGAATTCAGATCATTCCTAATTGAGAACAACATTGGATTCTCAAATAGCAGCCGGTATAATCCCAGAGGAAATGGTCAAGTTGAAAGGTATAACGCTGTTATTTGGAAAGGAGTTGAACTGGCGCTGGCTAGTAAGAAACTAGCACCATGTCACTGGGAACAGGTCCTCCCTCAAGTTCTCCACTCTATCCGCACCTTATTATGTACCTCAACTAATCAAACACCTCACGAGCGATTATTTAGTTATGTTAGGAGATCTGCAACAGGTAATTCTCTACATTCTTGGCTTATTGGAGCATCCAAGGTTCTCCTTAAGAAACACGTGAGGTCGAATAAGTACGATGATTTGTGCGAAGAGGTGGATATTGTCTCACTTCAGCCTGAATCTGCTAAAGTTAAGTTTGCCTCCGGAAGGGAGGCCTCGGTATCGATTCGGGATATTGCTCCTCTGGCAGGTCAAGTTGAGATTGACCCTGGACAAAATTCTGATTGCGGTGAAGTACAGACTATTGATAGGGAATTAACCGCAGGACCTGTTGTAATCGGACAAGATAGTGGCTCTGTTCCTACTAAGAATACGCACAACCCTGCTGTTCCGCCGTCGGATGTTGTGGTACCGGACTTTACCCCTGCATTACGTAGGTCACAGAGGACTAATAAGGGAGTACCTCCTCCGCGGTTTGAGGCAGGTTGAAACTTTATTGACTTGCTGTTTAATGAATGAGATATTTTCTGGAATTGTGATTTTTATGGTATTAACCGGAATTATAACTTGGTAGATTTGAGGTTTTACAAATTATGTCGAATCGTGTTTTACAAATTCATGTTTTATGTGCCGTTTAGAACAACACATGTTTATGAAAGATGTATTTTTATACGAACCGATTATTTGGTTTTTGCGAGTATGTGACTTTTTATTTGAGAAGTTTATCAATGTTTTAAATGTATCCTTATCTGCGCATTGAAATGGCGCTAATTCGTATAAAAAGCACGAATTTTCAGCTGACGCGCGCATTTGCGCGTTTCCATTTGTTAAATTTTTAAATTTTATTTGATTTTTACGGGGGGTGTATGTTGTAATTTATTTATTAACCATTTATCATTGTTAGAAATGTAGACAAATTTCCAGTTATCGCAAGAGTTGTCTCACTTGTTCAGAACACAACTGATCTTGACTACCTACACACTCACCGTAAGAATTAGTTGATCAGAGTTCAAGTTTTTAAGAAGAGAAAGGACTTCCTGGAATCCCATTTCAACAAGAGAGTTGTTGTTTATCTTCACAATGCTATCTCCTACCTAAAACAGTATTGTTAACTAGTTTCATAATCAATGTATGGAATAAACAATACTTTCAGAAGTAGTTAATCGTAAATACATCAATCTAGATTTAAACCCGCTGTAACTGAATTATTTTCCTAAATTTCTTTACGAATTCGATACGCTTTAAGTACCTGAAATACTTAAAAAGTACTAACTGAATTACTCTACTTAAGTACTGATTACTTAATGCACTTTAAAAGCGAGTTTAAAAGTATAATAACCCTAAGTCCAGCTTCATGTGCTCGCGAAGTAACGTTAACATCAGTAATAAACACTGGTATATCCCCAATTATAGACCCCATTCCTCCAACAACAGAGAATCCTAACTTATCGTTATCTCCCTGTAGAATAGATATTTTTACACATGCTTTAAATATGTGAGAAATCAGAAATAAAATATTTTGAGATTTGACTGACACCCGAAATATAAATAGAGGTTCAATCGTCGATAATTAATTCTCGTTCTGTTGAAAACGTTACAAAGTTAACGTTTAAAGTAGATAGTGACTAACAGTCGAAAAGGAGATGTTGATAGTGTCGATGTGGGGTAAGTCAGGAGAATCTAGCTCGATAAGAGCGGGTTTGAAAGAGATAAGAGAAGTGAGATAAGGAGCCAAAGTTTTGCTACATTCCGAGGGAGATAAGGATCTCTGGATCAGGAACTTTATCACTCCTGTCTGCCTCTGAAATGGATATAAATTCATTGTAATGCAATTACTGCGAAGAGATTAGAGTTCTCTACAATTCATCGTTCAAGAAAACGTTATATTATTATTGTTTTAAACATTTTGCCACAAATTACCGTATTATACCATCATTAACAATACCTTGATAATATCTGCGGCGTTTTGTTGGGATACGTTTTGAAGAGATACGCCATTTACACTTAGTATTCTATCGTGTTGCTTTATTAGGTTACTTAGCTCTGCTATACTATTCTCGATCTGAAAAAGAAAGTACTTGTAAATACAAAGCTTTACTACAGGGCAGGTGCCAGGTGGCCCATAATTCACGAGATCATAACTCGGTGAGATTTTAAAGCACTATTAACCTGAAGCTTTGGCACAAGTTTAAGATATTTCAACCGGGAGCATTCAGAAAATATTGAGTGCATTGCCCAAATCGATGTTATTATATTGCAAAATAGTGAAAAAGAGGGAGTGACAGGCCACACCCTCTGTATAATAAACATTTGTTGAGATGGCAAAACTCCCATATTAATGAGATAACAATTGACACAAGAGAGGGTTCATATTACACGCAGAGTAGCAATATCAATACGAAAAAGGGACAAATCTAACTTTGAGCAGTAAAGGTTTCAAAGAATGTGGTTTGTAGGATGAAACAAGTTATTACACGTTATTAGACACGTACCAAGTTCAAAACTTTAACACCAGGCTCCCGAGGAGAGCTCATTATTCTGATCCCTAATTCTTCTCCCTGTAGTTTCGTCAACTCCACAAAATGAGGCTCTATTTGAACTGAGTGGGTTCGTAATTTAGAGGCGTGAAATTTAGAGGGTGACAACATCGCCATGTAGGCATATTTGGTATCCTCAGATAATCGATAGCTTCGATCACCACCAGCTATTTGATTAGATTAAAGCACATCTCAAAGTTAGACTCACGTTCAACACTGTTTGGTTTAACACTGGAAGTTTTAGAGGAAGGTCTGAGGATCAGAAGTCTGATTGGCGAAGAAGCTTTGTCGAGTAGAGAGAAAGCCTGCTTGTGCGTTACACTCCGCAAACTACACCCGTTTACCTGAGGTATCAGGGAGTTAATTATAAGGGTATTTGTGAGAAGGGGGAGCCTGAGTCTCGATATCTTTAGACATATATTTTATACTGGTTACCATTCAGTTACCATTCAGTCTCCCTAGACGTCCAGATCGCTGATCTTTGAATCTAGACCATCAACAACTTACTGGATATTATAGACTTGACAATTCCTATTTGACAGAGATACCCCCGAATATTTAGCGTCGATCAGAATTTCGAAACAATACACAAAAAGTCACGTGCGGGATATCGCGTGCGAGATATTTTTATTTTTGAGCTTCGACAATGCAATATAGATATTAGATATTGAATAAGAACTTGACACAATTGAATATCTTGAACAGCTGCGAGATATTACGTTCTAGAATCTAGATTGGTAAACTTCTACAATGTAATTTAGATATTGAATAAGAACTAAATATAACTGAAAATCAGATCAATAATGATATTGGACATATCACACTATTGTAGCCCAATGATCATATTGCTTGCAGCAGCTCTGTAATATTGCTTTCAGTTGTAATGAAGTTTAAAATGCTCATCTCATGTTCGTCATCACGTACGACAAAAGTTTAAAAACTGACTTTCAAAGTAAGCTAACAACTAGCTAGAAGCTGATCGTTTTCTAAACTTAACTGTAAAGTTTATTGAAAATATTGCAAAAATTAAGGTAAATATCCAATAATTTGTATACTGTGATATAACTGTATATTGGACAAATGTAACGCCGTTGCCCGTTACATTGTTACGAGTTCATAATGTAAATATTTTCACTCCGTTTGTGTTGACAGTCAGTGCAACACGTTAACAACAGATAGTCAACTCAATACAGCCAAATATTACATACTCTACTTAGTAACAAGTTCAGTTCTATAATGTGATTCATACAACTCCTGATTACGTTATAACGTCTGATTACATAACGTCATGTGTTCCAGACAACTCAAGTTACCCTTAAATCTGGTAGCCCCTCTGAGCTATGCATGAGTTCAAATTTAATACTGGACTGAGATAATTTGTCCGGACCATTTAGGAGCCGGGATTCTGTTAAATTGTGACAGAGGAGGTACTTACATATTACAGGCTGATATTGGGAATATTACCTAAATATGCTATTTGAAGTGTCAGCTTAAAATTATGGGCTTCTAACAGCACTAGCACCGATTTTAGACTGACCCAAATAAGAGAATAGGATACAGATGCGTCAATTTCAAAGTGACATTTGAACAATAACCTTATTTTCCATATATAAAATTATAAAACTCAATCTCTAAACGAAATTATAGATTTGAAAATCACGAGCAAAAATTGTCAAACACAAGGATATATTTTGAATGCTTATCTCACCTCCATAATCTGATCTCCGACCTTGAGCCTCTTATCCCTGTAACAGATACTGTGTTTCATGACATCCTGTATTATAATATGCGTCACATTTGTATCAGATCCTCCGAAGATTGTCAGTCCTAATCTGTCTCCTTGTCTCCGGATTATCTCTATCAGAGTTGGCTCGTTTTCCTTGATCTCTGATGTTGCTTCTTTCACTGGGATGGTCAATTGTAAATTTAAAAAATACTTCAGTTTTATAGGGGGGGTCAACCTCATTTTACCTCATTTTACCTCATCCCAATTTTGCCTTTTTTGGCTGGCCTCATGAGGTAAAATGAGGTAAATTTCGGCAAAAATTTTTAACAGGTAAAATTCTCTTAATCGTCAATTTAGTCACGAAGGAGTATGGAAGGAGTTCTAAATGTGTGCTCCTCTAATATAAACAGTAGGAAATGGTTAACTTAAGTCGAGGTCTCAGGTCTCTACAATGTCGGGAAGTTCCTGCAGGAATTTGCGCATTGCGCTTGACGCGCAAGATTCACAGCGCCAAAAGCGAAGGTCGTAGAGACATGAGACCTTGACTAAAGTTAACCATTTCATACCATTGCTGTATGAGTATGTCACTTTCAGAGTCCTGAACACACTCCCATATCTCTTAATCGTCAATTATATGAATTTTACCTGTTAAAATATATCATCTTTTACTGATATCAATTTAGTTTAACACTGTTAGTTTTAAAAAAGAAAATAATACTTCACACCAAACTAACACACAATATGAGAATATAGAGAGGAAGGTTTTCTTGGAGACCTGGACCATCAAAATAGTGTACATTGCTACTGTCATTGTCAATCAAGACTCAAGAATAAGAGGGTCTAGTTGTGGGATTATGCTGGATAACAGATATGATAAGTGGTAACATCCTACAAAAGAATGTTATCTTACTAAGGAATTTTCCTCTTACCGAATTATACAAGAAGTTAACTAAGTTCCTCCTAGTCCTAAGCACTTTCTTGTTTCAGAGGGAATGAGTGATTTAAAAAGATGAGGCCAAAGAGTTAGTTGTGAAGAAGGCATTTGTACTCTGTAATTTCTAAGCTTATTTTTTTCGATATTTATAGCTATTTACTGATCTTGTTTTGACGTATCAGCAAGAGATCACTGGACCTCGTTAGTTGTTAGTCATGTTATGCTGATCCAGTTACGAGTAATTGTTCGACCTCATTTAATACTGACCTATCAATGACGAGCTATGAAGTAATCAGTGGATCTCGTCAATGCTCATCCTGTCCGGACTGTCAGTGACGAGTTATGAAGAAATAAATGAAGACCTCATTAATTCCTTGTTCCAAGAAGATATTCCTCAGGTAACAACCCCTTCGGGCCTGCTTCTGAACATAATATGAAGATTCGAAAACCTAGTCAACCTAAATTGGAACTTGTTGACTGCATTGGAAAATGGAGAACAATCGAGAAATGAAAATCAGTGCCAGGATATAATCAAAGTTGAATTCGGAATCCAAGGAAAACCTTCCTTTTTTATATTATCATATTGTGCGTTAGTTTGGTGTGAAGTAATATGTTCTTTTTTAAAACTAACAGTGTTTTAAACTAGATTGATATCAGTTAAAGATGATATATTTTAACAGGTAAAATTCATATAATTGACGATTAAGAGCTGTAGGAGTGTGTTCAGGACTCTGAAAGTGGCATACTCTGATAGCAATGGTATGAAATGGTTAACTTTAGTCAAGGTCTCATGTCTCTACGACCTTCGCTTTTGGCGCAGTGAATCTTGCGCTTCAGCGCAATGCGCAAATTCCTGCAGGAACTTCCCGACATTGTAGAGACCTGAAACCTCGACTAAAGTTAACCATTTCCTACTGTTTATATTAGAGGAGCACACATTTAAAACTCCTTCCTAACTCCTTCGTGACTAAATTGACGATTTAGATAATTTTACCTGTTAAAAATTGGTGAAAAATATGGGCGTGGCCCAAGTCAGTATTATACGAAACCGTAGACACAAACAAGAATTGCGCCGGTTAGCGGACGCTAGATTTCCATCGACCGTACTCGTAGGCATTGCCTTTTAAAATTTAAAATTACAATTTACAAAAGCCATGTGAAGGAATGGTTGTTTACAAGTCTACATAAGTTGTTACTGTTAGATTGAATAAAATGGTAGTCGTGAAATCCGTATTAGGTAATCATAATGTAACTCATAATAATATTTACGGTCCATTTCGTATAACAAATTAATCGCTCGACAATCATGTTCAACATAATATCAGCATCATAATTTGTTCAACAAAGGATGATCATGATGATTAATTACTCTGCACTCGACTGTCACGTAACTTTTTCAACTCGTTCTCTAGCTGGCCCTGAACGACTATTCGAAACCCTAACCTATTATCTGATATACTAATTCCAATTTTAGAACAATCTCGAAGATCGACTGTAAAGTGATTATCATTAAGCACGCTCGTTCAACAATATAACGGATTATTAATAATCTTCATTTAACTGATTGGGATCAGGGATCTGAGTTTTGACACATGCAATTTTGCAATGATCTTTCTAATTTCTAATTTCTAATAGTAATAGCATTATCGGGAGCCAAGTCGATTGTTGCACCAATAACTCACAACATAACGTGAAATTAGTATGTTAATGGTATACTTGTACTTGTAGCGCATCAATGATCAACATTATTTATATTAAAATCCATTTAAAACAACAGAATAAATTATTGTAATTACATACGTACGCTGACCTATGACCGTAACTGTTATGAAAACTTCAGTCAGCTTGGCGCCGCGCATTTGAAAGTGTAATACAATCGTCGAATCGTGCAAACGTGTGCGGAGGGTAACCGTGGAGATGACACCATTACTGCTCCGCGCGCAGAGAAGATGCATTTAAATGGTTATGCGGAGGGTAATGCATGTTTTCCTTTGTGACACAATTCATGACTCACGTGACACGAAAAACATACCTACCCACTATACCCGTCCTCAATTCCTACTACTTCTAACCATCTATTGCCTTTTTAAGGCGATGGAAAAAATTGTTTGGTTGTTCCTGATCCTATAGAGCAACTAATTAGAGGTGATATCTAATTATTTGAACGAAAAGTGGTTTTGTGAACCGCCCTTTATTCTACAGCGAATCATGAACAATGAACATGTACATAAGAACTTAGAATTGTATGAAGTATGAGTTTATATGAGTAATTTATTATGAAATGACCTTTCACTATGCAATTTCGATTAAATTCATGTAGATATCCAATTCAGTTCCATGCACAACTGTTGTTTACATTTGGTCTAGTTAGACACAATTTGTTTCAGAGTGACTCGATAATCGCAATATCAAACTAAGATATTATTTAAATGGTCCATGTCATGCAATGCGGAAATATCCCCATAAATTGGCAACTGCCAAAGTGACACTAAAGTTATTGCCAATTCCTTTACAAAACTTAGCAAGTGCTATTAACAATTTCCTAATGTATCATGGAAATTGAAATGTTCAATTTTCTTTTCATAAATAATAATTATAATGCGAAGTTTTATTTACCCCAAGTTTGGAGAGTAAGTAGGTTAAACTGGGAATGCCCCTTCCCAGGGACCACATCACCCCTAATAAACCATTAAATATCATGGGAGACCATGCACAGCCTCGAATTATAGTATAATGACTTCGAATAAACCTTTTTTGTCTCTAAAAAAAGGCTTAGAAAACTAGATTTATTTACCTCATTTTACCTCATTTTACCTCATCCCAATTTTGCCTTTTTTGGCTGGCCTCATGAGGTAAAATGAGGTTGACCCCCCCCCCCCCCCCCTTTATATTAAGATAAAATAAATTATGATGGACTCTTTTGATGATCTACTTGATCTTGGATGATATTTTAATACATGAAATGTTGTTTTACACGATATGTTCTTCTACAGTCTACACGATATGTTGTTCTACATGATATGTTGTTCTACATATTGTTCTATTATCTATACAACTGTTTTGACCAGGTTCAACACAATACCACAATACAAGAGAGACGTGAACACAGGACAGAGTAAAAGTAAGAATTAATGAACATTGCCTCCAGCCACATACACATGGAAGTTAATGTACGTAAGATCATCACACATATCTTGAAGAGAATAATTGCAATATTACTGTAATTTGATCTTGACTATTTCTCGAAACAAGCGAAAGTTAACTACATCAGGGTCAACGTGCCTTGCCAACACATCTGTATCATTCCACAATGTGTGTGATGAAGGTAAATCATTGGATTTATAGAAATGAAATGAGTTGTTGTTTGTAATCTGATCGCGAATAATAAACTACGGATAATAAACTGTGTGCTGTGCCAAGAGTTTTATAAATATGTGGACACTGAACAGCTACCGTATTAGCCCACAGTTACATTTGGTAGATCATTGACCACAGCGAGACCCCTGGAGCAACACACAAAGTTTATAATCGCGCATAAATATAGTTTATTCAATCTGCTGTACGGAAAGGCACGTACACCAACAAAAGTTAGCAATTATATATTTACAAAGTCCGTTATTGAATTAAAGCTTATTTAGAATTATATGATAGACTGGGATATTGGTGGGAAATGAGTAATATTTGTTCTGACACGTGACGCTGATCATGGTGGATTTGATTTGCTGCGCTACTGCAAGCTGATTTGTCAAGCACTAAACTGTCACGTGAGGGAAAAATATATGGCTAACCTGAGCTCCGATATTCATGGTTATAAATTATTCAATCCGGAAGAACACCAATCACAAATTAATTAATTAGGTTTAATTAATTAATTACAATATTAAAACAATCACCTGGTTGATTCTGAAACTCGCAGAGATGATTATGTTCCTCTATAAGTGTTCTGGGTAGCGTGAGTAGACACCCATTGTTTGCGTATTTACACGCAACCTGCAAAACAAAACAAGTTTTAATAAGTTTGGTAGTTTTTACAAAACCAAAACACTTGATTCCCATCATCAACAACATTCAGTTAAACGATCCAGTCACAAAGAATTAAAGATATGAGGTCACCTTTGGCAAATACTTAAGCCTTTTAAGATATCAACAATCTACATGCGACCGCTTCTTCATTGTTCCCCGAACACCATCGAAATTGAAGAAGCATTTAAAGTTATCGACAACTCATCTTATTGAGTGAGAACGTAGTCATTGTCACAATTAAAATGCTTGGCTACTGATCTGCAGTATAAAAATGCGAAAGCATTATAGCGGTTATTGTTGAAAACTTCATTTTGGACATGCCTACAGAAAATACACTACGTCGGAGCCTACCTAAAAGAAGTTATTTAATCGTTACAATGCATGGTCTGTGTTTGTATCAAAGTTTGTAAGCATACACTCAAGTCAAGCTATTACACTAACACATCATTATATATATTATTACTCAACTCAAACTATTACACTTATTATGCAGGAGAGGTTGACCTTACATTATGTGTACTACTTTACGCACAGGCTAGTTGTCATACACTTGCTATTGACAGCGGACTTGTACATATAATTATGTAGTTTGACAAATTAGGGAGTTGCGCTGCAAATGACTGTTAAAATCAAGTAACGATTACCCAATTAGTTCTACCAACCAAAGGCCAGTCAATATCGCTAGAACTGTAATCATGGTTATTATAACGAATGTTACATCACGGGATGATCTACTGATTATAACCTAGTACTAATTAGTAATTATACCCTCAGCGGTTTACTACACAGGCAGCATGTACCTCTATTTTGGGACAGTGGTTAGCGAGGTGTATCTCAATCTTCTGCCTCTCCATACCTTCCTGACACACTGGACACGATACCTGGGGAAGAAGGATTGTTTACTTAATTACTAATTACTAATTACTACAAATCTATTACATTTGTTGAGGTGATACCCCCTTGTGGATGGCTGTAAAAAGCCGAAACTAGTCGAGTCACAAGCAGCTCGCCTCGAGGTACATCGTTTTCATGCTTCCATGACTATTTCTTCAATTGGAGAAAGGAAGATTTAATTAGTTAATTCAGCTCACTAGTACACAATATGTAAATGTGTAAGAATGATGATAATTTGTTATGATGATATTGCGATAATGGCTACAGAGTTCTTATAGTTAAGATTATGCTACTGAGTATTACCTGCTGATCGGGATCTGTTAAAAAAGTACGCACAATCTTATTACCGAGAATTATTAAAAGCTACTGAAGTACAACATGAAATTACCCTTAATTTGTTGAGGATGTTTCGAACGAGGAAAGTAGAAGGTCTCAGATCTGAGAAAAGTAGACATTTCCTACAGTTTGGGCACAGTTTCTTGATCTTGATACACGGTTCAATACAAGCTGCACAGAAGGTGTGCCCACAGGGGGTGTCTATAGGCTGCTGTATTGGCTGCAGACATATCGTGCAGTTATACTCGTCAGGCACCTGGAGGGGTTTTTGTGAGTTTTTAAGAGAGTTTGAGTTTTGTTTTCAGAGTTTTGGGTGTTATAATATGTTTGTTGTTCGTTGGTAATGGTATTTGTTAATGTTTTATGTGTTTTCTAGCATTGTTAATTTCAGCAGGTCTTGTTTGTATGTATTCGTGTCTGTGTCTCTCCCGTAGTAGACGTTTAGTTTTCATCACACAGCCACAATGTCACCACGCAGCCACAATCGCACTAAGATTTCTAAATATAGCTCTGCCAGCTATCTTCACAACACACCCTGGGAAACTTGTTAAATATTCCAAGTATGTGATATCTTACCATCCGGGTAATACTCACCCGGATATCCTGATCACGAACAGAACCGGAAATCTAAATTTTGTCTGATTTCTTGTCGTAATAAGGGCTTCAAAAGGTTCTGTATTTTCCTGGGTGTGTGCCAAATGTACATGATATTACTTAGTCAAAGAAGCCTCAATATACAGCACAGTAATACATATAACAGCTCTATCCGTGTAATAACTATGTGTTATTCTGAGTAGTGCAGTAGGTCGGCCTCAATATCAGTGCTGACTGCTGACTGCTGAGCGAGGTCTGCTGATTATTTAGTGGCCACCACCACCACACACAATGATATGTTTCAGTGAGGATATGTTTTATGTTAGAATCATGTAGAATGTATAATGTGCTATTTATAGTTTATCATATCTTGTAGATTATAAGAGTGACCATCACTTGATATCATTTATATTCTCGTTATCGAATTTTAGGGATATTTAGGATAAATGCCAAGATTTCAAGGAAAAATCTGAAACCTAGGATGTTTATTTAACCCGGAATTTATTGTTCACACGTACCTATTGAACAACTCACGTTATTCTCCTAAGAATTGTACACAAATTTCAGGGTTTAAAATAGGATTCTAACTTAGATTTCCAGAAAGTTTCTTAGAATCTTGTCGATCAAAATGGGTGTGGCTTGCCACTCCCTATTTTTTCAGCTTTTGACTGTTACGTGATATGTATCGTGAATTCCCCAGAAAGACCGAGCACTCAAAGAGATACCGTATTACGAGCTACGTCTGGCACGACGCTTGCTTTCAGAACTTCTGCATGCTAAACTTTCTTAACTATTCAGTATTCGTGTTCGAATCTAAATGTCTCCTGATCACTTTAATATTAACATGATATCAAGCAAATAATATTTTTTCTGGGGGAACAATTTGATATCGCCATTATTTCGAGCTGAGTTAAATCATCAAGGTTTAGCAGCGATTAGAACTCCTTCATTTCACGTGCATTTCTATTATATCATCATATTTCTGTCGTGTTTTTATTTGAATTATTACATAGAACGAGGAAATAGACTGTATTTCCAGCTTTTAAAGTTTAACTGTTATTTAGAATTTGTAACAAGTGAACTGACCAATTTCCTCTAATATACTCCTGATAGTAACGAAGTGAACTACGCGCATTTTACAACCCCTCACTCACAAGTTCTCACTAATGTTTCTATATGCAGTAACATTGTAATTTTATAATCGAATGTCCTGGCTTGAATGCCATGGAAACAACAGAGTGTAGCGATTAGGTTCGGCAACAAATCCCTGGTTGCTTCGTATGTTGAGAACACTCATTAACAACCAGGAACGAGTAACTAAACACCCGAGATTTGTCAACAAACAGTTCGGGTAATCGAGAAAGATTACTGATCAAAGGGACAAGGTTAAATCATCGTCAGTTGATTCGTCTGGAAACTCAAACGAGTCCCACAAAAATTTGTTAAGTATTATGAATATCACTGAGAAGAAGAAACAGTGTAGTTCTGACGTTAGATTCAAGACGGCAATCAACCGATCAACTTGCACCGATCAGTCACGTGACAAAGTCTCAGTCACGTGACAAAGTCTCAGTCACGTGACAAAGCGTATACATTTCACCTCCCAAGGGGTCGTAATGAGATCTGTCAGCTACAATACATACCACACGACATGACCTTGTCTATTTGTCTAAGTATTGTAAATGTATCTTTTGGGTTGGGTCAGTCGTACGAGTCAGAGAAGTGAAAACTTCAAAAATAAAAAAGTTTACGGAATATGAAACATTATTATGAAGAAAGGGAAAGTTCAAAGTTATTTACATAAAATGCTGAAATAATTTAAGACCATTTCGCATTTTTTCACAATTTAGCTTCTTTTACCTCGTCTACATAAGTGTAAATGTGGTTTTGTTCATTCCTCTCGTGTTTCTCGTGGCACTGAGCACACAATCCCGGTTCTAATACCTCTTCATCCATTTGATAGGTTCTGCATACCTCTTAATAATAATACATCTTACATCAATACCTTAAATATTTGGTGTGTTAGGTGCTGCATAACTCTAAATCTTTAATATTTACTTTGACAAAAATCACTAAGTTGTTGACTTGTTGTAGATTAAAGATATTATACTTAGGAGATCACATTTTAAGGGCAAGATGCATCTTTTATAATGTGTTATAGTGTCAAGTGATCAAGTCTATACTTAGATGATAGATTAAAACGCTCGAAGAAAAAATTTGCTAATTTCACAAGGCTTTGCCAAATATTTGTAAAGTTACTGACAAAAAGCAAATAAAATATAATACTGACCCTCGCATGACACCAGTCTAGACTATATTACTTCCAGAAGGTATTTAACTTACAAGTCTTACATGTTGCAATTATCTCAAACACACGCAAACACTCGCAGAAAGCCAGGGAAGCAAACGATCAACAAAAATGCAAAACAATTTAATTTATGGTATTATTCATGGGAAAACTGAATATTTTTACAGACCAAAACAAGGACACTCACATAGAATATCCAAAGTTAGCCGTGAACATGTTAAATAATATTTTAAACTTATTTATGTGCTTTATTCTGACGTAAATCTACACTCCGGATTCTGGTATGTCACGTTCAAACGGGCTAACGCGGACAGAAATATTACATAATATTCCCAAACAAATCGCAAAAGTCAGGTCTTCAAACTAATTTTAACAACAGAAATAAGGCGATTCAGTTGATATGATGACCTATAGTCGAGAGATTTGAGGTTAAATTAATTATACTGTAATTCAGTAACTTGTTATTCGATTTCAGATGTATTGGATGTTTAGTTTAGCAAAATGTTCAGCTACTCAAACATTCCCAACATGAGATCATCCAGATAAATGAACATTCTTCTCCTTCGGGTATCATTAGGATTGTTAATTATAGGAAGACCGAAGATGAAAGAAACTTGTGTTAACTGTGCCTGTTTAAAGATCGGACAATCAAATAAGGCAATTGCTTTCGCGTGTCAAACGCATTATACTCCAATCCCTTAGCGGAATCAAAATTAGTTATTTAACTCTAATTAATAGATTATAATTAATTATAACCCAGGGCTTTATCGAACATTTTTTTTTTCAATCAAAATGTTGACGCAAAATCTTGTCAAATGAATAAGACAAGACCCGTTTCAAAATCAAACCATTGTCATTTGCTCTTTTGCAGCACAAAATCCCACAGTCCACACTCAAAACATGCTTAAACTTGCTTACTTCAGCATTTTATCTATTCTACAATAAATTAATACGAATTTAACTACAACCAGAACGGAGAACCGGTGCATTAACACGTATATATATTTCCAACAAGATACATTAGACGTACATACAATGTATAATACATTAGTATCGGATTGTATATATTGAGGTCATTTTAAATCAATCATTCCCCCAATTAATAATAATCTTGACAAGTTTTCAGCAGTAATAACTTGTCATACCTATCAATTTTAAGGTATCATTTTGGTTGACCCATGGCCACATCGTATCAACTAACTATTCCTAAGATTGGATGTACAGGGAAATTGTTCATCATTCACATCGTCGTTATCTTTCACCTTTTTCTTAAGATCCTCCTTCAACTTTGCCCGGAACATCTCTCCAAGTTCAGGATCCTGGCTCAAGTCAACTTCTCCGTTCTCACTTTTAGGAACACTGCTGGAAAGAAGGTCCTTTAACAGCTCGTCAGGATGATTAGAAGTAGCAGTGGAGTTCTGCTCTGTTTTCCTCCGTTTTGCGGGCAGACTGGTCAGATAACCATCAGAGAGTGGCTGGAACGTCATGTTTTCTAACTTAGCGGAATCGTTTTCGATCACTCTCTTCCATTCACCAGGGATCTCAGTAGCTTCAGCTCTGTTAGAGTGACCATTAGAAACGACTCCGTCTGGGGTGCGGGTGGGTACAGGAGCGGGTGCTGGAGCGGGTGCTGGAGCGGGTGTTCTCACAACTATTTCATCTGGAAGGTCATCGTTGTTGGGTGATGGTTTTTTTGGAGGAGGAGCTTCTTTTTCGGCTGAACTTGAGGAGGCTTCCTCAAGATCCATACTTTCTGGGGCAGGAGGAGTGTCATCTTCCATTTTGGTGTCATCTTCAGCATCGACAAATTCTTCGTCTTCAGTGTCGTCACTTCCTCGAGTTACAACATAGTTGTCGAATAGTTCATCTCTGGAAATGGTCTGGAAAGGCACCATGGACTGTAGAAAACCAGACATTTGGTTCACAAGACGGTTCCTAGGATCTTCAAGGTTAACATGCCTACAGTAAGCTATTATCAACCCCAGGAACCTCAGGAAATTTCGCCCGAAAATGCTGCCAAACCCGGCAGCCACGTCCCCACGAGAAGGACTGTAGAGCGCTCTGAAGATTGTATTCACCAACTCTCTTACCATGGCCAAAAACGTGGACCTCTCATCTACCTGGCTGCTGTCCTGTCTTACGTCGAAGAAAGCCAGGATGAGGCTTCTGTCTGCTGCTAGCATCTCCGCAACTGCAATGTTCATGTGCATCTGATCCGGGGCTTCATTGTTGAAGAGAGACCGGGTAAAGTGATCCCTGAGTGGTCGATAAAGAATATCAAACATCATGTTGTTGTTGAGGGCATTGATGAACTCTTGGAAAGAGAAATTTGATGCAACTATACGCAGCAAATCTCCAAGGCTGCTTTGATCAGGAATGGTGACGTTAGGCATCATGAGAGCCCGAATCTCCGGCCAATGAGTTGACATGGGCTCATTCTGTCTGGAACCTGCTGCCATTTGCATGGCCAGATTCATATACCTTGCCATTTGTTCGGGACTCTCACCACCTCCAGCCATGCTTGTCAGTAAGGATAGAGGATTAGGTGGTAAGGGATTAGCTGGTACTGGTCGAGTTGGAGGACCAGATTGTCGTACCTGCGGTTCACTCATTGTAGCATCAGCTGGATTAACAGGGGCATTAGCAGTACTGTTGGGCTGGCTTCTAGGGGTACTCCTCGGAGGACCATGAGAGTGGGGTCTGGGTAGATGACTATGAGAGTGCCCGTGTCTTGGACCATGTGAGTGAGAATGCCTGTGACCGGATCGAGTTGGACCTCCCGGAGCTTGAGTTGCACCAGTCTGGGGCTGGTGGACTGGACATCTGTATTGTGTTGGATTGTTGTATCGGTGACGGGAGCTGCAGCCGAGAGAAGGGCGGGGCATAGGTTGGTTGTTTCCAGAGGGGTCATTAGCCCTGTTCTGAAGAAGTTGCTGAATCTGAGCGTGAGGATTCATACCAGGCTGCATGAAATTCCCTCCCAGTGGAATATCAAAGGAAATAGAGATAGGCTGTCCGTTGTTACCGCCAGTTGCAGTAGCTGTAGGACGAGGATTTGTAGAAGAGCCAGTGGCTGTGGTGGAGGTGGATGTCCCCGTATTAGCTGTGTTAGTTGTAGCAGACGTAGAAGTCGAAGTCGATGAAGATGTGGTGGAAGAAGATGATGCAGTTGAAGTGGTTGAAACCCCTCCAGGTGCTCCAGACATCTGTCCTACCTGATTTCTCAGCCTTGCAAGCTCTTGTCTGAGTTGCTGAGGGACACCCACTCCGTCTTCTCTGCTAGACAGCACAACGTGTGCTCCTGTCAGCTGTGCCATCCACAACCTCCTGGGCAGGGCCGTGTTTAGAGTGATACCGTAGTCACTGAGCAGGTGAAACGCGTGACTAACCTCGTGAAACATAGCACCCATCCTGTCCACTAAGTTTTGACAATGAGTCAAATCTCCACCTTCCAGAGGAGGGTCTCTGTGGAGGAGGCGAGCGTACTGGTTCATGTACCTCACCAGTTCCTGCATGATGTCCGCCATATCTATCAGGATGTGAGAATATGTCTCCAGGGACTCACGTGATGTTGCTCTTTGCTGGACTTCCTCCGGTGAAGCTCCTTCTTCAAGAGTGGGACCTCCAGTGTGAGGCCCTCTAATACAGGGCGCTATAAGTGTGTTGTTGATAACTTCCTGTGCTTCCGGAGCTGTGCAGTTAATGTGTTGCATCAAGTCACGCACAGATCGGAGATGGTTGATTATTCTATCAAGATTAGCCGGAGGTCCAGGAGGTCGGGAACCTGGGGTGGTCCCTGCTGCTGCGGGTCTTTGGGCACGTGTAGGCGGGGTGGTGCCACTAGAGCTTGTTGGTGTGGTCTGGCTGTTACTTGTGGTTGATGTTGAAGTGCTTGTTCCAGAGGATGTTGTGTTGGAAGCAGCTGGACCTGTGAAATGTGGTTTTATTTCGGGTGATTCAATGCAAATGTTTTTGTGTTACAGATAAAGGTTTTTGTTTCTGTGATCTAATGCAGGTATTTTTAACTACCTAATTTGATTTTATTTTAGGAGATTCATCGACATTACGAGTCTCATTCACTCGATACAGGCAAACAAGCACATAATAAAAAACACGATAGAACAAATTAAAAATACCTGATACAGTCGTAGTCCCGTTAATGATTTGGATGTCGAACTGATCGTTACTTCCTCCTCCAACGCTGAAATTCACTGCCACTGCACCGTTATCAAGATTCTGTCTAGTGACGCTGAAATTTAAGAAATACACTAATGGTTTCAGCGGCAACTTCAGATATTGTGTTTTGAGATTATTTAACAAAATTCTATTCTCGGAACATATTTTTTGTAGGGAGATAATAATTTCAGAAAAAAATGCTCTGATTAGTTCTTAGAGGATAGGTAATCTTGGTAACAAAAAACAGACCAATTCCTACCTGGCTTGGCTGGCATCTACTCCCAGACTACGCATGATTTGACCAACCATCTGGTTAGCATCAGCACCCAAGGCATTCATCAGCTGATCTCTATCTGGAGCAGGAGCTGATGGGGCTGTTGTTCTTGTTCTGACACCTAAGTATAATGAGAAAAACTAAAATATGTTACAAGATTTGTAAAGAAAATAAAATATACATCACGAAATTTGTACAGAAACTTAAATGTGTTTGTAGAAACACTTGGCATAATATGTTATGATGGATTATCTTTGTTAAAGGATTTGGAGGAAAATTAAAAAGCTTAAATAAGTGACAAAATCAGAAGAAAAATCAATTCAGTTTCTTGCACATCTACAATTTCGATAAAAAAAAACATTATTTTGCATCACCATGTTGGGGGCAAAGACAAATAATGTGTAATAATAACCTGGTGCGCTGGTAGAAGGGCGAGGAGGCTGAGCAGACGATGTAGATGCCTGATCAGCAGCGGATCTAGAACTTGAGCTTGCACTTTGACATTCAACTAGATGAAGGACTTTACCATTAACATTGTATTCTGAGAGCTTTTTATTGTTCTGTAGTACTTTTCCTGAGAAATAACGATTTTAAGATTTGAGATTTAAATCTAATTTCAAACCTCATTGTGACTCATTATGTTATGGAGGGTTCATAACTTTCCTATCATATAATTAGAAGCACTAACAAAAGTTCTCGGCACTATTGCTTTTGGTGTTAATTATGATATTTTGTATAATTTGTCTATAATAACTAATAAGTATAGAAAAAAAAACTAACCAAGAAAAATGAGTCTTTGCTTGGATGGTTCAATGTTGGTCTTTTCATGAATCATCTGTTTGAGGTTCTCAACAGTTTCATCTTCCTCCACATCAAACTCATATCTTGAAGAGTTTATAGTCTTCACAGTGAACTTCATGTTTGCTAAAATATTAAATGTCGTTAATCATCAAGATAGTATAGTATCTTTCAAGAGTATCAATATCTGTAAGTCAACATTTTAGATAATGATATAGAGAAAAATGGTTGCTTAACATGAAGCTCTCAACCCACTTTCCAAGAGAACTGGAGAGGGGAAACGGGGCTGCCATGGCATACCGTCATCTTCAGTTTTTCCGTATACCCTCACCACAAAATCACCCACAAATTCATTATGTAAATACCTGAACAGCCTCAGAAAAAAACATGACCTCCGAAATACCAAAGATCAGTCAGTGCTGATAAACATAATATAACTCATTATATACTGTACAGTAGAGTATACAGCCTGGTATAAAAAACGTGACCTCCGATATCCAAAGGTCCACCAGTGCTTACCGAAATTCATGAACTTATTACGTCACACCAGGCAAGACTAAATGTGCCAAATTTTAAGCAGCTAAGCACCAAAACTGCAAATTTAATACATTAAAAATAATTGAGGATCAGGAATCCCATGACGACAAACAATAGTCAGGACTTTTCTTTTTGTATATACATTTTCAAACAATATACATACAATGTCACAATGACCCTATACAAAAACAACCCTTCAAAAACTCAATATTTTCCATATCTCAAATATTGGGAGTCAGGACACTAATAGCTACAAGTTCGGTGCACACCAATTACAAGCACGATGTTATTATTGGGCACATCAATACCCATGTATCAACAAATGCCACGGATCTGGAAAACATGACCTGATGTGTAACAGCCTATTTGTAGGTCTTTCCAGGTAGTAAAGCTTTAGTTAAAAAGCTATCACATTTATTGTGGTAAATACCACGCCTCTACTTATCCTAAAATTCTCTGGACGTACAATCAACTCCTAGAGGCAGTCCTTATCCTGTTTAAAGTTATCATTAGAGGATTGTACAGACCAAGATTCCCAGAGTTTGGAGCTGGAGAGCGTCCAGAGGCGGTTTATCTGTCTGATTGATGAGGTGGGTACTCTTCCTTACAGCCGTAGACTGGAAATAATAATAATAATAATTACAACATTTATAAACCGCCTTATAGCTAAATCATATAACTCGATATAATTTAATCCTGGAGATAAACTCCAGTGCTTTCTAAAGCGGCTCTTACATTAACTGAGCTTAGTTTAGTTGAAAATTAGACATGACAAGTTCATTTTACCTATGTAAATGCAAAATCAATCAAATGCTAGAGAAAAGAAGTATGTTTTAAGTTTGGTCTTGAAAGATGTAACTGACTCAGCTGATCTTATGTCGTATGGCAAGGAATTAAATACTTTAACTGCACAGTGACTAAAAGCTTTCTCTGTGTTTACATAGTTAGGAGAGGGCGGAAAACTAAGGTAAAAATAATCATTATCAAGACTTACATTTTTAAAACTTTGCTGCCTAGGAGATATCAACTCTTTTAAGTAAGGAGGAGCTATATTATTTAAACACTTGTAGGCAAGTAGGGCAATCTTAAAATCTATTCTAAATCGAACTGGTAGAAAATGAACTTTCTTAAGTAGTGGAGTAGTGTGTGCCTTTCTTCCTCTCCCGAAAATAAATCTAACAGCAGAATTTTGCACCTTCTGTAAACGACTTAAATCATAAGAGCTCAGTCCAAAATATACGCTATTGCAATAATCAATTCTAGAGAGTACTAGAGCATGAACAAGCTGAATCTTAAGGTTAAAAGACAGTTTTGATGCAATAAACCACAAATTTCTGATCTGAATATTACATGCTTGAACCACTGACGTAATCTGATCACTCATTGAAAGATAACTGTCCAAATACAGCCCAAGACTCTTCACAGTTCCACTAACAACATGTGGCTCTTGATCCTTAACAATCTGTAGAGAGGCTGGAATATTTGTTGAGTCAAATTTAGAGGATATAACGATGACTTCAGTCTTAGAAGAATTCAGTTGAAGGAAATTGTTTGTCATCCATTTCTTGATATCAGACATACAGTGTTCCATATTGTGCTCTAGCTGTGATGGGTCATCAGAATCAAGAGTGAAATACAGCTGGGTGTCATCAGCATACAAATGAATACAGCACCCATGCATACTTGCAATGTTCTCAAGATCTTTGGTGTACAATATGAATAGCAGGGGGCCAAGGATTGAACCTTGTGGCACACCTATCTCAAGAACAGTTGCTGAGGAAGACGAATCCTTGATTTGACAACGCTGGCAGAGCAGCGAATACGTGGGGACCTTATTGAAGCTTTTAAGGTTATTAATGGTTTGAATGATTATGGTTCAGACTTGTTCAGACCAAGCAGATCAGGTCTCAATATGGTTTCATCCAATAGATGTAGTAAGAGTGTGACAAAAGTCAAGAATCTTCAGTGTTCTTTTCTTCCAGAGCGGGTTGTTCCTTATTGGAACAAACTCCCTTCAAAGGTAAAGAACTTCGTCTGATTGTCCCATTACTGAGGTTAGATATCTCCCAACAGAACTTTTTGTACACCTCTACGAAAATATGGAATGATCTCATCCCCTATGTATTCGAAATATGTGATGCTAATGTAGATGGGATAATAATCCCGGGTTCTTCCAAAAATTCAGACTTATCAGCCTCGTCAGGTATTATTAAATCTAACCTTAAAAAGCACTTGCTATCCCTCCAAAATCGAGGTGACCCTAATATATGGTAACTAATCTATATTATATCTCAAATTCTACATCCGGTACGGCTCTGCACACATGATATCTCTCTCTGCCATGAAACATGGCTAACCTTTCAAACTATGATTTAAAAACATAAACCTAAACTAAAACTCAACTGGGCTCTCCTATGTCACCAAACTAGACCAATAAGCAATTTTAGCTGAGATAATTATATTTTTCTATATTTGTATTTAATAAGTATATTGACGTAGTGGATGGTTGAGGGGGTTTCAAGCACAGGTCACTCTCAAATCCTAAAGATAAGCAGTGGCCTTCGGCACTTGAAACCTCTTCAAACCTCCCCTGATTTATTTATTATTGATATTGTTTGATTGTGCCGTAAAAATAAATATTTGTTTTATTAAATATTTGTTTTATTAACTGCTTGACAGTTTTGAGTTTTAAAATTGGATTAGTAAAACAAAATTTTCAAAATTAGTAAAACAAAATTTTTATTTACCACAAAACAATCAATACATATTTAATATTATTATACATTTACAAATAAATCTAAAATATTAACAAGAGACAGAAGAGTTTTACATCGGCTCAGCACCGCAAGGAAGTTGGCTATACGCGTGGTTCATAAATTAGTTTGATTTGGGTACGGTTCGACCGGGAAAGTGGTCGGGATTAGTTCTCATAATGAGTGATCACTGTCGTCAGAAATATTAGAGCGGGAACTCCTCCAGGTTCCGGACGATTGGAAAGTTTTAAAAAGGATATGATTTCTAAATGTATTGTTAATGACTTTCATTTTTGGAATGTTTCGAAAGAAGTTTTAACAAGGATTGAAGGTACCAATTATGTCAGTAATAAGGAAAAACACAATGATTATCTTTGGTTTCATCAAAGAAATGATATCAAGAAATGGACGACAAACAATTTCCTTCAACTGAATTCTTCTAAGACTGAAGTCATCGTTATATCCTCTAAATTTGACTCAACAAATATTCCAGCCTCTCTACAGATTGTTAAGGATCAAGAGCCACATGTTGTTAGTGGAACTGTGAAGAGTCTTGGGCTGTATTTGGACAGTTATTTTTCAATGAGTGATCAGATTACGTCAGTGGTTCAAGCATGTAACATTCAGATCAGAAATTTGTGGTTTATTGCATCAAAACTGTCTTTTAACCTTAAGATTCAGCTTGTTCATGCTCTAGTACTCTCTAGAATTGATTATTGCAATAGCGTATATTTTGGACTGAGCTCTTATGATTTAAGTCGTTTACAGAAGGTGCAAAATTCTGCTGTAAGATTTATTTTCGGGAGAGGAAGAAAGGCACACACTACTCCACTACTTAAGAAAGTTCATTTTCTACCAGTTAGATTTAGAATAGATTTTAAGATTGCCCTACTTGCCTACAAGTGTTTAAATAATATAGCTCCTCCTTACTTAAAAGAGTTGATATCTCCTAGGCAGCAAAGTTTTAAAAATGTACGTCTTGATAATGATTATTTTTACCTTAGTTTTCCGCCCTCTCCTAACTATGTAAACACAGGGAAAGCTTTTAGTCACTGTGCAGTTAAAGTATTTAATTCCTTGCCATACGCCATAAGATCAGCTGAGTCAGTTACATCTTTCAAGACCAAACTTAAAACATACTTCTTTTCTCTAGCATTTGATTGATTTTGCATTTACATAGGTAAAATGAACTTGTCATGTCTAATTTTCAATTAAACTAAGCTCAGTTAATGTAAGAGCCGCTTTAGAAAGCACTGGAGTTTATCTCCAGGATTAAATTATATCGAGTTATATGATTTAGCTATAAAGCGGTTTATAAATGTTGTATTTATTATTATTATTATTATCCTTATGTAGCAAAGAAAAGTTTTATAAATCTTTACTCCACTGGGAAGAATGAATAAATTACAAATTTTTTAATGATGTTGTTATTTATGATTAATATTTGATAAATTATTACTTTTTAATTTGATGGGGAAATAGTTACTGTATATTTTTTCCATGTAGTGCAATGACACTTTGTAGACATTAGTGATGATGTTATGTCATAATTTTTACTTTACTTTACTTTTACTTTAAAGTCTGCTGCCCCTTAGTCTATGCTAATACTTTCAACACTACTATATAACAAATAATTTGAGTTCAGGGATGGCAAGTAACAATGTACCCGAGAGGGTGTCGATACGAAAAAAACGTGGAGTCAAGACGAGTCCCCCTAAGGATTCATCTTCTGATAATGTCCCAGTGCCAGAGGAAAAATACTGCCAATGTGATGTTTACATGTCAGAAGAACTATCAGTTGAATGTGAAGCTTGCCAATTATTTTGGCACCTGAGTTGTGTTGGTTTATCTGG